GTAAAGAAATGTCAGATGCAAAGTTTAAGATTTAACCAGTTCTATTACAATATCTCATTTTGAAAATATTGGCTCCTTGTGAGGAAAAGGTGCAGTCACAGGTTCTTAAAATTCTTGATTACCAAAACTATTTGTTAAAGTCATTCCCTTAATGTTTCAATGTAATTTACTCAAATCATTACAATGTTTCAATGTAATTTACTCAAATCATCTTTTTGCAGTGGTCCAACTGTCATGCCATCAACCTGCCCTATCAGATTTCTGCAACTGTGAAACCACCAATAATAGTGATTTGATCTTAGTTCTTCTTCAGTTAGTTTGCTTGCTTGATTAATAAACTTACCGTACATAGTTACATTTTAACAACTCCCAGCAGCTTACAGAGTGTACAATATAACAACTATTAAAATACCCACAGATACCCAGAAACAAATGATTACACAAGAATAGTTCCAATAAAAAAAGAAAATCAAGAGCAAAAGGGGACTCTAATAAGTTGGCACAATGATTAAGTTAAGAGGATGCCCTTCAGAATCATTCCGTTTTTGGTAGTTTCCTGAAAGCCAGCAGGCGAAAGTCTGTTCTCCACAGAGAGGTCATTCCAGAGCATTGTTGCCGATATAAAAAAGCAGCCTCGGCTCCCTCATTCCCCACTTCAAATATGGAACTGCAAAAAACTAACAAAATCCGCTACTGTCCTTAACAGATGGACCTTCCTTACACCCCTAGCCCTGATGATAAGGTTGCTGAAAGACCTTTCTCTGACAAGTCAACATTATACCCTTCACTAAGCCAGGTTTTGATAACATGTGTTGGGTCTGTAATTATTAACTGGGACTTGTGTAAGTTATAGATAATTGCTACTTCGTCTAAACCTGCTGTCCCTAACTTTTGGAATTGGTGGGCATGAAATGGGCGTTCTCCCACAATGGCAATCACAGTGGGCCTATTGCACCAGCTATTTCCATTTAACAGATGGCAATCTGGTGAGGTTGCTTTTCCCCATCTCTGCTACCTAAGGTGCTCTCTATCTATCACCTTAGCTCATCACAACTTGAGATGATGCCAGTGAGTATTATACACAAGAGCATCCTTATATTTCCATTATTTTCTGTTTGACAGTAATAACTTTTCCTCAGATGAAATTCTTCAGATGTGAGGATTGTCATAATGTAAATGTTAAAGTGTCAAAAAGGCATTTGCATTATAGAATGGCTTAAAAATTTTGTCAGTGTGTAAATTTCCAGCCAACTATGAAACCCACTGAGATGCCAGAGTTGAAAATTACCTGTTTAAAGGCTAAGTTTCATTACTGAGTTGAACACGAACCTTTCTTTTCCTCTCAAGGGAAACAGGGCTAGTCCTGAAGACTAAAAATAGAGCATCTTTCTGTATTTGTACTAGTTAACTAGTAGGATCGTGGTACCCTTATGTAATGCAGCCCAGACGGCAATCATTGCTGCTATCTTCACTATCTCTTAAGATCTGCAAATAGTATTCATAGAGAGAACATGCTGCCTTTTCTATTTTTCAAGACAGAAAAATAAGGATACAGGTTAGCTGAGAAGGGATTGGAGTAAGGAAGGTCTGTGTATATTTTGACTGTGTAGAGAAAAATTAGGAAATACTTCTACAGCTCTTCCACCATATGCTTAGGAATCTAATCTTTCACATTCACCATCTGTAATGATAAACTGTATGAGGTGGAGGAACTGCAGTTTCCAAACATGCTGCATCCCATATGAATGTGGTTAACTTTGAGTTGAACTTTGTTTCAACATTGGGAATAGAGAAGCATCTTTCACTGCAGCTGAAGGACATAGGGAAGCTTCAGCATTGCAAAGCAGGTCACTTGGCAAATATGGTTTTATCTATTCTTCACCCCTCAACATCTGCTGACTGAGATTGCCAGCAAATTAGTCCTCATAGAAGACTCCATTTTATTAAATCCAGTTCTTCCAAAATTTCTTGTATTATGAAATACTCTCTTATTATAATTTTTAACATGACTCTCCACAAATCATGAACCGAACCAATTCTAATGCTTAAAAATGTTGTGTATGAGTTTATTGCCTTTCAAAAACAGAATACGTCTGCAGTTTTACTGATGTTCCAGTTTGCTAATAAGTATAATTTTAAAAAACAGGTTAACTACTCTTTTAGGAGGGGTTTTAGTTATAATAATCTCTATTATGATCACCAACTAGAATTCCTCTAGTTAATAAAATAATTTACATAATTAAATAATTTTGATTTCAAATACAATTAAACATTACAAAATTATTGGTAGGTACTATAGCTGAGATGATCAGGACATGTCTAGTTTTATAGATGGTATAAATTCTTTTGCCATATTCAAAGAAATGAAAGCATATTAGTTTGATAAAAGTTACATACAGAACATACATACATACATACATACATACATCAAAATTGTCTAGTTATTTCACCAGTGGGATTATAAAGTGAGTCCTTATATCCATATAGAAGACCCAGTAAATAAAATATGAGGTTGGATTTAATGGAGTTTTCTGAACAAGGTCACAATCTTAGCTTGTAAAAAAAAAATTATATTTGCCCTTAAGAACTGCCCTTGAGAGGACATTGAAATGTGCTCTTCTGAGTTTAGGCATAGTTATTTGGTTTAGGCATAGTTATTTGGTTTAAGAAACTTGCCCAATCTTCCTTTAAACAGAGACTTACTATTTAGGAACCTATTCCTGCGTTGGGTAGACTGATCCATTTGAACCTTATACTGGTAGCATGTTATTTGGATTCAATAAGTGCTTGACTATAGCCACTCATCAGAATGGCTTCACTTGAGAATCCATAGTGTTGCAGTTTTTTCAGAGAAGGAATGATCTTTCCATGTTGTTTCATATTATTCACAGTGAGTAAAAATTGGTGCATGAAGTTGCATTATTGTCCACTGTTGGACAATAGTGCAACTTCATGCACCAATTTTTATTTTAGTGAGACCTATTTCCCCCTTGTTTCCACATTTGTGCTTCATTTTGCTTGTTTTCAGCATAGCCAAAAAGGTTGTGTAGGATAAGGTATGGCTTCCATTAGTTCAGAACGGTTTTGCCATTGCTGGCAATGGGGTGGGTGCGGCTTCCAGATGACGCGTCCTGCCCGCGGGCCAGCAGTTTGACACCCCTGCATTAGTTTTCTTTCATTCTAATCTGGGTTCCTCAACCTTGATGATTTCCTTATGTGTGAACTTCAACTCCCAGAATCTCCCAGCCAGCATAGCCAATACTGAGAATTCTAAGAGTTGACATCCACACATTTGGAAGTTGCACAGGGTGAGAAACATCTATCTTTTCAGTATCATATAGGGTATTACATCAAAGATATATAAAATCAAAGATAGAATAAAATGTTTTTAAAACATAGTTAATTATATAGAGCCATGGTGTGCTCTATTAATAGTATAGTATTGCAGACTAATTCTGCTGACTGCCGACTGCCAGCAGATCAATTCTCACCAGCTCAAAGTTAACTCAGCCTTCCATCCTTCCGAGGTTAGTAAAATGAGGACCCAGATTGTTGAGGGCAATATGCTGACTGTAAACCACTTAGAGAGTGCTATAAAGCACTGTGAAGTGGTATATAAGTCTAAGAGCTATTACTATTGCTATAGAAAGCTGTATTTTGCTGATTCAATTGCTATCTTTGCATGTTAGACCTCATACTAAATATAAGTCACACTTGGGTCTTGCATACACAGTTCTGTTTCTTAGTTGAAACATTTGAATTATTCAAAGAGAAACCTTTTTAATTTAAAATAAAAATAAATTCCTATTAGTGTAATAAACAATAAACAGAGTGGTTCAGACTCATCTCCCTTCTCTTTCCAAACAGTAAAATTTAGTTTTATGGACAGGGATTCCAAAAGTGAAGCAATCTTTGCATATGATGTTTAACATACTTTTTAACACAGATTTTAATACTTTTTAGTTTCCCTTCCCCCTCCCCCTACAATCCTGCAGCAACTAGGGCATAAACCTTAGACTGGATTACTAAAGGTGCCAGGTTTTTCAAGGAAGGAGATTTGATCTACCAGAGGCTCCTGCAGAATCACAGATCCATTGATTCCCTCTACCCAATAGCGCTTCTCCATGAGAATAGATTTTCAGGGAGCTTTAAAATAAGGAGACAATCGGCAAAAGTAATTCCTTTTTCCTTAGCAATCCATATTTCTACTACGATTCTGCTAATACGATCTTAATATTCACCTACGTGTGTTTCTTGATAGCATTCATCCCCAATCTTTTTAATAAGTTTGAATAAGTATTATAATTAAGGAATTAGATACTATGTTATGCTGCATTTCAGTGTTTCTGGATTCTTTAATTACACCCCTATATAGATTTATGAATTTTTCACCCCTTTATTTTTTCACAAAATGTTTAATTAAAATAAACTTTTTTGCTTAATAAAGACTGGAGCTTGAAATAAACTATGTGATTACTTAGATAAGCACATGTTGCAAATGTGTCTGGCTTATTTATGCAAAGAAATCAATCTTTGTAATAAAACTGCATGGTTAAGTTCACTCCTTGAAATATATGCTGATTTTCATTTCATTTATTTAAATATTCTTAATATTTCTGTTTTTAATTTTGGAGAAAGAATACATTCAATTTTGTTATAATGGCTAAATTATTTTCTTGTTATAGTTTAGTTTTTCTATTTTCTATGAAATTTTAACACCTATTTCTTTTTAATAGATATCAAAAATCTTCATATTATTGTTAGCACTATTCATATTTTTGTTTTAATCCAGATAATTTGATTTTCTCATCTTTTGTCTTGCTGAATATATAAAAATTATTTTAAAACATTGCTCTGATAAACTCAAAATAGTATTCAGCCTTTTAGAATTTGCTTTAATTTAAAAGTAGTAAATTGTGCATTCATGCAACAGAATAATTATATCAGTTTTGCACCTATTCTTACACCGTTTTCTTTTCCTCCCGTATTTGTGTACTTAGGTGGTTGTGAATGCCCTTCTTGGAGCAATTCCATCCATCATGAACGTGCTTCTTGTTTGTCTTATATTCTGGCTGATTTTCAGCATCATGGGAGTAAACCTGTTTGCTGGCAAATTCTACCATTGTGTTAATACCACAACTGGCGAAATGTTTAAAATTGATGAAGTTGCCAATATGTCTGAGTGTGAGAATCTCATAAATGCAAATGAAACTGCCAGATGGAAAAATGTGAAAGTCAACTTTGATAACGTAGGATTTGGGTATCTTTCTTTATTGCAAGTAGTAAGTGAAAATTCTTTAAGTCTTCTTATTTATTCAGTGCACAGTAAAAAGTTTGTTTGATCAAATAAGGTGCTTGCGGTTTGATCAGATATAACATTCCTGGAATATAATTTCCCTTTTGATATCAATAATTTGATAGTCTTCTGGCTCCCCTCTTTAAACGGTCATGAACTTTCCATCTCAGTTTCAAAACATAGTAAGCCAATGCAGCTAAATTTGGAAGGAACGTCATATTCATTCATCAGGGTTGACCCTGGATTTTTGTCTACAAGATTAATCCTGCCAATACAGCTGACTGGTATAAATTAGCAAGTTATGGTCAATATGCCAGGTTATATCTACCTATTAGAGAGGTTGAAAAAAAAACTTACATTTTTCAGTTTTATAGCTCCTTTTCAGTATGAGCAATTCCAGGATTTTAATTTCTGTGCTGTGAGCATAAAATTAGCAGAAGCTAATTTTATGGTAAGGGGATATACTAATGCAACACAGCATTTTCTGATGAACTGGAAAAAATATGAATATTAATTTTGATGAATAATAGCTAAAGTTTCCCAATTCCGCAATTTTTATTCAAATGTTTTTCTCAAGCAATTACATATCATGCCCATGCTAGATAATTTAGAACTCCATCAGTCTGTGTACATAGGAACTTGCTAATTTTATCATTCTGACATCACACTGTGGGCAGAAAAAAAAAGAGTGAAATTTGCATCCATTCTTAGACTGGCATTATTCTGATCTCCCTTGTGGTCACACATTCTCATTCAACCTCAGAGCCTGCAGAGACAGCCTGTAACTTATTTAGTTTCAGAAGTTTTATCTGCAACAGAGAGGGCAGTCCAATTCAGATGTAGGTCAGAGTGTATGGGATTCTTCAATAATTTGCATTGGATCAGCAAGATTTTCCAACATGCAGAGTTTGAAATGTAGCAATTAAAGGCTTTTCTGTTAACTTGTTCATACTGCAAGATACTTGAAATGTCCTTGCCTAATAAAATGAGGTTCTCTCCTGGTAATGTCTTTATAATTTTTCAGTATCAAGAGAAGACCTATTTGTTCATCCAGAATTTCTGAAGTCCAAACCTTTCATTTAAAAACATTTATTGCTAATGAGGGTTAATTCTGTTGCTATTTTATGCTGTGTGTTTAATTCTTATGGATTATGAATTGTTCAGACAACTTTATCTTAGGGGGGGTTGAAAAAAATATCAGTTAACAAACAGATAAATAAGAAGGTAGTAAGCTAGTTTATTGCCCCATTTTCAAATCTACCATATTTTATACCTAGGCTTTGTATAATTAGTATACCAAGCATTGGGTTTTAAATGTTATTTGATCCTCACTTATTTAAAAGATGTACATTTCTAATAAGGTGAAGACAATGCAATCATTCTTTTTTATTTGTATTTGGGACCAAATTCAGGAAGTGAAATTCAATATAATAGGCCTAGTTGTAGGCCAGGCAATCATTCCTGACCTATAATGATTGCCCTGAAAACTGCAGAGAACGGGGCAGAAATGAGATCATCTTCCTTCGCTCATCCAAGAGTTTAAAAGAAAAAGAAATGTTCTTTTATTTTCTCTGAATTTATTCATGGGTTAGATATATGGTTGGGGACTGGGGAATAAGCTTTAGATGTCCCCATTGGGGTTAGTGTGGTTTAAATTCCTAGAGCAGAGGCTGGAAGAAACTAATCTTGCACAATCTGTGACTTCTTGAATCCTATGTATACGTAACCTTACTGAACACAGTGAAATTTCTATGCCAGTACACCCCTGTATCCAATTCATAGAAAGCAAAATGATAAACTCATCCCATTTGCTGGTATATATAAAATATTTCTATTGGAATATTCTGTTGTTGATACAGATTAAGATGGAAACCATTGATTGCCATCATTTATATGTTTAAATATTTTTGAATGCAGGCCACTTTTAAAGGATGGATGGATATTATGTATGCGGCAGTTGATTCAAGAAAAGTAAGTACTTTGGATTTCTTGGCTGTTGTAAAATAAGTTAGATTTTCTTTATTTGTTATTAAATATGTGAACAGAAAATCTGGTAATATTAACTAATACATGCATGTATATAAATAATGCCCTGATGTTATAAGAATTCCATAACAATCATTGTAAAGATTAGTATTAAATTAATACTAATTTGTGTGGTTTAAGCACAAAAAAAAAATTCCTGATTTTTTCTCTCTTGTTACTTATTTTGTAGGTGCGTGAACAGCCTATATATGAAGATAACCTTTATATGTATATTTACTTTGTTATCTTTATCATCTTTGGATCATTTTTTACCCTGAATTTATTTATTGGTGTCATCATAGATAACTTCAATCAACAAAAAAAGAAGATAAGTATTTATATACATATATACCCTATATTTTTCTTAAAGGTGGATTCTTGGCCTATGTGAATTGTTAAATCAGATTTATAAGTAAGTGGAGAAACCTACAAATATTCACAATTATTTGAGAGAACACATGCTTTGCAAAATTCTGAATGGTGTGAACAGTAGTATTCGAAGTCAACTTTTGAATATTCCGTTTTATCTCCTCCCTTTCTCTCACACTGGAGCCTTAATGCTTATCATAGCATTTATCAATATTATTAATACTCAAACCTTATTCGTACATCTCCCTCTCACCCCATCCCATTTTTAAATCATGGGGTTAATTTACATGAAATACTAATGTATTAAATTAAAAATAATTCAGCCATTTTCTTTAAGTGTGCTTTTTATCTGTGTTAAAATGAGAAGGAAGGATATGCCTGATCTCAAACTTAATTTGACATGGTGAACTGATATTGGAACATCTGTTCTTCTCTTCCTTGATTTGGATAAGTTAAAACAAAAAAAGGTATCACTTGCAAACACACCAACATATCCTTCACTTCCAGAACCACTCTTGCCATCTCTTCATATTAAATTAAGATAATTTTTAATTGTTTGAAAATCATTCACATTTGTGCAGAATGCAGAATTCTTATAAGATGTTATTCAAGTATGTAAAATGTTCTCCAAAGAATCAGTGTGAGGTTGACAATTCTTTTGCAAAATTTGGAACAATGGTTGGTCTCTGCAGCGATGCAAAAGATTTGAAATGGTTGTCAATCGTGTGCTTAAGAACCCATAATCAAATTAATTATCTTGATTGCTGTCATTGTATATAAGAATCATGTGCTGATGAAATCTGTTGGAATGAATGTATGACAGAAAATGCATATACTGACAAAATGAGTTCTTCAACCCAATCAACTAAATTATAACATTTCATTATTCAATTCTGATTGTAGGAGTAATTGCTTTTATTTTGGACTCAAATTTGCACTGCTTCTAGCTTAACCGTATTGCTGATAACTGAAGTATTTAGGAAGATAAATTCTTCAGCTGTTCAAAATGTTTGAATAAGAGTTTTTTTTTCACTTTAGAAATCTCGAGGAAACGCAGCAATCAGGATTCACATTGGCTGGATATTTTCGGAACCATGTTGTTGTTTTTTAAATGCTAACCTCAGAATACATTTTGTTAGAATTTAGAGTGGCACAAAATCAGTTCTGGAAATTATGGCTTGGGAGAGACTGATGTGGTTCATTTCTCCTAAGGCTGGTAGGAAAGCAGCCTTAGAAGGAAAAATCATTTGATACAGAAGGGGAAACACAAGTTTTGGGAGAGTGAAAATAGCAATAGCAATAGCATTTAGACTTATATAGCGCTCCATAGTGTTTTATAGCACTCTTTGAGCTGTTTGCAGGGTAGCATATTGCCCCAACAATCGGGGTCCTCATTTTACCAACCTGGGAAGGACCGAAGGCTGAGTCAACCTTGAGCCAGTCAGGATGGAAATCTAGGCTGTGGGCAGATTTAGCCTGCAATACTGCATTTAATCATTATGCCACCAGGGCTCTGGAAAAGTGCTAATAATTTACATAGTAAATAGCAGAGCTGAATTTTACTCCATTCTGGTAGGCACTTTACTTTCTCTACTATGTGATTAAAAAAAGAGAGGCTGTGCTCTGAGTCCAGAGGAATCTGTGAAAGCTAGAGAGTTACGTTTTCTCTGGAGTTTGTATTTTATGCAAGAACTAAGCATGAGGCACCTCTTCCATTCAGTATGTTTCATATGGTAACAGAAACCACAATTAAATACACCAAGAAGAAAAGGATAATTAAAAGCAAAATGGGAAAAGGCCTCGAACCATCCTTATCTCAATGCTATTACTTTAGTATAGCTTTAAACCTGGGTTTAAAGAACCAGCTAATCTTTCAAGATGCACAGTCCTGAATAATCACGAAAGTTCTTTCGTCCTGAACTGCCTCACTGATCTCAACAATATGTATAATATTCTCTTTCTCTGTGTGAAACTATTTTGGGGATTGTCAGAATTGTCATGACTTTCTTTGACCTGGGAGTTTTAAAAAAAAATGTTTGTAAATGTTGTATAATTCCTGTCTAGAAGCTCTAGCAAGCTTCTGGAGATCTTCCATAATGCCAGTTCTATTCTCTAGGCCTTGCTTTCCACATGAATCCAATTCTAGCCATCTCGGGTCCCCAATATGCCGTATTTGGAATTCTCATATTCATCCTTTCTGTGTTCCTAGATATTCATGCCAGTACTTTGCTTTTTCTAGAAATGATCTGACCTTTTCCACTTGTTTTCCAAATAATCTATCTCTAAATCACCTTGTCAGCTTCTGTTTCCTGCCTACACAACTTGATTTGAGCAGCTTATCTGAGTCTGCATACTCTCCAGAGTATTCTCCAATCTATTCTTACTTAGATTCATCCATACTGTAAAGTTCATTGGACATTGATTGCTCTCCAAGAACACTAATAGTAATGTGTTAATCTTTTTTAATAAATAACCCCAGATGGCACTTAATACGCCTGCATCCTATTTCCCCACAACAATTCTGGGAGATAATTTGGGCTGAGAGAGAGTGACTGTCCCAAAGTCACCCAGCCAACTTTCATGCTTAAGGAAGGTCTAGAACTCCCTGGTTCCTGATCCCCTGGTTTCTAGGCCACCTCTACACCAACCTGGGACTCAGTTCAATCATGTTGAATTATGTTCATTGTTTCAGTAAAAAAAAAAAAAAGTTTAATGGTGTTGGATTGCCAGCTATATACCCAATGTTCCTCTTTTCTCATCCAGGCTTAATATTTATAAGGCCTATGCTTATGCTTATATGTAATTTAACATGGAACAATGTTCAATGCCTTGCTTTATCTTTTCTGTTTCAAAGAGAGGCATGACAAACTGGCATAACAATATGCATAAATGATGTACTGTTATAAGACATTTCATAGCTTCTTTCATCTGTCTGGCCAACTCTAATAAGAGCTCCTATCAGAATACTCCTAAGATTCTGCTACAATAACAGGCCCAGTTTGCCTGTCAATTTAACAAGGCCCAGCAATTGGAGCTAAATTGGCCAGTGATTGGAGAGGCTAGGAGTTCCACAATCTAAGGTCATGTGTTCAACCATCTCATCTCAATGGCAGAACGCAGGGCTTTTTTTGTCATAGAATGCCCAGAACGGTGTTCCGGCACCTTTTTTGGATGGAACCTTGTAGGGTAGGCAAGGCGGGTTGTATGACGTGTGAGTTCCAGCACTTTTTTTTTTTTTAAAGAAAAAAAAAGCACTGGGCAGAAGTAAAGTAGTTCTGCTGCATAAAGACGTATGGTGATGAGCATTTGTCCATAACTGCTTAGGCCTGTTCAGAATAACAGAGTAACAGAGTTGGAAGGGACCTTGGAGGTCATCTAGACCAACCCCCTGCTTAGGCAGGAAACCCTTTACCATTTCAGAAAAATGGTTGTCCAATCTCTTCTTTAAAACTTCCAGTGTTGGAGCATCCACAACTTCTTGAGGCATGTCATTCAAGCTAAGGCACTTTCGTCCGCTCCTTGAGGCAGAGGAAAGTATCGTGACACAAAATTTCTGACCCCACTCCCTACATTTACTGTGCCATGGGAATAGGGCTCATCAGTCTCGCTGCTCCTACACATGTATAAAATATGTTTATGTCTTTAAACATAAAAAAAACCTGCCATAGGTTGTGGGGGGTTGTTTCTCCTCTTTCCCTATGAACTCTTTTATTTCCTCTATAAATTTTCCACCTCAGCCTCTAAATAAAATCTTTAATAATAACTATTGAAACAAGCTGATTATTAAGTAAATTTATTTTTCAACAAATTGTAAAAAAATAAACTGAAGTTTGAACCCGTGTTACGTTTTTTTTTACGTGGTTAGATTTGTGTAGCATTTTCATTATAAAAATAAATTAGGCCTGATGTTTATTTTTACTTTGTAATATGTTACAAGTGCATTTATATTTAAGACCTATACACAAGAATATGATTATAACCAATCTTCATCTTCATGCCATTACTTTGGAGGCCAAGACATCTTTATGACAGAAGAACAGAAAAAGTACTACAATGCCATGAAAAAATTGGGGTCAAAAAAACCTCAAAAACCCATACCTAGGCCAGGGGTAAGTAATACGATCCAGTCTACTCACAACCAAAAAGTAATTTTAAATTAAGCTAATGGTTAGAGAAAAAAGGGGAGAGAGGGCTATTTGGTTTGTTTTTTTTAATTCTCCTACTTGCATACAGGTAGTCTTCGAGTTACGACCACAATTGAGCCCAGTGTTTCTGAATGAAATATGATCTTTTTTGCCACAGTTGTTAAGTGAATCATTGCAATTGTTAAGTTAGCAACATGGTTGTTAAGCGACTCTTTCTTAATCAATCTGGTTTGCCCATTGACTTTGTCCGTGAGAAGGTCGCAAAAGATGATTACGTGACCCCAGGGCACCACAACCATCAGAAATATGAACCAGTTGCCAAGCATCTGATTTTTGATCACGTGACCGTGGGGGGATGCTGCAAAAATCATATGAAAAACGGTCATAAGTTACTTTTTCGTCACCATCATAACTTCAAATGGTCACTAAACAAACTGTTGTAAGTCAAGGACTACCTGCATTTATTAGCATCTTAGTTCAATTAAATTCTACTTAAACAAATGTGCCCCCCTTAGCCTCCATTAAATATTATTTCTTTTTCTATACTTCAGAACAAATATCAAGGCATGGTGTTTGATTTTGTGACCAAACAAGTATTTGACATCACTATTATGATTCTTATCTGCCTTAACATGATCACCATGATGGTAGAAACAGATGATCAAAGTAAACAAACAGAAGATATTCTCTACCGCATTAATTTTATATTTATTGTCCTTTTCACTGGAGAATGTGTCCTCAAACTAATTTCCCTGCGCTATTATTATTTCACAATTGGATGGAACATTTTTGACTTTGTGGTTGTCATCCTTTCTATTGTAGGTAAGAACTATTATAACAATTTAAATCTCACATCTAGCTTTTCTTGTTATTCAGTTTCCAATACATGAATTCGCTACATAAATTATTCTTATGGAACATAGAGACCTGTTATTTGAGTACTGTATTTTTTGTATATTTGTAGAAAAATGTTCATCATGATGCCTTAGGCAATGTAATCTTATCCAGGATGCAGATTTCAGGCAGGTTATTAGCTCTCAAATTATCAGATATCCATCACTTTTTTTCCTCAATGTGCTTAACCAACTAGCTGCCAACCTAGCTAAATCTGGTAGCACACTAACTGCGTGAAAAGTCGCAATCTTGAGAATACAAATCCGCTTTCTTCAAGAAGTGTTTGTTTGTCAGACCATTAATCAAACTCAAAAATGTAAGATGCAGAGATTCAGGAACACAGGATAAGATAATTTTTATAGATAATAGAAGGAGACATAATAGAATTGAAAAACCAGGAACTGCTGACTGAATCCTAGGTTCAAATCTTACATCTTTTCCCCTCCTATGTGTCCTAATGGACTGAAAGCAGTTCATTTCTCAGGGCGAAAAGTGGTTGACAGATCTGCATAATTCCTGTCAAGGATCTATTGGCCTCAAGCTCTTTCCATCTAATCTTGGTCCTTTTAGCTCTTATACTACTATTCCATGAGGCTTTCCAAGCCAATTCAGAGGGATGTGAGGCCTAAACTTTACTTCAAAAATTATGACTAAAGCATAAGAAGAAGACCCTTCATATTGGCCAACTACCAGTATTTTGTTCCCATTACACATAAGAGTTTTTACATTAGCTAACCTCATAGTCTTAATCTTTGGCTCTTTTGAAAGGGAGATTCAGTGCTGCCTCTGTGTAAGATGGTCTGCCTTGGAGGAAATTAAATCACTAAAAGTCTTTGTTGCCCCTTTTATTTAAATTGCCACATAGATTTAATTATGCCTCATATAACAATGAGGCACAGCAAAACAAATGCCTTATTCTTCTTCTCTTCCAAGACACTTCATAGATAATAGTGAAAAGGGTAACTAAATTCTATTCACCCAGCCTTACTGTTCATCATAAGATGAATTTTACAGTCTCATGATCCTTGAGGACTGAATTCTAAAAATATAATTTTATGTTAGTATCTTTATCACAAACATTTTATACACTTTTGGGAGAGTTTACAAGGCTTAAATTAAAATGCATAAACATCATCTAGATAATTAATAGATGTTAATAGTCTAGCTATTGAACAATATAAAAACAAAAAAATAAAATATTGACAAATCTAACTATTTAAAACTAAATAACCAAATTACAAAACTACTTTGTAAATAAAATGTTAATGTACCCAACATATTAATTTATTGAACTATTGAGCGAGTACATTTGTGTGTAGGTGAATTACACTTTTGACCAGTTTTTAATAAATATGAACATCTAGTATTTTCATGTACATGTTGAATAACGTAGCATAAAAGATAAGATGGAGCTTGGCGCAGTAATAGCCTGCAGACCAAATGCTATCAGGAGAGCAGAAGTCATTATTTTTAATACTGGATTTACATTGTCATAAGTTAGAGTCTTCCAAACTCCAACTTCCAGCATAATCTAGAAGAATGCCATGGTCGATAGTCTCAAATATCTCTGAGATTATCCAGGACTAAGGGGCACAATTACTTACCCATTTTTCCACCAGGGCAGTTATCAAGGCTTGCTTCTATCCCCAAACCAAACTGGAATCCAAACTTTTTGTAAATTTAAGTCATCTTTTGCAAGGAGTTTCCAATAAGAGAAGGTAAGGTTTTGATGTTGATAAACAAAATCCTAACTATTTTGTTTAATTTTTAACAGGTATGTTTTTGGCAGAGATCATTGAGAAATATTTTGTGTCCCCCACCTTGTTCCGAGTAATTCGACTTGCCAGAATAGGTCGAATCCTGCGTCTAATCAAGGGGGCAAAGGGAATCCGCACTCTGCTCTTTGCCTTGATGATGTCTCTCCCTGCCTTGTTCAACATTGGTCTCCTCCTTTTCCTGGTCATGTTCATCTATGCTATATTTGGAATGTCCAACTTTGCCTATGTAAAGAGAGAAGTTGGCATTGATGACATGTTCAACTTTGAAACTTTTGGCAACAGCATGATCTGCCTCTTTATGATCACCACCTCTGCTGGCTGGGATGGCCTGCTAGCACCCATCCTGAACAGCGGGCCTCCAGACTGCGACCCTAAAAAAGATCACCCAGGAAGTTCTGTCAAAGGAGACTGTGGCAATCCTTCGGTTGGGATTTTCTTCTTTGTCAGTTACATTATCATCTCATTTTTAGTTGTAGTAAACATGTATATTGCTGTCATTTTGGAGAACTTTGGTGTGGCAACTGAAGAAAGTGCTGAGCCTTTGAGCGAGGATGATTTTGAGATGTTTTATGAGGTCTGGGAAAAGTTTGACCCAGATGCTACACAGTTTATGGAATTTGAGAAACTTTCAGAGTTTGCAGCTGCTCTGGAGCCTCCTCTTCACTTACCTAAACCAAACAAGGTTCAACTTATTGCAATGGACCTGCCCATGGTAAATGGTGACAGAATTCACTGCCTCGATATATTGTTTGCTTTCACCAAACGTGTTCTGGGGGAAAGCGGAGAGATGGATGCTCTCCGCATTCAGATGGAAGACCGCTTCATGCAGTCAAATCCATCCAAAGCCTCCTATGAGCCCATCACAACTACCTTAAAAAGGAAACAAGAGGAGCTATCGGCTGTCATCATCCAACGAGCTTACAGACGTTATCGTCTGACACAAACAATAAAGCAAGCTTCATTTTTATATAATAAAAATAAAATCGAAGGAGGGGCTAGCCAACGTATTAAAGACGAATTCCTCGTTGACAAAATAAATGAAAACTCTTACACAGATATGACCATGTCAACAGCTATCTGTCCACCATCCTATGATCGTGTAACCAAGCCAGTTGAAGAAAAACATGAAAAAGAAGGCAAAGATGTACAAAAGAAAAAATAAAAATCTCTTTGATTGGGTGACTAATTGTTTACAGCCTGTGTGAGTAATGTAGTTGTGTCAACAGAACTCCTCCAGGTGGTCTATGCCAAACAGACAGTTTTTACAAATGTACTGTATTCCTAAGGTCAGTGCCTCTAACACGACAGCAACCCCTTATCAAAATACAACTGTAAAATGTAGAAAGAATGACAGGAGGTTACTGTTTTTATTACCAGCTGACAGTGCTGAAGAGGAGAGAGAAATGGCTGATTAGACTGTAGGGACCAGTAAAAGGAGTTGAGGGGAAAAAAAACTTAACTTTTCTTTGATGTGTATGTGTGTGTATGAATGTGTGTGTGTGTGTGTGTGTGTTTAAGCATACAACTCTTAGTACAGTCAATGTAATCTACTGTTTGCATTTCAACTGCCATATTTGTCATCTTTTTACAAAATCTGGGTTGGTGGATTCACCCTTTTCTTTGTTTCTATTCACACATTGTGACTATTTTTGTAAATGGGGTTTATGTTGGGAAAGGGGGTAAGTAGTAAATTACCAGTATGAGGCCCAGGTGTTCTATGTTATGACTCTCTTATATGCACACCAAAATGATTTGCATGGAGGCATGCTGCACTTCTCAATCATGCATGGTGGGAAAAGCATTTGGTTAGGAAAAGCAACAGGTCTTTGACAACTCTGTTAACCCTGAAGGAATGTTCCATGTTGAGGTGCTTAACCAACAATAAACCAAATGGATTATTTTTGCACAGACAATTAAATCTCACAAGAACTGGAGTTGGAAATTACTGGTTTTATGTCTTGGTTGTTTGTCTTATTTTGTGTGGCGTCACTTAAATCAGTGTGACCTCCAACCATCCTCTCTTCCCCACCAGTCCTGAACAGACCCCCAATTCCATTATAATATGTTTACTTGTTTTTCTCCTGCAATATTGTTTAGCCATCTTCAGCTCTCAGCAGGGTTGCCAACATGTGTGTCTAATGAAGAGCCCTCTGTTGTGTAAATAGTCCTTTACTTGTGGTGCACGTTTGAGCAAATGAATAATGATCCGAGCACATTATGTACGTACCACAATAAGTTTAGTGTGCAAGCTTTCAGCAGGTAAAACGATGTATTCTGTACCATTATAGGTAGTTTGGATTCAATCAATGCATGTTTATATTGCCTACGCTTCTCTTCTTTAGACTGGCCAGAATCTTAAATACAGGGAGCCGAATGTCAGCGGTAAAGTGAAAAAAAGAGTTCAACAAGACCTCATTCCCTCCTATCATTAAGCAATATTGGAGAGATTTTTTTTTCTTTTGTTTGACATTTTAACATTTTAAGTAAACAAACCCAATGTATAGCCAAACTGTACAGAGTATACTGCAAATGCCTAAACCTATTGAAAATAATGTGGGTAGAATTTTATAAGGAAATATAAATATTGTAAAGATCAAGTTGTGTTATTTTTGAGCATTATGTACATAAAATAAGAAAGAATTTTATCTTCAGGTTGATATTGCAGCCTTTTAAGTTAGATTCTTTCCATAGCACTTTTTTCATGAAAGAATATCAGAAAACAAGAAATGAAGAAGAGACGGGTAATTGTAGCTTTCTGCTTTTTAAATTGTATTTGCTAATATTTTCAAGATGCAATAATTCAATGATTTGTGAAAGAAATATCCCAATTTTGCTAGCTTCCAAACAGCTATTCTTTGCTGTAAGAAAAGGATATAAGATTTGGTTTAATTTTTTAGCTGTGCCTGCATCAGAAAATGTAGCATTTTTTTCTCAGAAACACAATGTTTTTCCTGGAATTATTTAATGCTAACTGTATATTTATTTGATTCCATGCTTTAGAATCATTGCTAATATATCGGTATTTTTTCACAGAAAAGAATATCAAAATTATATAACCAAATACATCTGGAAATTTTATGTTTCTTATATATGTTAAATATAGATGCTTTCTTTTAATAAACTATCAACTTATTGTATTGTTGAATTGCATGCAGGAAATGCTACTAATATTCTCAGTAATGTTATACATAATTACCAATGTGCAAAAATAATAAAGATTACTTTTTTATTGTAATTTCCTTGGTTATTTTTCATCTCTAAAAATAAAATGGAATTCAATCTCTGTCCTAAATAAGAATGTAACTAAAATGTTAATAAGCATACTTATAGGGAAGAAAGTTCCATCGATATTATAAAGTTTGCTATGAAAGAGGAGAACATAGAAATTGCATGGCAGCATTTGGTGTCATGGATGTGGTTCTCTCAATCCAACTCTAGAGAGGATGTATTCAGTTTTCACAGATCATGATCATCATTTCAAGCATGAAACAGTCCCAGGCCATCACTTACTTGCTCCAAGATGGAAAGCTATATCATCACTGGGCATCCCCAAGGTCCTCTATTTGTGCCTGTGGATACCAGCCTATCCAAGGGACTTCTTGGCATCCACCAAGCTGTCTGCCCCACCTAATCTTTCAGTTTTAAATGCTCTTATAAATGGAAAGCTGATCTCAAAAATATCTTTGAAAATAAAGGCGGAAGGTGCTTGCATATGTGCACAATTTAGAAGTAATCCTACTTTCTTCCCAGGAATAAGTAAATTCAGACAAGAATTAAAAGCATATGATGTAGTGAGAAGGGCCACCACTTTTATCTTCTGAAAAATCCATGTATCCTTGAACATCATGAGCTGTGGTTTTGAGCCATCAGCCAAAAACACAAAAAAATTATATCAACTTGAGTATGGATCTTGCAATGTACATTTGGAGAATTGGGACTAATGTGTCAAAATGTATTAGAATGAATGTAACGGTGCATTATATCTAAGGCCAATGTATTAGTTTAGTAAATGTCTTTCTTGCCATCATATATTTTGTACCTGTTCCGTTGAATTATCTGTTATTTTACTTGGCCACACTTAATTAAATACATAACGGAAATGTGTAATTCATGTGCAATATAGGAAAGTGATTTTTAGAAAAATGGTAATTTGGTTTGAAAACCACAATTGCTGTCGGACAGCTGGAAATTATATGTATGCATTGGAAGCTAGTTCAGTTTATTTGCCAAAATATGAACAGCTACTTTATGGCCGCCTGAAGGTAGTGATTCCATATATTGGTATTTTATATATATCATATATTGATATTATTCAGCATACTGTACAGATAGTCCTCAACTTATACCCATTCATTTAGTGACTGTTCAAAGTTACAACAGGACTGAAAAAAGACTTAATGACTGGCTTTCATACAACTGTTGTAGCATCCCCATGGTCATATGATCAAAATTCGGACACTTGGCAACTGGCATGTATTTATGACGGTGGTTCTCAACCTTTTTAATGCCGCGACCCCCAACTGGTCGTAAGTCGAGGACTACTCAACTGGTGCAGCACCGTTTGCAGAATGGGACTTTTGGCGGGCTCAGCAGGGCAGAGACAGCCTGGACAATTCCTATTGGCTTTTGAAAGCCAATAGAATAAAAGGGAGTAGCACAGCTAAGGAAAGGGGGGAAAAATGGTGGACTGCGTTGTTTGGCGACCCCCGTGAAATGGTCATTCAACCCCAAATGGGGTCCCGACCCACAGGTTGAGAACCACTGATTTATGATAATTGCAAAAGTAGGTTTACAAATGAACAGCAATGTAAGTTTTTGTTGCTATCATATGATCTAAATGTTGTCATTGGTGACTAAGGCTTCCAAAGGAAACAAGAAAACAGGGTTCCCAATTCCCACTCTTTCAAATCTTTGAAGGACCCATTTGTCATATATTTATAAAAATCCAATGTGAAGGTAGTAGTAATAATAATAATAATAATAATAAAGTTGGAAGGGACCTTGGAGGTCATCTAGTCCAACCCCCTGTTCAGGAGGAAACCCTATACCATTTCAGACAAATGGCTGTCCAGTCTCTTCTTAAAAACTTCCAGCGTTGGAGCATTTACCACTTCTGGAGGCAGGTTGTTCCACTGGTTAATTGTTCTAACTGTCAGGAAGTTTCTCCTTAGTTCTAAGTTGCTTCTCTTCTTGATTAGTTTCCATCCATTGCTTCTTGTCCTGCCTTCAGGTGCTTTGGAAAATAGCTTGACTCCCTCTTCTTCGTGGCAGCCCCTGAGATATTGGAACACTGCTATCTTGTCCCCCCTCGTCCTTCTCTTCATTAAACGAGACATACCCAATTCCAGCAACCGTTCCTTATATGCTTTAGCCTCCTGTCCCCTAATCATCTTTGTTTCTCTTCTCTGTACTCTTTCTAAAGTCTCAACATATTTTTTACATTGTGGTGACCAAAACTGGATGCAGTATTCCAAGTGTGGCCTTATCAAGGGATTGTAAAGTGGTATTAAAACTTCACATGATCTTGATTCTAGCCCTCTGTTAATGCAGCCTAGCACTGTGTTGGCTTTTTTGGCAGCTGGAGCACACTGCTGGCTCATATTTAAGTGATTGTCTACTTACTAGGACTCCGAGATCCCTGTCACAGTTACTACTGTTGAGCAAGGAACCAAGGTATTAGTGTACCTCATGCTATTTTCAGAGGTTATATGATCACCATTTGCGACCTTCCCAGCTAGCTGCTGATAAGCAAAGTCAATGAAAGAAGTAGATTTACTTAACAATTGTATGATTCACTTAACAATTACAGTGATTCACTCAACAACTATGGCAAAAAAGCTAAAGTGGGGCACAACCTATTTAATCCCTACTTTGCTTAACAATGAAAAGTTTGGATTCAACTGTGGTCATAGGTTGAGGACTACCTATCCTAGAACTGTGGAAATCACAATGATTAAGTTAGGACTTTTAAAAAAATGCTGTAAAGCGGACATGTCAAACTCATGACGTCGCACAACATATTGGAGCTTTTTCGCCATTGTTGGCAATAGGGTGGGCGTGGTTTCCCAATGATGCGTCCAGCCCACAGGCCGGCAGTTTGACACCCCTGCTGTAAAGAATGGGTAAAAAATTGCAAATTAAATATAATTTTTGTTTAATCAGATACATCTGAGGAATTATCCCTTTTTAAAGATTTTCTTGAGCAAACAAAAATATTTCCATAATGATTCAGGGGAAAAAAAAGGAAAATACTGCACTAAGTATAAATTAGAACAGTTTCATTCCTTGATGATGGTTTCTTTTCAGGGTGGAAAGTCTAGTTCTGGACCTCATGCAGCAGGAGTTCTGTTCTGCCCAAAAAATAGATGTCTCTCAATTGAAAATAAGGTTTCGGGGAGGGGAGTCATTTTTATTTTCTATGTCCATGGTTCTTGTTTTTCTCTGCTAAGGAACACATTGTCATGAGCCAGAATTATGTCCATTAATTAAATTAAACAGAGTAATTTCCCCATTACAGCTCCTATGTTTATTATAAAATTACAGTGTATGTTGGTCAACACTGTGAGGCAAATTTGAAGAATATGTTATATGCTTTGGGGTGGAGGGGGGAGGAGAAAGACACCTGCTCCAGTGCAGGAGAGGACATCTGCTCATAACTCAGGACCTTCCTGTTCACACCAGCCTTCTACAATTTGATGTCATCTAGGGATAAATCGTCAGGGAGAAAAGCTGTGTGGCTGCTAAGAATCGACAACGACTTGAGGGAGCATAATCAATCAACTTGGATGCAGCGCCCCCTCTTAGGCAAGAAAAGGGTAGGACATCCTGCAATTCTTACATATTTTGGCTTTAAAAACAGTACTTTGGAAAACGCCCAAGAAATCAACCAAGGTCACTAGGTTAGCACTTTTTAAAAAGCGTCTTCTTTGGGCACACGCACCCAACGGAATAAGCTCCACCAGGCGAGGGTTAGGATCCAGCGCAAGAGGTCGAGAACCCTGGGAAGGGCTGTGAGGAAGACTCCACTCCGTTCTGTTTCGCTGCGCATTATCGGGGGGCGCGATTGAGCGAATCTGGTTCGTACCGAATGGGCTCGGAGGGCTTTTCACGGCTTCGAGGCAGCCGATCTCCGTGCAGGGACAGCGCCAACCCATTAAACCTCTGTAGAGGGAGCTCGCCTTTCTTCAGTCCCCTCGTTCCCACGCCTTTGGGCTGCGGGCTGCAAAAACCGTGGGAGGCACCGAACTCCAGTCCGCTGAAAGGCGCCGCAGGGCGGCGGAACTTCGAGAGGAGGGGAGGAGTTGCAGCCACCCGCCTCTCCCGCGATTCAAAGGCGAAGCGTCGCTCCCAGCTTTAAGCTCCACCTTTCACTGACGTTTTGGGGCCATCCTGTTGCACTGGCAACGGGTGTTGCTACCGCTTGGTTTCAGCAGCCATGGATTCTTCCTTCCTGCAGGTTTGTTGGAAACGCTGCTCCTTCCTTCTCCTTTCCTTTCCTTTCCTTTCCTTCCTTCCTTCCTTCCTTCCTTCCTTCCTTCCTTCCACCGCGCAGCGATCGCTGGTCCTCACTTTCTCGCCCCGCGTCTCCTTTCTCCGTTCTGGAAATGGCAGCCCCGTTTTCTAGCGCTTCTCCTCCTCCTCCTTCTGTGTTCCTCCTTCGTGTGGAAGGAGGCTAAGTTCCGGGAAAACTACGCCGGCTGGAGCTGGGCGAAGAAGGCCGGGCTCCCCTTCCCCGGTGTTTCTGCAAAGCCCTTGCGGTTTTGCGTAGAGGAGCGGAACCGCTTCCCGCAGGGTTGGCCTCGGCTCCCGTTTCGGACAACAAACAGAAGAGCTTTGCTCTTTTTCTCCAGAGCCTTTGAAATTGTTTCTCTCCCCCCCCCCCTTCGCTATTCTGCCTTAAAATCACGTTTGCCTCCTGATCAGGTTTGGACAGCTCTGATTTTTGTAAGAAAGCTGAGTGTAAACGTGAGCCCAGCCCCTTCGACACGAGCATAGGCATCTTCTTTAAACACTGACTAGACGCAGGGGTAGGCAACCTTGGCTCTTTTATGTCTCGTGGACATAGCTGGCTCAGGAATTCTGGGAGTTGAAGTCTACGAGTCGTAAAAGAGCCAAGCTTGCCTACCCCTGGACTAGAGCACTCCTTCCCTCTCAGCTACCTTGGAACTACGACTCCCAGAATTCCTGGCTAAAATTCTGAAAGTTGTCATGCCAGTACATCCGAAGAGCGAAATCGGCTGGGCTCAAGAAGCAGCAATTGCAATTTGGGGTGTGTGTGTGTGTATGTGTGTGAATTTGAAGGCAGCTGAACATGAAAAAAAAAAAAAATCCGCATTGCTTCTGCTTGCGTCTGAACTGTTTTTGGAAGCTGATGCCGACATACTTATTGGTCGTTTCATGTGTTTTTCTTGGGAAAAGGCATCTTTCCTAGAGCAGTCATAAGGTATAGAATTGTGTGAATGCTTCGCTTTTGCGAAGAATGCATGTGCAAAATACAAACTGTGATGGGTATTTATAATGCAGATGATGTGAAATGCCAGAGAAACAAATGGCAATCAGTCAAGACTCGCTTCTCCCTTACACCATCCTTTTGTAAGCTGTCCTTCAAATGTGCTGAAATAACACAACTCCCAACTCCCAGTGTTTCAAGGTATTGGACTGGGACTGGAGAGATGCAGGTTCAAATCCCTACTCAAGATTCTCAACCTTTAAAAAATACATGATAACACTAAATCAACCAGCCACTCAGATAAATTTTACAGGAATCATTAAATACTTGAATCCTGCAGGAAACCAGAAGACGAGGCACCATCTGGATAAATTCTTTCTTTGCTTGAGGATTCTGCTGTTGCAGCATCTTGGGGAAGCGCACCAGCTTGGGGAAAAAAACTACCAAAAAAAAAAAAAAAACCCTGCAAAAGAGATTGTCAGATTTTGGAAGTAACTCTCCTAAATCCTTTCTCTGTTTTACAAATAGTGATTCCCCTGCTTGCTTGTGTAAATCCAAGTCTTGATTTCCTTTCAGGCTTTAATTAATTACTACTGTCAGGAAGGCTATTTTCGTCATGTTCAGACTATTGCCAATGAAGGCTTGAAGACATTTGGCAATGACCCAGTGTTTATTTTCTACCGTTCTTATGGCATTTTGATGGAAGGTAATTCTTTACTTTATATACTTTCACACTTGCTTATTCATCTGATAATGAAGGCTTACTAAGAAGTAAATGTCATTGTATTTCATGGGCCTTCCTTTCAGGAAGGGGCATATAGGATTGCAGTCATAAATCATCTCATTTACTTCTATATATTAAAAGTTTCTGTAAGTAAATCTTTTGGGTCTACAGTCAAACATGCATGCCTCTATTTCTGCCTGGTAAACAGTTTAGGGAGAGCTGGGTCAGTGGTGGGATTCAAATATGTGAACAACCGGTTCTGTGTGTGTGGATGCTGCTTCCAGAAGTCCATTCTGGGCCTGGGCAAAAAAAATTAGCTACCGGTTCTGCCGAACTGGTGTGAACTGCTTGAATCCCAACACTGGATTGGGTCCTGGCTGCTGCAGAACCTCAGCCCTTGGTAATGCTGGATGGGTAAAGGTAGCACTAGCAGATTTGGGCAGAAAAATTTGGGAACACTAACAGATGTCAGAAAAGAATCACAGAAAAATCCAGCTAGCTGTAATCTCTTGTGGATGTTTAATTTTTGCAGCTCAAACCTGGTAGTCCTAGGCAGACAAAAGTTGGAACTCAACATTTGAAGTCCCATATGGTCCGCCCTGCAATTTCTGTTGCAAAGGAAAAGAATTATTGATTTGTTACCCTTGTAATTTGTTTCTTTAAATAAACTCTTTTAGGGTCATTTGGGCAATTCATGGTTTTCTAGGCAACCAAGAGAGTTACCTTGGGTGTTTGAAAGGTTGAATGTGAGGGTTTTGTTTTAAATCTCCAAACCCAATATTTAGTCCAATTAATTAATTTGTGGGTTTTGTTTTAAATCTCCAAACCCAATATTTAGTCCAATTAATTAATTTGTGTCTTTGTGTGAAAATTAGTGTTTCATAAATTTATGAATGGATGCCAATTGCAAATGCAATATTATATAATGTTGATGCTATTCAAGAAATTATATGAAGTTACTTGTAAGATGAGAAATATATGCGATCAGATTTTTTTTTTTTTTGTAATCTCCTCTTCACATAATTGTCTTGTGTATACATAAAGCACTGCATATTTTTCTGTGACTACTGGTATACAGATAATGCTCATTTAACAACCACAGTTGGGACTGAAATTTTGGCCATAGGTTGTTGTGGTCATTAAATGGGTTACTGTATGACTTGACTCAATTTTATGACCATTCTTATTTCATAATGTGAGTCACCACAATCATGAAGTGAATCCCATGGTCATTAAATGAATCCATTCTCTTGAATGAGCATTTTGGAAATTATGTTACAACCAGTCACAAATATGAGCCAGTTGCCAAGCACCAGAAATGTGATCACATGTCTGCAGAATCTTTGTGAGATAGACAGAACTTTGAGGATGGGTCGTAAGTAACTTTTTTTGAGCTTGTCGTAACTTTGAACAGTCATTAAGCATCCAGTCATTGAGCGAGGACTACCTGTGTGGTCTTTTTGTATCTCCTTTTTATGTTTTTGGTATTAAGTGATCATTTTTGTAAATACATAAATTGTTTACATAATCAACAAAGTAAGCTTTAAGAGGCACTTTGCACACACACGCTAACATGTTCATGAATGCTCACTACAGCATTACATTGAAGGAGGCATAGTGGGGAAGCCAAAATGCTGCTACACAAATGAATGCAACTTACCCTTACTGATTTTGTTCTCCTAGGGCACACCCAGGAAGCTCTTCTCAGTCTTGAATCCATTAAAACCAAACAAGAGGTTTCCTTGTGCACAGTGATGGCAATGATCTATGCCCATAAAAAAAGTCCAAACCCAGGTAGTGTCTCATTTATTTTTACCCAGAAAAGTTTTATACTTGTACATGGTGAATTGTAATAACATTATTTCTCCATTTTCATATGAAGGTACAGATGGAACTCGGCTACAAAAGAGATGTTTACACCTCCCTGTCCCGATGCGATTCTTGCAGCCACCAACCATGCATTCTTCTATCAAGGCACTCCTTCCCTGACCTCTCCCACGCCATTATTATTTTATCTTTTTCAGTTATCACAAAGTTCAGGAGTGCTGATTAGTTGCCTCACCATTTTTGCCATTCTTTTATGATCTCTTGTAAACATGATTTTCCAATCAATATAGCAAATGTCTTTGCAACCCTGCATCTTAGAAACTAAGTCTCTCTGACCTCCAATAGCTTCCAGTTGTCTTTGCAAACTTGAAGAAAAATGGATCTTTTCTTTATGAAGTCCAGACTCACACAGTATAGGAGCAAAGCTTATATTTCACGCATGAGTTTATATGAAGTAAGCTTTGTACAATCAGCTAATTAGAACTTAGCTTTCTGTAAAATTATCAATTATTAGCAGGAATAAGGTTCCAAATCCTCTTGGGAGATGACTTCATTTCAGTTGGTCCTAACATGGATGTTTTGGGTAATGATGAATAGTCCTCATCTCATAATTTCCAATTTATAAACCACTGGTTTACCAGTTTAATGGTGTGTTTAACTAAATTACCTGATTTTTGATTCAGATGATGCCCTCTATGTTACATCCCTCATAATTTCCAAGAAATAAAATTTACATCCATTGATTCCAAGCATGGAAATTGTAGTTTGAGATGTCTGTAGTACACTGGATAGATAAAGGCTCAAATTTAATTTCTGTCATGCTTTTTCCAAATCCCCTTGTGGACAGTGGCAGGTCAAAAGTCTTCTTTAGTCTGTAGAGATCCAGTTCTCTCCATAAACTGGATTACTAATAATAGTGTGACAGCCAAACTAGTTACTGGAAGTGTAAGCTTGATTAATAGCACTAGCATCATAGTCAAAATTGATTTGTGTCTTAATGCCTTTATCAGGCATACTGGCATCATCCAATATGAACACAGAATACTATGTTCTATACTGGATGATGCCATTTAAGAATATTGCAAATTGAAAAGGTCCAGAGAAGAAAGAAGGAGTGGGTCCTAGAGACTATGAAAAGAATATATGAAAAGCCACGTTCAAAAATGGCTAAAATACATTTCTCAGCTGTTCAACAGTAAAACAGATTCTAGTGAAAAAATTGGTGAGCTTTTCAAAGAGTAGATGTTTGTCTGCTAGGACCCCAGACTGGTGAATTTTCCGCCTTGGCTGGACTAGATATAATTTGCTGTTCTTCTCCTCTTTGACTCTATAACACATCTACTTTGTTGTTTTTAGTAGGGTTTGGTTGCTATTATGTAATATCTTGTAGTAAGTCTCTAATCTGATGAAAATTGTCATTCAGTGATAGTCCTTCAAACTATGTGATTGTTACATTCTTCTCCCTTGTTTTTAGATCAGGAAGTTATCGTGGAACTTGATGCCAAGCTGAAGGAGCATCGTAAGACAGCAGGACAGGAGGCTTTATATTTTGCAGGACTGTTTTTGTGGCATATTGGCCGCTATGAGAAAGCCCGTGAATACATTGACAGAATGATCAAGATCTCAAACGGCAGTAAAGAGGTAACCCGTTCCTTATAGTTGTGGGTGGTACCTGCTGAAAACAAGGTTTGATCACTCCCAGGTTTGCCTCATGATGCTCTCCATCATCTTTCATATCGGAATGGATTATCACTAAGCTCCTTAACACTCGAGAAGTACAAAACGTTACAAAAAAACTGATAATACCGGTACTGTTACAAAATAAGCTTGATAGTTTTCGTTTAGTTTAATGTTTGGGAGGCCAGTTTCTTTAAGTGGAATGTATTGTAACTAGGGGTTACCTTGTCTTCTATTTACACAAATTGAAGCACCCTATGTATTTGCTGATTTTCCCAAGTTGCTTTGCCTCTCTATTATAGCATATTGTACTCCATTTTTTAGGAGCCTTATTTCCCTCCCCTCCCCCTTTCCTTTTACCCCTCCCTTTACCATACCTGTATTTTTCCTACTTTTCCTCACCTATATAAATTTAATAAAATTTTGTCAAAAAAAAAAACCCACTCAGGAATAGATCTTGGATCACTTGGGGGCTATAAATGATTTTTTAAAACCTTTTTAAAGGGAAGAATCCTGAATTACTGAAATCCTAAATGCTTTCTTACCAACTAGTTTTCTTCATTACTAACTTTTGTTATGCTGATATTCCATATGCTTTTGAAAAGACGTGGGCTTCATCTGGATTATGAACTTGGACTCTAAGGGTGAGAATCAAGGATTCAGCTATTCGATAACCTAGTTTTATTACACTAGGAAAGACCTAATTAAAACAGAAAAATTGCCAGTGGTAACAAGAAGCCTTCAAGCCTTACATTTATTTATATACATCTTGAGGTTCAAACGTCACATCTCTTCCTCCTGCCTATGTGTCTAGATGGGCTGAAGGTGGGTTACTTCTTAATGGAAGGAGTGGTTAACATCTGTGGATTGTCATTGTGACACCTCTCCGGTCTCATGAGTTTGGTCCTTCTAGCTTTCACAGTAGCTTTTAGAGCAGTTCATCAGTGTGCCAATGCTGTAGAGTGCTAAGAGTTGTCTTTCTGCCTATCTGGAGTGGGCCTTTTACTGGGGATGGATAAATAGGAAACATCATAATGCTTTAAGTACTAAATCCATCCCATTCTATAATGGCCCAGTAGTTAGACCGACTCAAGGTTGACTCAGCCTTCCATCCTTCTGAGGTCAGAAAAATGAGGACCCAGATTTTGGGGGACAATATGCTGACTCTGTAAACTGCTTAGAAAGGGCTGTAAAGCACTGTGAAGCAGTAGATAAGTCTAAGTGCTATTGCTGTAACAGCAGGAGTGAAACCATGGAACATATATCAGTCTTCTGCATTACATAAATTATTGCATTTATGTTCAGTAGAACTTTATATGATTTTTTTTAAAAAAAAACACTGTATCCAGTGACAGCAGCATAGTGTTGCATCATTTAACGTTTTACTTTGTTCTTACAGGGGTGGATTCTAAAAGGATGGCTTGATGTGACTAGTGGGAAAGAGACAAGCATGAAAAAAGCTGGAAAATGTTTTGATGAAGGGCTCCAAAATGGGAATGATATTTTTGGCCTGATGGGTAAAGTAAGTGTATAAAAAAGTTTTTAAATGCACCTAATTAGTAACAAACATAGCAGCTGATGCAGACTGATCCAGCACAGATTAGTGCATAAGAGTGGAGGAATGGATGAAGGAGCAGATCAAAGCAACCTTATTTTGTATTTAGGATGCTATTTGTTCTTTCTCTCCTCTTAATTTCTCATTTTATGTAATGTGGGTTCTAAGAATCTGATTGAAGTCAATATTCGTTCTTTGATTCACAGGATTAAATCTTTTAGCCATCATATCATCAATTATTTTTATTTGCTTTGACATATGCTTTTCTTTTATGAAAAACAAAAGATGCATTTGGAGTCACTTCTACTCTTAGAATTGAAACAATTGAAGAGCAGTGTGCATAAAGTCTGGGAATCAAAGAGACGCTTTGAAGGGTTTTACCACTTGCAACTGTGGAGAAGAAATAGTTCTTTTTGTTTCTTCTTAAAAAGAGGCTTTTGTAGGTCTTTTTAAATATTACGTGTGCTAAAATGTATTCTGTTTTAAAAATCTTACTATAAATTGCATTTTGAATCAGTAGGTTTACAAGCACTTTGCCATGATTTTTTTTTTAAATTCATGGTAAAGCTTGCATTTTGCATATTTACTGCTTTGAATAGTTTTGCTTTCTAAGTCTTTATAATCCTGGTTATAAACTCACTGGTTCAGGCACTCTGCTAAACATGGGTCAGTTTAAACATAGTTATTGAATAAACATCATTTGGCTAGATTCACAAAACACACTAAATGGAGACCAAAGGAGCCGCATTGTACTTAGCATATTGTAGGAATATTGCTATTTTTATCATAAAGCTTTATTTTATACAAAAGCATTAAAACCGATGGCCTTCAGTGGAAGATATCCTATAAGTACATATAGATAGTCCTCGACTTGTGACCATAATGGAGTCTGTCTATCATGCTCATAAGTTGTGATAACTGTAAGAAAGGTCACCCACCTGGCAGGTATGACTTTATGAACTTTTTTGTAGCAGTTGTTGAGCAAATACTGTGGTTCCCCCCCCCCCGGTATTGTTTGTGATGAAGGCATTGTTTAAGGCACTTCTGGCTTGAAAGGATTAGTTAGTGAGATCACTGTTGCCCAGGGGACGCCCATGGGGGCTCCTTTCATGTCACCGTCAAAGAGCTGGAGCAAGTGACAGGAGCTCACGCAGCACCATTTGGGTTTCAAACATGGACTTGCTAACCTCAGCCCAGTGTCCTAACCATGTGAGCCGCCATCATGCTCCATAACGCTGTGTTCATTAAGCAAACCAATGATTCATTGTGGGTCAGTTTTGCTGAAAACCAGAAGTAAATACTGGTTTTCAACAAAAGTGTGGTAAAATGTGATCCCATGGCCATGGGATGCAGCAAAGTGCTATAAATGCAATTGCTGAGTGCCTGACATGCACTCACTTGATAGCCAGAGGGCTGGCCCATTATAACTTTGGAACAGGATCATAAGTACCCCCAGGGAGGTCCGTTGTAACTTCAAACAGTCACTAAGCAACAAGTCATAAATCAAGGACTATCTGATATGGCTTCTAAAAGCTTTATATATATATCGGGAAACAGGTTCTAGATAAGCAGTCACAACAGACTGCTTTTCCACCAGTGTACACCAGCCAGGGAATTGTCTAAGAAACACTTTTTTCTAGTTGGAAAGTTTGTTTGTTTGTTTTTTTAAAAAAAGCAAGATAAAAGTGACCAAGTGATCATTTCATTTTCACTAGGCCCAGTATTTTGAAGTGCGTCAGAATTATTCAGGAGCTTTGGAAACTGTGAATCAAATAATTGCAAATTTCCCACACTTTCTTCCGGCATTTATAAAAAAGATGATGCTTCAGCTGGCTTTGCAGGATTGGGAGCAGGCAGCTGAGACTGCCCAGAGGTGAGTACACTAAATTGTTCTTGTCTAGATCAATTCAAAATGCTGTATCCTCTCAGCTGCAGTGTTTTTGCAGAAGGCAAATGATCAAAGGTGATTTCTCCCCTGGTGACTTAGATCATCTTGTAGAGTCCTCCAACCTTGTGGTGCCAAAATGACAAAAAGGGAGACAAATTTTATATCTCATTATAAAATGAGCTCCGGTGGCACAGTGGTTAGAATGCAGCACTGCAGGCTACTTCTGCTGACTCTTGGCTGCCTGCAGTTTGGCAGTTCGATTCTCAGCTCAGGGTTGACTCCACCTTCCATTTTTCTGAGGTCGGTAAACAGAGGACCCAGATTGTTGGGACTCTGTAAACTGCTTAGATAGGGCTATAAAGCACTGTGAAGCGGTATATAAGTCTAAGTGCTATGGCTATTAACAATGGCTGAGTGATTCTGTAACAGCAGACTAAGGTGCTAATGGGAAATTGTCTAAACAAAGAATAGCAATAGCAGCAATAGCACTTAGATTTATGTATTGCTTTACAGTGCTTTTACAGCTCTCTCTAAGTGGTTTACAGAGTCTGCATATTGTCCCCCAACAATCTGGGTCCTCATTTTACTGACCTCAGAAGGATGCAAGACTGAGTCAACCTTGAGCTGCTCAGACTTGAACTCCTGGAGTGAGCAGTGAGTTAGCCTGCAGTATTGCATTCTAACCACGGCTCTTAATACAGTTTTTCACTTATTTGTTTTCCAATCTTGATCTATCTGGTTAGTACTATGAAACTCTATGAAACTCATTTTTTCAGTCATTGCTTCAGTATTATTGAATTGTACATGATTGATAGTGGGCAACCAAAGATGTGAAGGCTGATAACATTTTCTATTCTGGCTGAAGCAACTTCTGTGCAGACAAACACACACACAGTGGAGGGAAATGGTGCCTGCATCAGCTCTTCCCACTGATTTTTTTTTTTTGTTAATTTGAAATTTCATATAATGAGGGTAGAGAATGATATGAAACTGAAGAAGGAAGGGCGAATTACTCCTCTAGTAAAGCTCTGTAGCTTTGCGTGCCCATGCAAATCTCTTTTTTTGGTATTGTTCCAAGTTTAATAAATGTGCTGCCAAAGTGAACATTGTAGCCTTGTTTCTATTTCTCCAAGTTGCCCTGAAAGTAGGAGATGAGGGGGACATAAAGATGCCAAGCAAATGTTACATTTTCAAGAGGGTGTACTAAGCACATAAAATTCCCAATTAATCTGACATTTGTCCGCAGAAGCAATTAATTGCCAGTAGTACCCCAGAGACTAATTCCCCAAAAATAAATAGTTGTTTGCCCTAAAGCAGAAACAGGAAAGTTGTCCAAATGGAGCTCAGCTATTAGCCATTCTGTTTGTGGCTTCTGTAATTCGGCAGTTTTCCTTGAAAACGCCTAAAAATATAAGTGTTTTGGTGTGTTTTTTTAAATTTATTTTCCTTTAGGTTGTTGCAGAAAGATGCTCTCAACCTAGATGCTTTAAAAATGGAGGCTGTTCACTATTTGTGCAGGGCAGGAAACATACCTGAGGTGAGTCTTCAGTTTTTAATTCCACATTGTTGGGTGCATTTTATAGAGAGGCACGGGAAACAATTATTCAGAATTTTTCTCCGTATAAAATAATGGGTCTTCTAATTGCTAGTGAAGAGAATGATGACAATGGTTTTAATAATGCAATCCATGTATATATAGAACTAGGTTCCACTGAATTTACCTCCAAGATCAGCAGATGGAAAATTTTAGGTGTAAATATCTTTTGAGAATTACAGTCCTGACACAGGTATTTTAGAATTACATGAAGTAAAAGGATGGATCTAATTTAAACTACTAGTATCACATTATCAAACAGCCATTGGTGGAACAAGAGATCACCTTTACAATGCACACTGCCTAAATCTTATTTGGAGATAGGCCAGGATGGAGCAAATACAGGCATCACATAAGAAGCTGCAAGAAGAATATGAGCTGTCAGTAAGGTGTGTTTTGTTGGTGGGAGGTAGCAATTGGGTGCAATGGAAAAAGCTTTTTTTTCCCCAAGAGTCTATGATATTTTTGTCTATAGGCTCCTTAGTCTGTGATGAATACCATAACAAAAATTGTCAAGGTCTACTCTAGATTGTTCCAAAGATACATTGATTTTACACTTTGCAGAGAATGTTTAATGAAGGGCTATCAATGAAACTGTTGGCTGGATTTGCACACCTATGTCAGCAACCATGGTTTAAAAACCAAGATGTGTTGGATTCATTCAAGATGCTAGATCAATTTAAAAGAAAATAGAACGGTTATATAAGTATTTTGAGTGAATCAGCTTTGTTTTTGATATGAAACTTAAGCAATTTATGCATGTTGCAAAGTATTTCCTTAATTTCCATTAAGATTTAAACCAAAATATAGTTGTTAGGAATGGGGGAGCTTAATATTGGAAATGGGATTCTTAATTATAACTCTAATATTTTTCAATGAGTTTTTTATCGCATTATAAAAATGTAGGGTAGAATAAACTAGTGCTAAGCATAAATCTGGCTTCTTTTATTGCCTGAACTAGTTAAGCACTAGTTCTGTCCACTGCTATTTTTGCTTCTGCTGCTAATTTCTATAACCTATATTTGCATTTAGCTTGCTGTAGGCTACATAGGGCTTAAAGTGTGTTTCCCAGGAAACCATTTTAATGATAGACAATTCTTCCAGATGCAGAATTTTTAACCTTTCATAGTTGAACCTCTTTTCTGGCTGCCCAAAGAGAGCAATGGTAGATGGTGTTCCTTGCAGGCTACTTACCTTTCCCAAAGTGGGGAGACCCTCACAGGCTTAAACTGATGTTGAAAGCCAATGACTTTTTAGTTAAGAATAACGTGTCCCCAAGACTTTACATGAAGAGCTATGTGCAAAACCTCTGTGTTCTGTATTTCATGGACATTGGGTTGGAGAAAAGAGGACTTGAACACAGTCTGCTTATGGCCACTTTCCAGGCCCGTGATAGAATTTGGTTGATAGATCTCAAAAATCTCACACAGAAATCCATGCTTTCAACGCCTAGCCGTTCGTAGCTTAGCCTGCATTCAAAGTCTGTGTAGATCAGGGGTCTTCAAACTCGGCCCTTTTATGACTCATGGACTTCAACTCCCAGAATTCCTCAGCCAGGGAGTTGAAGTCCATGAGTCATAAAAGGGCCGGTTTTGAAGACTCCTGGTGTAGATGAATGGCTGTGGGGCATTTTATTTAAAACATATATAAGTGTTCTAGTACTGTTCCCTCAGAAATACTTCTATAAGGAGATACTTAAATTGGCTTGCATTAATAAAATAGTTTCAGACTAGGTTCATATAAATACTGGCTGCTGGTACACGTTTTGCATTCCAGATGCCTCTGTATCCAGGTTTCCTAAATGCCAGTGCTTGTTCCCTCCTTCTTATCCTCCGTCCCCGAAATAATAAGACCAGTATATTTTGTTTGTCCTAGGCTTCATCCAGGCTGAAAGATCTGATTAGTGCTTTGAATCAGTTGGAACCACAGAATCCTCAACTTTTCTGTAAGATAGCCTTAGTTTTTAGCAGAACGGTAAGTAGATTTTTTTTTAATTGCCAATAATGACTGATTGAATGACTCTCTTATATAAGCAGGTATGCTCCCTATGTACGTAATGCTAACTTTGTCTTTCATGGGAAACACTGATTTATGTCCTGGTCATGCCTTTTGAAGATAAGGCTAAGAATGAATATTATTATAGATAGATCTTAATTTACAACCATTCATTTAGTTACCATTTCATACCAACAGTTGTAAGTTGAGGACTACTGGAATTAAAGCCCAGGTATGCTTCAGGAAATGCTAAATTATTGTAATTGGAAAAGCATTGTTCGCCATACAAAATTAAGGGATAGCTGTGACATTTGTTCAGCATCTCTGTCTTGATTGCAACCATGAAGAATAGTGAACAGCTTTCTTTCTCTTGGCTTCCTATAGTGCAGGGGTAGGCAACCTTGGCTCTTTTATGACTCATGGACTTCAACTCCCAGAATTCCTGAGCCAGCATGGCTCAGCTTGGAAACCTCTCCCTTTCCCCTCAGCATGGCTGGCTCAGGAATTCTGGGAGTTGAAATTTACGAGTCATAAAAGAGCCAAGGTTGCCTACCCGTGCTATAGTCACTTCCCCCTCTCTCTTTATTTGTGTTGGTTAGCTATCTGTGGCAAAAGACTTCGCTTACTACTGATTCTGAGCAAGATGTGAGATGTGCCGTGGTGTAAAAGTGAAAGCTGAGGACATTTGCCCAAAACAAACAGCAGTCAAAGATGGAGGCGGTTGGGGCAGAGCAATTCATGGACTTCATTGATGCTTTTACTGGCCTTGATTCTGGATTATTGGTAGCAGAATTAGAAAAATCCGATTTTCGGTCACATTGACTAATGCAAGGAATATTTTCCAGATGACTTTTATAAATTGGGCAGTCTTGTTCTGTCAAAGAATACATTTTCTTAGGAGAAATTTGTTGGGGACTGCTTGCTAGCAAAGAGCATGGCCTAAATAAGCATGCTAGAACCATTTTCTCTTTCTAAAATGTTACTCTTAGAATAGGGGGTTAGTAAAAGGATTTAGTAAAATTGTGGACAGCTCTCTTGCAGAGAGTTTCTTCGACCAGGTCATAGATGCATGCGATGATGGATACAATTAAATTATAACACCATTATTTGATGTAAAGATGGTCATTTTTAGTTAATATTGTGATTATGTCCGATAGAGTTTTTCAAAACTAAAGCCATTCATAATAGAATTTTTTTGGGGGGGGATGTTTGTTTTAACTGTAGTGTGGCCGCAATCCACACATCCTGCAGCTGACCCAGATGTTGGTAGACAGAGCTTTCAGCTTAGCTCCTCAGAATGCAGACATTGCTACAGAGCTGGGCTATCAGATGCTTTTTCAAGGAAAAATAAAGGAAGCTATGAAATGCTACAAAACTGCTATGGCTCTTGATGAAACAAGTGTTCCTGCACTAACAGGTTTGGGGATTTTTTTACGAGTAATTGATAGAGGAGGGAGGGAGGGGGAGAGAGAGAAAGAGACATAGAGAGGGAGGGAGAGAGATATGGAGAGAGAGGGAGGGAGAGGGAGGGAGGAGTTGATCTTTATCAGTTTGTTTTTGAGTCACTATTATATTTTCATAGCTTCAGGTTACCTTTGGCTGAATTTGCCTATTGCAAATTCCAGGGCTTTGCCAGGAATGACCACTTCTCCCCCAGAGCCCAATGTAGTTGGCAATAGAGGTGATGCCCTTTTCATTGCTAACTTCAGACCTAGGTCCTATTAGCCTGCAGTTCTTGATAGAAAAGATTCATTGACCCTTTCTGTAATGATGAAATTTGATTTGTGCCCCGAAGACATTTCGTAGAATAAAGCTGAAGAGAAACATCTTTGCATTACAGGAATTATCCGAAGCCAGTTAATGGAAGGGAAGTTAGATGATGTAGAGCAGCAATTGGAGTTCCTGAATGAAGTTCAACAGTCTATTGGAGTATCAGCAGTAAGTGGAGAATAATGTTTTTCCAAAAATGATTTGATACTAATCCATGTTCTTAATGTGGATCTGAGGACCTCTATGTCATAGTTCTATCCTTCATGTTCTTACAATGTCCAGTTCTTGGATTTCATGAAAGAGGATGAAGACAGTGATAGTAGTGAGCATATAACGTTGAGAAGGAAGACAACTGTCATGACTCCAACAGATGAAACTCTTCAAAGAACTTTGAGGCATTGTTTACCTTAAAGAATCTTTATTTTGAGTAGCATAACATCGGCAGTGCACAATGGAAGCCCAAAACTAAATTTCCCTCCCCTGATCATATAGTATCAAAGCACAATTCCCTCCTCCAATTAACAGTCATAAATCACATTCCCCAATTAACTTGAAGCACAGGCCTCCTTTCCCGTTCTCCAGCCAGCCGATTTCTTACAATAACCTTGTTTCTCACACTAGGTTTAGTGTTGTTATGCCTAGCTGGACTCTTGTTCATATCCCCCCTCCCAGCATCATCTAACTCTAAAAGCAAAAGGTAAAAGATGGCTACATTTCCATCTGTTGTCAATGCAAAAACATCCGATGTTAGCAGCATTGACAACAACCTTGTTAATGTGAGTCACAGTTGAGTGACTTTTGCTAAGTCTCAAGCTGTATTTGATTTGGGGATGGCATGCAAGAAGAAGATATTATAAAAGGCTGGTTGAACCAGGACCACAAATGAGAAGAACCAGGGCAAAACTAATATAAGTCTTCACCCCAAAACCCTTTCAAAGTCTTAAATAAAAACCTTTTGTAAGTATTGGTAATTTTTGAAAGATAAAAGTTTGCCACCAATTGGTAGCAGCAAATTTGGTAGTAAGAGGATTAGGAGATTATGGATTATGGATTCCAACCTCCATAACAAAACTCTGCAGGGAGAGTTTAATTATTTCAAACATAGTTTAATGACAACAAATTGGAATAGAGTTGAATCTTATGAAAAAGAAATGTAAAAAAAACCCAATACATTTCCCAGTTCAATTATTAATTATTTGATTAATTCTGAAGCAATAATTATTATTGCTCTTATATTTTAAAATATCTACTGTACAAGGAGAGGAGTTGTTATGGTTGCTCTCATGAAAGCAGAGAAATTGTGGCTTCTGAATAAATTTAGTGGTTGTATTGAGGTGACAGTTCTCTGGCAGTTGCTCTGCCATATCCATGGCCCAGTTGCCTTTCTGTGGCCGGGGGGGGGGGAGAAAAAGCAAACTTTACTTATATCTTTGTTATTTAACCTCCTCTCAGGTGGGAGCCAGTTTTCAAACAGTTATCCAGGTAGAGTGATCCTAAAGAAAAGGCAGGTGGAAATCCTTCTACTATTTAAAAGAAGCAGGTTTCCAGAGTGTTACATTGCATGTGTGGGAGAAAGAGGTATAAGAATTTGAATTGCGATAAATAGATCTTGCATCCTATATACAGCAGTCACTGGAATTATTTCACAATGGTTTCTTTAGCTTTTCTGCAGTAAAACTACCTATCAGAAGTTCTCACATTCCTACCGTAAATGGCTGTGTAAGTGTTTCTAATCCAGCTTGTTGGGAGAAGCCTGACACTTCCTACGGATAGCGCTAGTGAGGAAGCTTTTTAAACAAGCTTGAGAATTCCTATAACATAGGACACATTCGGTGATGTGATTCAGCCGGTTCGCACCACTTTGACAGAACCGGTAGCTAATTTTTTGTTGCCCAGGCTCAGGACAGACTTCCGGAAGCGGCCTCCACACAGAGAACCGATTGTTCACATATTTGAATCCCACCACTGGACACATCGTTGGGAAAATGAGATCACTTAAAGTTTTGCAGATTCATAACTTTCAACATTTGGATCCTGCCATTGCTACAGCTCTCACCCTGAGGGCTTTCCCTTCTTTCTATAAAGAAGACGTAAAACATCCATTGAAGTTTAATCTTCTGGATTAAATTTAATCTTCTGCTGAAAAAGCTTCTGGAAAAGAAGGATTGAATTTATAAATTATGGGAGTTCCGTACAGGAAGTCCTTGACTTATAACCATTTATTTAGCAACTGTTCAAAATTGCAACTGCGCTGAAAAAAGTGACTTAAGATTAGGGCTCACACTTATGACCGCCACAGCATTCCCACAGTCATGTGATCAAAGTTTGGGTGCTTGGCAATCAGCAAATAATTTATAATGGTTGCAGCTGGTTTCCAACAAACTAAGTCAGTGGGGGAAGCTGGATTCACTTAATGACTGTATGATTCACTTAACAACTGCAGTGAAAGCGACTTGGCAAAGAAAGAAAGTGAGAGTCAGATTTAAAAAACAGAAGATTTGACCTTTTAGAGGGGGCATTATAAGTTTATATATTTATTTGAATAAGATTAAAAGAACGGAAGACTTTTAGATATAATTAGACTTTTAATAATAAATCTTTATTGATTAGCCCTTAGGCCATATCAAAGTGCAAAGTTCCAGCAACAAATTATTACTAAAGTTTGATAAAAGCAATTTAAAATGAAATTTGATAAAATACAGTTTAAAATGGAATTACAGTAAAATACGACTTAAAATGAAATTGGAATAAAATACAGTCCAAAATGAAATTAAAATAGAGTACAGTAATTTAAAATATAGATAAAATATGATAAAATTATATCTGGGAGTCACCCTTGCAATCTACCCCAATCAGTCCCACATATGCAGATCTCAACCAAACCATTTTGTTTAAATACTGTGCTGCATTAAATATTATTTTCAAGTTCTGGCCACACATAAAGTAAGTTGTTTTGATATGGGGATCCCAATGAGTCATTCGTTTGGTATATCGACCGAGGTACCTGTCTTTCACCCTCTTGTATAGGCAACAATCAAATAGTATGTGAGCCGGGTCTTCTACCTCTGTCGCTCCGCAAATGCAGAGACGCTCATTGTAAGGTATAGAATGGAATCTCCCATACCTGACCATTGTGTCAAGCTGTTCGAATCTCGCTCGTGTAAATATCTCCCTAAGGTGTTTTGGCAGTTGTAACTTCAAATAGCTGTCTAGTTGAAAAGTACGCTTATATTTACTCAGCCATTTCAAGTTACCTACCTTACTAAGGATCGCTATATCATTTGTGTTTTTATACCCTTAATTTTTTGGGCAGCTCTTTTTTTGAATTCTCCTGTTACACAAGAGACAGGAAGACCACAGCTTCTTACAAAATTTGTTAGTTTGGTGATCCAGGAGATTTGTGATTGTAAATTAGACTTTTGTAATGAAAGATAAGATTTAGAATTAAGATAGTATTTTTTTCTTCTTCTTTTGATATGGGAAATATAAAGATAAGAGGATTGATTTGAATAAAATTTTCAGCTATATAAATGCTTAATATTGAGGAAATCATAACTGATAAAGATATTTCAAATACTGATGGGAAATCAAACTTTAACAAGAATAGGAAAAACAGGATATTGATGAATGAATATGAATGAATGACTTTATTGATTTATGAATTGATATTATTTGTATGATATTAGTAAAATATGATGAAGATGCTTATATCTAGCTTTGTATACATTAACAGTACCAAAAATTGTAATGGTGTAATGAAGGGAAAATGGAAAAAAAACGGAGAAGAAAGGAGGATCAGGGAAAAAACACTGGATTGTGTAGTATTGAACAGATTTATATTGAAAAAGCTAATGTTAAATATTTGAACCCAGATAACATGTTGTTTACTAAGCACTAAGGACTGTAATTCTTAAAAATTAATAAAACTTTAATAATAAAAAAACAACTGCAGTGATTCACTTAACCATGGCATTTTGTTTTCTTTTTACAACCCCATAATCCCTTGCTTTAGGGTGGAGTCAGGGTAACTAAATGGAGCTGAGTGTTTACTGGCCGGATGCCCTTCCTGACGCTACGTGAAGTTTGCAGCAGATATTTTCTCTTTGCAACCTGATAGAGAAACATCTCCTGCTGCCTAGGACTGAACTCTCAACCTCCTAAGTGTGAGGGGAGCATCCGCCCCTCTTAGTTACTTCACTTAAACAAGGCAATAAAGCTTGTAAAATGGGACAAAACTAACTTAACAACCGCCTTGCTTAGCAACAAAAATTCTAATCTCAATTGTGGTCATAAGTCAAGGACTACCTCAGGGGTGGGCAACCTTGGCTCTAGGAATTCTGGGAGTTGAAGTCCGCGAGTCATAAAAGAGCCAAGGCTGCCTACCCCTGAACTACCTGTATGTATGTAGATAATTGGAATGGAACGCTCAGTTTTTATTTGTTTAATTTAAGACTTAGGCAGATATGGAAGAATGCTCTACAAATTTGAATTCCTTAACAGGTTTTTTTTTTTTAGCTACAACAGTCAGTATCAATGCCTAACACCTGATGGAATAGAAAACATTTTTATGCATTTTTTAAAAAAATGTTTTGTAGGAGCTGTCTTATCTACGTGCGGTTTTGGCTATGAAGAAAAATAAAAGACAAGAAGAAGTTATTACTTTGTTGAATGATGTCCTCGATGCCCATTTTTCTTCTCTCCAGGGTTTACCTCTTGGTATAGAATATTTTGAAAAATTAAATCCTGATTTTTTGATAGAAATTATTAAGGAATATCTTAATTTTTGCCCAAGTCAGGTAAGGTACTAAAATTCTTATCTTTTAAAAGTAATCAAAATACATAATGTTTTGTTTTTCACTCCATCTTTAAAAAAATTTATTACAATGGAAAGAACAATTATTACAATATGCCTGCCATGTATGGGAAGTACACTGATTTATAGTGGACTAATCTCTGAAAGGGCAAAAAGATAATGCTAATACTTTTATGTTATCATGAAAATAACAAGATATAAGCTCAGTTGGGAGAATACTTTTACGGTTTTTAACTCCCTCTTCATTAAAAATGTAAATGAGGAAATTGTTATGACCCAAATTAGTTATAAAATTCTATGGATAGCATATTTATTCTGCTTGGGACCAAAGCAAAAGTAAGATAGATCACCTATTTTCTATTTTGTGAAATCCTCTTTCTGATATCCCTTTCCTCTATAGTTCTTACCAGAAGTTTAGATTAGTTGTTTGCAACATTATTGCCTAGTAATTCTTGAGAGCAATAATCCCAACATATTTAGAGGTGAGGGAAAGCTGGTGTAGCCTAAATGATGCCAATTAAATAAGATAAAAAAAAACAATTTTGCAAGAAACCTAATCCTAACCTAATTCATGAAGATTTATTTACTAAAGTTTTGAGTCAGACTGTCTTTGGAAGATTCTGTCTGTGGAGTGCTTCCTTTGGAGGCAATTAGGATGACGAAGCTGATCTGTCCATGTGTTACCTTTTTGTCTTAGTACCCAACAGCTGGACATCAGAAACAGATGGATTCAGAAATGCCAACTAATAAAGGAGAATATTTGTAGCTGAGGATTGAAATAAGGGATCCTTGGTGCTCTCTGAGCTTGCTTGTTTTCTTGCAGACGTTTCATTATCCAAAATTAACTATTTTGGTTAATACGATGAGCACCGATGATGTTACCTAGTTGGATAATGAAATGTCTAAAAGAAAACAAACAAGCACAGAGAGCACTAAGGACCCCTTATTTTAATCCACAGCCAAGGTTATGCATTGAGAGATCCAGAGAACAAGGCAGGGCAAAATGCACATTAGATTTTACTTCTCACCAGTGGTGGGATTCAAATATGTGAACAACTGGTTCTCTGTGTGTGGATGCCGCTTCCGGAAGTCCATTCTGGGCCTGGGCAACAAAAAATTAGCTACCGGTTCTGCCGAAGTGGTGTGAACCGGCTGAATCCCACCACTGCTTCTCACTAAAATAAATGTGTTCATCGTATTGAACTGTCTCTGTTGTATAGTTGGAATACAGTAATGTTTAATGAGGTCTGTGTTAACTTTTAGCCAGCAGGCGCAGGACAGCCTCCTTCACCACTTCTGAGGCCTTGCGCATCAGTCCTTGAAACTGTGATGAAAACAGTCCCTGGTCTTTTACAAGCTGCCTACTTGGTTGCAAAAGTGAAATATTTATCAGGTAATAATTTCTTTAAGGATACATTTTTGTTTTTTTAAATTATACACTCAGCTTCAGAAAGTAGCTTCAGAGAAGCGGGTAAAGTGCAGGCTACATTGCCCTACAGACAGACTTTCTGAGGAATGTATTGCTAAAATTCAGTATAAATGAGACCTGGAGACCTACTTTGCTGTAGACCTGGAATATTTAATCATCTGGAGAAGAAACAAGGTAAGGAAAGGATGAAGAATATGATTTCTGAGATTCTCTCCATCCCTGTTAACAAAAAGGGCCAAAGGAGAAGTTGGCATTTTCTTGTGCAACAAAATAATGTTTGCATTTGTGTGTGTATTGCATGCATTATCTTTTCAGAGATTATTTAGGATGTGTGCATACGTGTTGGCTCTGAGAGTGTGTGTGTAAATTTATAATTAGGCTGTACAGACTACTGTCCAACTTGCTAGAGAATATTTTTCCAGATTTTTTTTTCTCAGCAGCCACCTACCCCTACCTTTCCCACCAGATCTTAATCCCTTTCAAGCTTGGTCTTTTTTTTTCCTGGCTTCGCTCCCCATACACTCACCAAACTGCTCTGCTCTGTTCCAATCTCAGAAAGTTTCTTTACTGACAGCGGCTTCATTTCCTTTATGCAGTTTCTTTTCAATATTCTGTTGATTAGAATATATATATATATATAGTTAATACCACTTTATAATGCCTTCGTAAGATTACTATTGGAATATGCATCCAGTTTGGGTCACCACAATGTAAAAAAGATGTTGAGACTCTAGAAACAGTGCAGAGAAGAGCAACAAAGATGATCAGGGGACTGGAGACTAAAACATATAAAGAACGGTTGCTGGAATTGGATATGTCTAGTTTAATGAAGAGAAGGATGAGGGGTGACATGATAGCAGTGTTCCAATATCTCAGGGGTTGCCACAAAGAAGAGGGAGTCAAGCTATTCTTTATTGTCCTGAAGGCAGGACAAGAAGCAATGGATGGAAACTAACCAAAGAGAGAAGCAACCTAGAACTAAGGAGAAATTTCCTGACAGAGCAATTAAATCAATGGAACGACTTGCCTCCAGAAGTTTTGAGTGCTCCAACACTGGAGGCTTTTAAGTAGAGACTGGTCACTCATTTGTCTGAAATGATATAGGGTTTCCTGCCAGAACTCCAAGATCCCTTCCAACTCTGTTATTTTGTTATTCTGAATGAAAAAGAAGCTTCTTTGCAGGAAATATCCTAGCCCTATCCATTAATGTAACCTAGTTTTATCCAGTTCTCCCTATTGCTCTGCCGATTGCAGCCCATGGTATTTTAAAAATAAAATTAAAAAATGTAGTTGCCAGATTGTGAATGTATAAGCCAAGAAACAACACAGGTGGCTTGTATCAAACTCTTTCTCATATTTTATTACTTTATTACTTCTGTAATTTTGAAAACAAAGATAATATTCTTAAATTAAATTGAAACATTCCTTTATTGGCCAGTAGGGGATGAGGGGGTCAAAGAAACATACTGTATAGAGTCAGGGGCGACATTATTTTACAGATGCTTCTATAAAACAACTTTTGAAGATGGAGGGGTTTATTTTCCTGTGTTTCATTTATTTCATCTGCTCAGGCAACTATGAAGCCTCTGAAAGGATCTTACAACACTGTCTGGAGCAGAATCCTTCCTACGCAGAGGCTCATCTCCTCATGGCTCAAGTTCATTTGTTGCAAAACAACTTCCAACTCTGTGCCCAGTCTCTGGAGCTCTGTCTAAGTTACAACTTTCAGGCAAGTTGAATGAGTTTGTACTAAAACTCTACTTTCATTGCATACTTGACTGGGTCCCTGAATTTTTAATATTGATGTTTATTATTTGAGAGTGCTGAGGTGATTGCAGATTGTCAGAATTGTTAATTAGCCCTTTAATGCCCTAAAGTAGTTTCCTTGCTTGCCTTGCCTACAGGACCGATAGACTTCTAAGATCTAATTCAGTTTCCTTCTTCTTGCTGATTTACAACTATCCAACTGTCCTAATTAGAGATCAGTTCAGTTCAACATTTGACAAAACTTCATTTTGGACACAAGAGAAGCCAGCCCAGATTGTAGGTATAGCGAAGCACCAGATGTACACACAGAGGAGCTCATAGTATAGATGTAACAAGTTTGGATCAAAAAACTTCAGGAAATTTTAAGTTTTGATAAACACAGGCCTGCAATGGTGATCACAGGAGGATCATCAGAAGTTTATAGCAGAACTGTGTTGGTCGTTACTTGTTGCCTTACAGGGGATTGTAATGTAATTCCTAGATATTTGAAGGCCATAGTTTGTTCTATACATCTTTATTTTCCAGCAGTGGGCCTAATAACTGGCCTACCATTTAGAAGTCACCCTGATTTTTGTTTTGTACTAATAGAATTTTTCCTTTTCAATGTACTCTGTACTCTCGATTTTCAAAATAATCAAACATTCCACTACCCCTTGTATGTATGAACTCCTTCTGGGGATCTTTGATAAAGCTTAGCAACTATAGAGTACAATAACTGCTCAAAAACGTTCTTAAATATCTGAATAATATACAGTTGATTTTCAATGCTTTTTAAATATTTTTTTTGTGGAAGACAGTAGAGAATGCAGATACCAATTATTTGATCAAATTACTTTTCACCAGATTAGGGACCATCCTGTGTACCACTTAATAAAAGCTCAAGCCCAGATAAAGATGGGTGAGATAGCAGAAGCCATTAAAACCTTGCAGATGGCAATGAATTTGCCAGGGATGAGAACAAGTACACCGTCCTCTAAATCAAAAGCAATTGAAATCGATGGGCGCGATCGTCTCTCTCTCTACCTGGAACTGGTAGAGGCTCATCGTTTGAATGGTGAACAGGTACTTATTTTTATTTATTGTTATATCAAATGATATGGCAGTGTTAATGAATTGTAATGAATGACCTTGGGGGACGAGGGAAAGAGATGCAATCAGGAAACAATCAGGAAACAATCAGACAACGGGAAGAAGCCCCCAAGAATTTAACAGTCAGAGAAAGAAGCTTAATTGATCAGATGGTTAAAATGGCGGCAGGAAGTTTGTACCTTCAGATTTGCCAGCTTCTGTTAATGTAACCTTGCAATAAAGTAGATTTAGCTCATCTATTATGTTTCCTATCTGATTTATCCGGGAGAGCTGGCATAAGTGCACTCAACACTTTAGCACAGTTTATGAACTTCAGAGAGACGTTATTACATTTACAGTTTAAAATCTTTAAAGTATTTGCAATACCATGATAGCAGTGACCAACAGAATGCATATGGACACTGCCCTGAATGGGGTTTGATGAAACATGAATGAGCCTAGCTTTCTTAGAGGCTTGTCTGTTGCCTTCTCACATGGAGGAGGGAATTCATGCTTAAGCAAAATTAACTCTGACAAAACATGGCTAATTTCAAAGATGTCAATTTCATAAACTATAGTTTGAAAGCAGTTTCTTTAAAACCCAATGCACATAATAGTCAGCAGGATCTGCAAAATTTGAGCAAAGAATGTTCAAGCCAATCCAAGCAAAGGCTGGGAGTGATAGTTCCTCATTCTTTTCTGAAATAAGAACGTCTGAGTTTTCTCCATGTAGTCAGAAGCTTTATAGCTAACAAGAAAGTAAAGTCAGCAATCAAAAGGTGCTTTTTAGAATGTTGTGGTAGGAAAAAGTTTGAATTTGAAAGGCCATGAGTAGAAATAAAAAAAAAAATTGCCACCCAGCTAAGAAACCTCTATAGACTACATTTACCTCTTGAATTGCCCATGACTGCATCCATTTAAAAGAAATTTTCCCCTTCTCTTCATTTGGAATAAAGAAGGTTATTTGGAAGCTTTTCAAACTGCCTTCCACATAATAGCAAACTTTTTGTCAGCAGATGTTGTGGAATGGTCTGAAAAACTAATCAAGTCAGGATCTACCTTAGAACGAAAGGTGCATTTTCAGGAATTTTGAATAAAATATGGCAACAGATTGATTCTGATTCTCTCCTGGGATGCTAGAGATACTGCCAAGTTATATGGCACAACGCTCTTCAGCTTGCATTCAGAAGAATCCTAAAGGGTTCTTTGCAAGTTTTGATTTGACATTCCTGAAATATATAAAGGGGGAAAAGCAAGATTACCCTCTATGAGTTAGAAGACTGGTCTTTTCTACTTCTGAAAGCTCTAACACCTCTAATTTAGAACCTGATGAAGAAATTGCACAGGGAGGCAACTCAAGTGGGGAAGATAACCTGCTTCAAAATATCTCCCTATAGCAGTGGTTCTCAACCTTTTTAATGCCGCGACCCCCAACCGGTCATAAGTCGAGGACTACTCAACTGGTGCAGCATCGTTTGCAGAATAGGACTTTTGGCGGGCTCAGCAGGACAGAGACAGCCTGGACAATTCCTATTGGCTTTTGAAAGCCAATAGAATTAGACTCTATTCAAGAGAGTCTATTCTATTGGCTTTCAAAAGCCAATAGAATAAAAGGGAGTAGCACAGCTAAGGAAAAGGGGAAAAAAATGGCGGACTGCGTTGTTTGGCGACCCCCGTGAAATGGTCATTCGACCCCAAATGGGGTCCCGACCCACAGGTTGAGAACCACTGCCCTATAGTATCATATTACCATATGTGGTGGGAATGCCCAAAGGCTTGTGAGTATTGGAATAGGATATGAAGATGGCTGAAAGATATATTAATGTTGGACTTAGAGTTAAAACCTGAACTTTTCCTGTTGGGAATAACCACGGAGAAATACAATAAGGGAACAATCTATTTGCTGTTACATGTCCTGACTACAGCTAGGCTTGCGTTCGCGCAAGAATGGAAGAGCAAAGAAATTCCCATAGAGGAAGGGACACTATATAAAATATTACAATGTGCGGAAATGGACAGGCTCACAATGGTATTGAAAGACAAATGTAGATCAGTTTATTTCGAAACCTGGGATAAATTTTACCGTTGGAAGGATTCGAGGAGGACGGTTGAGATTATAGGCTAGTGTTAAGATAGAAATATATGTAATTTTAGAATAAGTATTGTATATAAAATTTAGATGTATATTCAGAGATGAAGAACCGATTGTAAAATGAGGAATAATTTGATAAGAATGTATATACTGGAATGTCACGTTATATTCAATGTTTTTTTAATTGTATTATAAATAAAATTTTGAAAAAAAAATCTCCCTATAGTTTGCAGAGAGTGACTGGGAAAGTAAAAAGAGGAGGGGAACAGAATAATGTGTTTTTCCTATCACAATCTCATTAGGGCTAGTAGGTTTGCTTACTCCTATATTTGTAGCAACGTAGAACTTTGGGGGGACTAGAAAGACCAATAGATCTGGCTGGCGGTCCCTGTGAGTTCAACCGTTTTTCTATTTTTTATTATAATATATTAATTTTAAAAATACAGTCAAAGAAAAGGAAAAAAAGAAAAAAGGTAAAAAAAGAGAAAGATTTACTAGCATCATAAAATTTGTTATAAAATTTCAAAATAACAGTTATTTAAATCTGAAAATCTTAAACGTTTTAACAGTGAAAATCAGTATAAAGCAAGTCAGAGTTGTAAGCCATCCAGTCACTTAAATGAGATGGGCAGTGTAGAAATTTAATAATTAACTAAGTCAATATTAAAATTGAATTAGTATACAGTAATTAATAATTATGACCAATATGATTCAAATTATACATGTATAAATTGAGATAAATTACCTTTTGACTAATTTGTTGTGTGAACCAATTATGCACCTTAAAAATCCTCCCACAATATCCTGTACAAGATTCAGACAGAAACTTTTATAAGCTGCCCAGAATCTCTGTGTGAGATGGGCAGCCATAAGGAAGGAAGGAAGGAGTGTACCAATGAACTAGCAATAGCAGTAGCACTTAGACTTATATACTGCTTCACAGTGCTTTACAGCTCTCTCTAAGCGGTTTACAGAGTCAGCATATTGCCCCCAACAGTTTGGGTCCTCATTTTACCAACCTTGGAAGGATGGAAGGCTGAGTCAACTTTGAGCCAGTGAGAATCAAACTACTGGCAGCTGGCAGTCAGCAGAAGTAGCCTGCAGTACTGCATTGTAACTACTGCACCACCATGGCTCTAAGTAACTAACTAATTAACTAGTTAGCAACTAACTAATTTGTCAGACAAACTGAAAGAGTTTAATCTGAGAGCTGAAGTTTTGCATGAATGTGATGGCTGGCATTTTGACAAAATATTTGTTTGTTTGTAGCATGAAGCTGTTAAAATCCTCCAAGATGCTATCAATGAATTTTCTGGTACAACTGAAGAACTGCGGGTCATGATTACTAATGCAGACTTAGTTCTTATGCAAGGAGATGTTGAAGCAGCTTTAACTATGTTCAGAAATATAACACCAGAGCAGACTTATTTTGTTCAAGCCAAAGAAAAGATGGCAGAGATCTACCTGAAGTACAGGAGAGACAAGAAGCTGTATGCAAGCTGTTATAGGTAAGACCTTATATTGCACACATCCTTTCCCCCCCCACACAAAAAATAAATTGCATTGTAAATTTATATCCAAGAAACCACTTTGACATATCGATTCTCTGCTTTTTGCTGATACCATAGTCATAGTCATGGGCACTGTTTTACATGCCCATCTGAGTGGGTAATTCCAAGCATTAGTCATGGGATATGAATGTTTGAGCCCCTGGCATCTATTTTATCAAAGATCCATACAAAACTGCTGCATGTGATCACCAATGAGATATTATCAATCTGCTGTTGACACCCAGTTCTATAGTATATCAACAACCTTTGGCTGTGAATGTCTTGAACTTGTGTTTTGAGGCTGTTAGGGACTAGATTTGGAAAATAAGCTTAGACTAAATCCTCCCAAGAAGGTGCAAAAAAAAAAATCTGGCCTGTCCAAAAACATCAGTCATGCTGGTTGCTTCAGCTTCTCTTTGAAGAAGATGGTCAATTACTTGGGGTTCGTTCTGGAGTTACAGTACCTACTGAAATAGCACATGGAAGCCATGGTCAGGGGGTCTTTGCCTAGCTAGGATTCATCCAGGAATCTTGTGTAAGTTATGCCTTGATCGCCGTGCAATTGAATGACTGCAGTGTACTCTACATAGACTTGCCTTTAAAAACAACTTAGAAACTCCTGCTGATTCAAAATTCAGGGGTCAAATTGTTAGCTGGGGAAGCCTCCACAGCTAGTAGTGTTATGAAAATTATGCTTCACATGTTCCCATCCACTACCTTCCTCTACATATTTCAGTTTAGATTACTTGCACTTTATCCTAAACTAATTATACGGTTTGTGAAAAGAGACCCGCTTCAAAGTAATGAGTCTAAAACATGGTTTGATTTTGCTTAATTCAGTTTAAGAATGGTTAACATGGTTAACCAAAACTGGGGATGAACACTTCCAAACTGCTCTTCATCTTCACTGGCTGAATTATGATTTGGAGTTCCTTTCATCCCATTTCAATGTGTTCCACCGAATTACTGTAATCTCAGAAAAATACTTGCCCACAGATTCATGCATGCTAATTAAAGCTAAGGTCTCCAGGAGATCAACTGATTTCAGTTGTTTTTCTCTAGAACACAAGTATTCTATATTCCTATTAAACTGACGTTTCCAAGGAAGAAGCAGATATTTAATATTTACTATTAAAGATCAGCCCCTGACGTTTTTGATTCTTGAAAACCTATCTTATTTGAACTGCCAGTAAAAGCTTCTGTTTCTCACAGTGTTTATTTACGATAAGGTTTCTTACTGTTCTTTGTAGAGACCTGGTGGAAAAAATGCCAAGTCCCCACACCTTTCTTCTCCTTGGTGATGCATACATGAATATCCAGGAGGTAGGTTTCTCCAATTTTACGCTAAGAATACAAGAATGAAACTAGATATTGGGCATTTACAAAAAGGAGGGGAGGATAAAGTTGTAATCTGAAAGTGAAAAGTTCATCTACTCTATCACAATACCACTGCACTAAATATCTGCATGAAGTTGAAGAGATTCTTGTTCTCCTCGTCAGCACGGACACAAGAGTTGACCTTAGTTCCTCCACTATTCTCACTCAAGCTTCCTGTTCCCAAACAAAGTCACTCCCTTTAGGACAGCGGTTCTCAACCTGTGGGTCGGGACCCCATTTGGGGTCGAATGACCATTTCACAGGGGTCGCCAAACAATGTAGTCCGCCATTTTTTCCCCCTTTTCCTTAGCTGTGCTACTCCCTTTTATTCTATTGGCTTTTGAAAGCCAATAGAATAGACTCTCTTGAATAGAGTCTAATTCTATTGGCTTTCAAAAGCCAATAGGAATTGTCCAGGCTGTCTCTGCCCTGCTGAGCCCGCCAAAAGTCCCATTCTGCAAATGGTGCTGCAAGTTGTCTGCAGCGAAGGCGAGCTGTCTGGAAGTTTCCACCCCTCCCTGCTGAGCAACTACTAAAAATTTAAGTAAAAGAGGGCCAGGGGTGGGAGGTGGGAGGCCGGCGGGCGCAGGGAGGGTTGCTGGCGCGCGTGGGGCCCGGCGGGTGCCTTATCTCTCTTGGGCTGGGCCAGCTGGTGGCCCAGCCGGTGGTCGGCCTGCGCCGTCTCTGCCGCTTGCCAGCTACACCCCGGCCGGCGCAGGGGGTGGCACCACGCATGCGCGGTGCTCCCGGGCAGGGAAAGTCCTCGACTTACGACCAGTTGGGTAGTCCTCGACTTATGACCGGCTGGGTAGTCCTCGACTTACGACTGGTTGGGGGTCGCAGCATTAAAAAGGTTGAGAACCACTGCTTTAGGAGGTAAAATGAAGAATACAGGTGATACATATATGTCTTCTGAATCTTGTGGAGGCACAGTACTGAAGGCATCTCTTTGAAGGTTGAGACATTTACTTTAAGCCCCATATTGGATATTTTGAAATTTTTTAGAAACATGTTTAAGGTCAAAATCTTATACGTAAGAACTCAAAACGCCTCCAGAATGGTAAAAAAAAATGCTAATTTTTGCAAGGGGGGCAAGTATAGAGTTCATAATGGCTAGCAAGAAAAGTGGTTTAGATTGGTTATTGTATCTCTTCATATGTAGATTCTATGCATGCACTAAAATGGTGTATGATCTAAAGTCTGAGTTGTCTGTTTTTTAATCAAAGTAAAAACAGGTATATGAATGGGTATTACTGTGAAGTGGAGCTGTTTTGTCATTCCTGGCTTTCTGAGTTGCATTGTTCCTAAAAAATGTTCTCAAAGGACCTGTGCATTTGCTCTCCTTTTTAGCAATGACAATAGCACTTAGACTTATATATTGCTTCACAGTGCTTTATCACCCTCTCTCAGCGGTTTACAGAGTCAGCATATTGCCCCCAACAATCTGGGTCCTCATTTTACCAACTCGGAAGGATGGAAGGCTGTGTCAACCTTGAGCTGGTCAGGATCAAAGGATTTTTGCCAGAATGTCAATGTGGACTTTGGGAGCTTTTTGCTTACTTACTTGTCTTAAGAGTTTTCCAAGCATGAGATAGGCCAGTGATGGCGAACCTTTTAGAGACCGAGTACCCAAACTGCAACCCAAAACCCACTTATGCATAGTCGGGTGCCTGGTGGGCGTGGCCCATTGGGTGGGTATGGCACATTGGCTGGGCATGGCTGCGATGGTAACAGCAGACTGGGTGGGACTAAAAAGTTCAATCAATCAATTCCAACTTTGCAAGATTTTTTTTTCCACAAGAAGTTGAAATTGACTGATTGATTGAACTTTTTTTTTTTTTGCACACGACGGTGGAGGCCTAAAGCGAAGAGGTTTTATAAAACCCAGCTGAAGGCCTAGGACTGGGGCAACGGCACGCTTGCCCACAGATAGGGCTCTGAGTGCCGCCTCTGGCACCTTTGCCATAGGTTTACCACCGCTGAGATAGGCAAAACTATGACTGAACTGATGTTGCTTCAGCCCCCAGCAACACAGACAGCAAAGCCAAAAGTGAAAGATCTCAGCGTGCAGTTCTCATCAATATTTGGAGAGTTACATCTGCCCTGTATTAATGAAACTTTTAATTATGTGTTGATCGTGAGCTTTTGATTCTCTTGAAAAATTATTTTAGGAATGAGTGGGCTGATGAGTTCGACAGCAATTTTGTGAAACTGCATTGTGTTGGGTTGGGTTGTGCTGGATTGCATTTTAAGTCCAGTCCTATATAATCTTCACTTTTATCTGTTGCAATTCTAGCCTGAAAAAGCCATAGAGGCTTATGAACAGTCTTTAAAGAAAAATCCTAGAGATGGAGCCTTGGCTCGTAAAATTGGGAATGCTCTAGTCAAGACTCACAATTATTCAAAGGTATAGTATGAAAAACAAGAGGGGCGTGGTGGCCTAGAGGTGAAGAGGCTCGCCTCCCACTCAAAAGGCAGATGTTTTTCTAAGAGGGCACAAAGAGAAAATATCTGCTGTGAACTCCGCATAGGCGTCAGGAAGGGCATCCAGCCAGTAAATGCTCAGATTCACTCAGTCATCCCAACTCCAGCCCGAAGCAAGGGAAAAGAAAAAATATAGTATGAAGAACATACAGAAATAGTAACTTGCATAGTCTTCACAAGCACCAGGGACTTTTAGAGTTGCAAAGTAAGCAGATTCCCTAACATATAAAAGTGGGAGAAACTAGGATGCTATCAAGCACATATCCTTTTCCCCAGCTGCATTCATCAAGATTGATGAACAGTGCATCCAAAAATTTAAATCCTTAGTTGGGGAGTTTAAGATTGTAATCATGGTGATGTTCATAATGCCATTTGCTTTCCTCATCCAGGGGAATTGCCATTCCCAGAAACCCAGCCAGCCAGCCAGCCATTAGTAAACAATGCTGGTAGTTGTACTTTTGCAATACTGAAAGGGCCTGACATTCCCAGCTCTGATCTAATTCACAGCAAAACTTTTGTTTCTTGTTGCAGGCCCTTGCTTTCTGTATATGCATATTATTTTTTTCATAATTATTGTATGCATATTGCCTGGAATTATAACTGGAACAAAATATGAATACATTGAAAAGTAGATTGTATGTGGGTCTTTGGATAACATTATTCCTTAAGTATCTAAGAGGTTTTGAAAAGGCATCAGCCTATAAAAATGCATTTGAAATTTCATTTAACATATTTTCAGAAGGAATCTTTGGTTTTTAGGCAATCAGTTACTATGAAGCTGCTCTGAAAACTGGACAGCAGAATTTCCTCTGTTATGACTTGGCTGAGCTACTGCTAAAATTGAGCCAGCATGACAAAGCAGAAAAGGTTCTTCGGCAAGTCTTAGATCATGAACCTGGTAAGACCTCCCATTTGTTTCAGATTTCCCAAGTTTGTATACATGGAATAGGCAAACACTTCCAGAACTTATTTAAGCATTTTAAATTTGACTAGTCAGCTTGCTTCAATTGCATATTTTATGCAAGCACTTTATAGTTACAGGCTAAGTAGATTTAAAAAAAAAACACTTTTGGGTGCTGGGAGCCTCCGGAAGGACTGTTCATGGAACAGAGCCTTCTGTTTCACAGAAATACTGAGGGAATGTTGGCAATTTTCTCTGCCATGCCACCTCAGTTGCCCCATTTTCAATCAGATCAAATTAATTGAGCTATTTGGGGTTATATTTCTTTCCTAACTCTTGCTTCAATTTCCTTAGTGCCCTTATTTTCATTGAATGCCCCCCTCTGTAGTAATGCATGTTTCCCAATTCCATCTCCTTGTATTCCGACAGGCAATGATTTGTCTTCTCTGATGGAAGATATCCAGTACCTGGTTCTTCTTGCAAAGGTTTACAGCAAAATGGAGAGAACTGTGGATGCTGTTATTTCCTTGCAACAAGTAAAGAAACCCTAAATCAGCTAAAGCATATATAATTGAAATGACCTTGGGTTTTGTTTTTTTTTTCTTCTAATGATGATCCGAGGTCTTTCTTTCTTTCTGTTTCAAACTGTAATATGTTCTGTGTTTTGAGGATGCCCATAATGATGTCTCCGGAGAGGATGAATGTTCACTCTCTTTCTCCTCTACAGTACCTCTTTTATGGAGCAGTCTTAAGAAGGATTTTTACTTTTATAATACAGTAAAAAAAAAAGAGGCGTTTATAAATGTGTGAAGACTCTCAGTGGTTTTAGTGTAATGGTTTAATGTTCCACCAAAATTGAATGAAAAATTGGATCACTCATTTTTCAATATATCGCAGTTCCAGTTAAGTCGCGATTTGGGAAGAATCTTGAGGTGATTAGAAGATGGAAATGCAGATTGTATGTAGAAGGTGTCAATCAATGCAATATTGTCTCTTTAGCCTTTTTGGGGGTGGGGAATGAGCGTCAGGAGAGAAATGCTTGATGGACTTGGCTGATGGTGACTAGAATCCGAGTCCCCCAAGTGCCATGTTCAGTGTTGACACACTACAGCACCCTGATGGACCGTTCTACTGCATCTCTCCACCAGTTAAGAGCAAAAGTCAATCTGGCCACTTTGTCCTCGTGTGAGAGCTAAGCAGCAAATGTCCTCTGGGTGCCTGAGGTTCTAAAATCCCTCCCTGACATATGGAGGATAGAAAGGCTCCTTCTTGCAACCTTTGAGTGTCCTTCGGCAGGCAGTACAGAGCCACAGACAGCATTGGCCTAACTTGGTTCAACACAACCCCTACTCTGAAACATATCAAAACAAGAATGAGCACAGTTGTGAGTCTTAGAAACCTTCAGTCATCTTCAGAATTGTCTCTCAATCTCCTTGCCTGTAATCTCCTACTGAAATGGATGGAATGGAATGGAATGGAATAGAATAATTGGAAGAGACCTTGGAGGTCTTCTAGTTCAACTCCCTGCTCAGGCAGAAAACCCACCTAGACTATTTCAGACAAAAGATTGTCCAATCTCTTCTTAAAAACTTCCAAAAAAGCTGGGTTTTTTTTTTTTTGTTGTTTGTTTTTTTTCATCAGGCTCGCGAGATGCAAGCCAAAGTATTGAAGCGGACTCAGATTGAGCAGCCGGATGCTGTTCCTTTGCAGAAGCAACTGGCAGCTGAAATTTGTGCAGAGATAGCAAAGCATTCAGCAACTCAGCGGAACTATGAGAAAGCCATTACTTTTTACAAAGAAGCGCTTGTGCACTGTGAGACAGACAACAAGGTCAGCTGAGCTCCAAGCTGAGCCAATTTTTTTCCTCAGGTTTGTTTGGAAAGGCTTGGAGGTGGCCATATTTGGAAAAACAGTAAGGATCCTGTCTTTGATTCTCAGGTGATGTTGGAACTTTCCCGTTTATACCTTGCATTGGATGAAGTGGAGGCATGCCAGCACCAGTGTGCTGCCTTGCTAAAAAATGATCAAGACAATGCAGCGGCCACTATGGTGAGTTAGGATGATTCTTGTTTTCTTTTTTTTAAGGAATGTGTAAACGTTTGTTGCATTGTTACCAACGCAGCAACAAACCTGCGTTCAGACATACTCAAAAATGACGACCACTGATACAAATAGTAGTCAAAATGGAATCTAAATTAAGAGTTTTAAAATCATTTTAAAATGTAATGCCACTCTCTTCCCCCCCGCCGCCTCTCCCCCAAAAAACTCTGTAGCAATTAAGTGAAAAATAAATGCTAAAAAGACTTTCAGGGGTATTAATAAACCTATGTATATCCCCAATCTACTTCTAATTTCTTTTACAATTATACATCAAAAATACAACCACTGATCATAACTTAGTCCTTTGGGTGATTTGGAAAGGAGGTTACAATAGGCCTGTTTTGTCCAGAAGTATTCCCACAACAATATTATCATAATTCACACCGGATAGTAAATTATCTTCGGGGCTTGAAAACAATGCAGTTGTTTAGGACAGAGGAGTGACCTATCAGTGGCCGCAATTTCTCTTCATTTAACAATGCGAGTGTCGAGGGGCATGGCGTTTTGAATTTGCCAGCATTTCTGGCCAAAAGAAAGTTGGAATTTGTCATTTGGTCAATGGAATTGAAAACATGGAACGTGAGGTATGCAGAATGCTGTCTGTACAAGAATATTCTGTCTTGTCTATATTTTCCTTTCAGAGATAAGAAGGACCCTGACCCTTCTGGTATTTTGTAAGTCCATGAAGACCTGGTTAGGCGCCTAGGTCAGGGACACTGAGTGTGCTAAGGACCCCATTTCTTGGCTATCTTAACAGCTATGGCAGTAGTTTTACTCAGCAACCATATATATTTATTCTGTGTTGTTTTAATTGTTTTATGATGTAGGCTCCAGAGCAATTTATTGAGATGGACTAGCTATAGAAATGAAAAAAAATAAAAAATAAAATAATAAATAAATAAATAATAGAAGAAAATTCCTTCCATTGCTTTGAGATTTTCAAATCTCTTTCATTTATATCATCGCTGGAGGTCATTTTTAATGGGATTCGTTGATGGGAAAAGAATGCTAAGCTTCTTCCCTCTGGCGTGTAGTAAAATACAGAAAATGCAGCATTGGCCTCATTTAAATTCGATCCTCCATCAAAGTGAGTAATTTGTTTTCCCTTAAACATTTATGGTACACCGCTAGCATTGGCTAGGTGAAATATTTGGCCCATATAGAACAAACCTATAGAATTATACAGCTGGAAAGGACTTCAGAAGTCTTCCCCCAACTGAATTTTTATTCAGTGTTGCCAGAGGCCGATGTTTGCAAGATTACCTCAGTGCAGAGCAGGCTGTGCGCTTTCCTCTGATCAGTGAGCCTGGCTGCTTTAATTCTTGTAGATGATGGCTGACCTCGTGTTCAAGAAACAGGACTATGAGCAGGCTGTGTTTCATTTCCAGCAGCTTTTGGACCGCCATCCCGGTGAGCATTGAAGCCTTTTGTTGTTCTTTTCTTACAAGCCTCATTCAAAATCAAACAAATCATGAGAAAGGGCTGAAAGGAACCAATTTTCCCCCACAAATGATTAGAAATGAAATATTACCCAGAAGTGTGACAGGACAATCCGCTGTGTTCAAGATCAGATGAGAAAAAGTTTTCTAAACCATAATGGCCTTTTAAAAAAAGTAGATGAAAGGAGAATATATTTACATAATTTGCAGAGCCCATTATACAATAATTCTGTTTTGTCTTGCCTCCATGGGCTTTATTGTTTAAAGCACCTGTATTTGCTTTACCACAGGAAAACAGAATTCCAGTCAGAATAGGAAGTAGGCTATGTACTACTCAAATATTAAGGTCAATTTAACAAAGAACATTTAGACACTTTGCAAGCTGACAGAATTATTTGTAGCAATAGCTTTCACAGTCCGGATGAGAAGTGTCAGCTATTTGGCTGAATCGAGGGTGTTAAGGGTGCTCCCAGTAAAGAGTTTCCAGGGGCAGGGGACAAGAAGACGGAAGAAAAGAGAATATATTATGTAACTTTTTTAAGGAAATAAATTATCTTTCTGCATTGGTTGTACCAATCTGGTCTTCCATGAATTCTTGAAGTCCTTAATGTGATTGGGATAAAAAGCTAAAAGGAGTGTTCTGAGAATTTGTTTTTTAAAAAATAAGAATGTTCATGTTCTAAAAAACAAAAAGAGATACATTTAATATTTGTCGATTGGAAGTGATGATGTGATTATTGTATAACAAGAGGAGCATTCTCCAAACATTTTGAGCTTTACTTAGGTGTTCCTGTAATACAAAGGAACAGAGTAAGGAAGAATAACATGGTGCCTATAATTCTTTTGTTTTCAGCTACGGTATCAGAGTTCTTAGCTGCACAGGCCAGGCTTAGCTATTGTCTCATCTTCTCTCCCTACCTGCCCTTCCCCTGCAGCAAAAGTAAAGGTGTGTGAGTGTGATGGAGGAGGCCAGGGCTATGCTTGTAGGCTTGTCTCTTTACAGAGTGAAGAACGTATGACTTGGGAGGGTTGGCTTTCTTATTTTCTTTGGTGTTCATGTTTGTTCTGGGTGTGTATGTGTGTGTTTACATATGTATGCTTTTAAAAAAAAGACAGTTGCTTTATGTGATCTGAACATATATTAACACATAATTACTCTTCATTATCATGTGCTTAGACAATTATACTACACTCTCTCGTTTAATTGATCTGTTAAGAAGAGCTGGAAAATTAGAGGAAGTTCCAAGATTCCTTGCAATGGCTGAGAAACATTCCCCAAGGACAAAAGTTGATTCAGGTTTTCATTATTGCAAAGGATTGTATTTGTGGTAGGTATAGCTAGAAGAGTACTAAGAAAAAAAAAAAGAAAGCTGGAAAAACAAGTCTTTTTTATTTGCCTTTATGAAATATTAGCCAAGCAAGTTCAGTTAGTGTATCTGTATCATACATGCACCACGACTGATTCCTGATGCTAGAAAAATATGCTTTTTTCTGCATTTTCCTCTTTCCCCCCTCCCAACATCCTTGAGCCACAAGATGCTATTCCTCCTTAACCTCTTGTCTCTGTAGATAGATTCATACATTTCACTAAGTGTTTGTGTGGCTCTTTTAGTTTAAGCTTAATGTATTGTATAAACTCAGCCACTTTGAGTTTAGACATACAGTGGCAGGATGCGTCCCTCTACAGTACAATAATTAATAATATAATATAATATAATAAAATATAATTAATATAATATAATATAATATAATATAATATATAGAGGTACACATCCTCTACTCGTATTAGGCTAGTACAACAGGTTAAAAATATTGCACGGTTCTGCAGATCAAGGTAATGACGAATGGTGATGTGCTGTAATCAAATGCTAATTGGATATATACTTTAATAGAAGATAAGTGTGTAAATGTACAGTGAATGGTTGACCCATACATTGAATTTTTATTTGATGATGATTCTTGGTTGTAATGACGTGATGTAGAACAGATTATGTTTCTCCTATAAAGGATTACCTGTCAATCTTAGAATTAGCACTTTTATTCTATTATCATATTTGACAGAGAGATTTGATGCCACATGTTTTACACAGAGAAGCTAGTTAATTTGCTAAATGTGATTTAAAAAATAAACCTGGTGTAAAGCTGACTTGAGTCTGTGTGTCAAGATATCTCCCTTAGTAGCAACTGTAATCTTACTGCATTACGCTTTGTTAGTCTGATGCCCTAAGACTACTTTTCACTTAGCTACAACTATATTCTTGTCTTATGTTTGAACATGCTACTTTTTAATTTCTGGGAACGAAATGAAACATTTTTTGTTCTTTAGCATTTCATTTCCTCTAGTAGCTTTTATTAGTATGATCCTATGGCCTACATTCCCTCTATGAAATCACAATAAATTGAGAACTTCATGTTTACTAAAGTCTGAAGTTGTAATATGTAAACGCAGTAACTACAGTAAATCTAAAGGGTTGTTTTTTTAAAAAAAATCCTTTCGCACAAGACGTTAAGTTTAATTTTTTTGCTAGGTACACTGGTGAACCAAATGATGCCCTTCGACATTTTAACAAAGCAAGAAAGGATAATGATTGGGGACAAAATGCAGTGTATAATATGATTGAAATTTGCTTAAACCCTGACAATGAAACGATTGGAGGTGAGGTATTTGAACATCTGGATGGTGACACAGAGTAAGTGATGACGACTCCTACTACTTTAACATGGTATCCTGTTCAATGAATGCAGTCAATCATGTTTGGAAGAACCCCTCCAATTTGTTTTTGGGTGCAAACAGCATAGGATGAAGCAGTAAATTTGTGTCAATTCATCCTGTGCATTATTAGATAACAGTGTTAAGAAGCACCTGATGCTTAAAAAAAAAAACTTGTTTGGTGGTTTAAATTTTCAAAGGGTGATTTCTATTTCAGCCCAACCTTACATTGAAGACATGTAAAAGCCTTCAAATCTTATCTAGCTAATTCAATAAAACAGGAAAACAACTTCTCTAACTGTACAGTTGTTTACTTCTTTTGTCAACATTTTTTTTCCTTTTCCGCCCTCAACAAGAAAGACTGAAATCCATCTTCAAACATTCAGAGAACAAAAGGAAAGAGGCATGTTGTAGGCTTGCCCTTTTTTACAGAATGGATTTGCCTTATAAATGGATTCATAGCTGATGAAGCATTGACATTAACATCATAAAACCAAATTCTACTTCCAAAGCCAATTTTCAATAAACCTTCAAAAGAGGGCTTAAGCCAAGCGACTGATACAATATGAGCATTATGGTGCATTGAAGAAGCACCACTTCTCTCTGTGCATTAAACTGAAAAGTGCTGTTAAATACTTTTTGCATTTCTATCTTGAATACATGAAAGAATGTCTCTTTTCCACCTGCTGCTAATGCATTCTAAAATAAAGCCTTAATGTTTTTTTCTTATATCTAGCAGTTCTACAGAAAAGCAAGAATCAGTCCAGCTGGCTGTGAGAACAGCAGAAAAACTCCTAAAAGAATTGAAACCTCAGACTGCTCAAGGTCATGTTCAGCTTGGCATAATGGAAAATTACTGTTTAATGGCAACTAAACAAAAATCAAATGTTGAGCGAGCACTACATGCCTTTACAGAAATTGTTACTAATGAGGTAAGTTGTTGAAAACATTTGTTCAGTTGAACATCTAGAGCAGTGATGGCGAACCTATAGCATGCGTGCCAGAGGTGACACTCAGAGCCATCTCTGTGGGCACACGCACCATCACCCTAGCCCCGCCTCCCGCTGCAGCCCCCTCACCAGCAGACGCCTGGAGTGTTACCCCCGGGCGTGGCCCGTATGAAGCAGCGCAGCCAAGGATATGGCAGCTGGGCAGCAGAGACAAGACTCCGCCCTTGCACCCTGTCGCGCGCAGGTGATGCTGTGGGGCATGGGCAGAGGGCATAGCCACCATGGCACTGCAGGGCTGCCTGGGCGATCTGCGGTGGGCCGTGGAGGTGGTAGGTGGCCCTGCGGGTGAGGGGAATGCAGGAGCAGGCGGAGCGGGCGAGGCGGGGCAGTTTTGGGGCACTCGGTGTCTAAAAGGTTCACCATCATTCTCAGTTTATCTTCTCTGTTCCATCTATTGTTGCAGAAGGATCATGTCCCGGCGCTTTTGGGAATGGCTACAGCGTACATGATTTTAAAGCAAACCCCAAGAGCCAGAAACCAATTGAAGAGAATTTCAAAAATGAACTGGAATCCCATTGATGCCGAAGAGTTTGAAAAAAGTTGGCTTTTGCTTGCAGATATTTACATTCAGTCTTCCAAATATGACATGGCGAGCGAATTACTAAAGCGGTGCCTTCGTCACAACAGGGTAATTAATAAACTAGAAACCATTTTAAAACTATTAATTGGTTAATCTATCTCTTGAAATTTGTAAGGAGCACTTAAGAGGAAGAGGCTTATGGCTACAGTTATAGCTCATCATAGGTTTCCTTGCCGTCCTTGGCTGTGTTCTGTCCCAGCCTATGTGAGTCCTTGTTAACGCACAAGGGCAAACCCCTCTTTTAACAAATAGACTCTTTTCTTCTTCTTTTTTATTTCTTTTCTCCTTTTTTTTCCTCTTCTTTTTCAAGTATCTTTTCTTTTTAATGTTTATGTTTCTTTTGTTATATATATTTTATTGTTAATTAGCTTATAAGTTGTTTAATTTTTCTTAGGATTTTTATAATTGTAGTTAAGCCTATATTCAGCTTTGGGAAGCTCGGGGAGGATGGAGGGGGTGGTTTGGGAGGGGTTGAGGGTTGTTTTATTGTTTTGTTGTTGTTCTTTTTGTTTTTTGTAAAAACTTTTCAAAAATTCTTAATAAAAAAAAAAACAAATAGACTGGAAATGCAGGAAAAATAAACCCCTTTTATCAATTAAGTACAGATCTGCAAAATGTTCCAAAAGCAAAGGCAAACAAAACACGATGCAAATGGAGAATTGTCCCAAGGCAAACAACATGATTCAAACAGAATTGTTCACAGGCAAGACAAACAGAACATGATTCCATGAAACTTAAGTCCTTTGCAAATAGTTGCCTTCAGCAACCAGCACCGCCCACACCTTCCCTTTTTATTATGCAGCCCCAAGGCGTGGCTTCTCAATACTATCTCCTCCTCCCTTGGAGTCGCCCCATTGTGTCCCTCTGTCCTGCTCTTGTTGCCTGTCTGCATTTGTGACTGTCTATGACAGTGATGGCAAACCTTTTAGAGACCGAGTGTCCAAACTGCAACCCAAAACCCACTTATTTATCGCAAAGTGCCAGGGCTGCATCAGCACTGTGGTGCCCTCAGGGAGGGTGGGGGGCATGGCCCACTGGATGGGCATGGCTGCAGTGGTCACGGCAGACTGAGTGAGTGTGGCCGGGGCCAGTCCCTCACCATCTCCAGAGCATCCCCGGGGAGCCAACGCCGCTTGCTCATTCACTTCCTGCTCCGTCGCTTCCAAACGCCATGTGCTCGCTACTCTGGTGAACTCTGCTGAGGCAACGGCGTGTGTGCCCACAGAGGGCTCTGAGTGCTGCCTCTGGCACGTGTGCCATAGGTTCGCCACCACTGGTCTATGTCTTCCAACTGTGAGTCCTCAGAGTCTGACTCAGCTTCCCAGCACAGCTGGGTCTCAGCCTGAGCACGAGTGGACGGGCCAGGCTGTTCATCAGATTGTAAGTCCTGGAGCTCATCAGAGCCTTCCTCCTACTCTGATGGCTCTCCAGGCCCCTCCTCCTCCTCCTCCGAATCCCCGGACTCAGCTGCTGGCTCCACTGGCTGGCACGGATCACAACAGGCTGTTCAAGGAATTCTTCCATGTTATTTCCTTTAGAGGTAGTCCTTGACTTACAACAGTTCATTTGGTGACCTTTTAAAGTTATGTCATTGGAAAAAGTGACTTGATGACCATTTTTCACATTTACAACCATTGCAGCATTCCCATGGTCATGTGATCAGAATCCAGATGCTTAACAACTGACTCATGACGGTTGCAATGTCCCGAGGTCATGTGATCACCTTTTGTGACCACCTGACAAGCAAAGTCAATGGGGTAGCCAGATACACTTAACAAAAAATGTTACTAATTTAACAATTGCAGTGATTTATTTAACAACTGTGGCAAAAGAAAAAAGATTGTGAACTGGGGTAAAACTCACTTACCAAATGTCTCACTTACCAACAGAAATGTTGGGCTCATTTGAGGTCGTGAATCGAGGACTACCTGTATTAGCAAACAAAGGGAAAGTTCTGGTTTAGTCTAACATCCTCACAATACTTTTTAGAAAAAGCCCCGAACTAGCTTATTATTTTAATAACAGGATTCTAACTTTAGAAATAACATCCTTGTTTTGTTTTGTTTTAGTCCTGTTGCAAAGCTTATGAATATATGGGATACATTATGGAAAAAGAGCAAGCTTACAGAGATGCAGCTATAAACTATGAGATGGCCTGGAAATATGGGAACCAAACCAATCCAGCCATTGGTAGGTCTATTCTTGGCATTTGCTTTTTGTGGTTTTCCAATAATTATTACCAGCCAAGACAAATCATTTATGAATCTTGCAGAGTTTGGAAAGGGGAAACATGCACTTATCATCAGGTCAGATTATATGTTCTCCTATTCTTTATCAGATCATTTTTCATCTGCTCTGATTGATATGCAGGTTCATTTTGCTTGATAAAAAATACAGGAAACCAGAAGTTGCCTCCAAGATTTACGTTTTTATTCAGCTGAACAAAGACGGGCTTCTCTAAAAGAGAGAAAAAGCCTCAAATATCAGAAAAACCTTATTTTTATACCTACTTTGATTACATAAGCAATTCACCCAGCAAAGCTGACACACATAAGATAAAGACTAATAAGAAGAAAGAAAGCAGAAGTAGCTAGAAATGTTCCTTTTTGGGTGGCTTGGGTGTTTCCCTAAGACACCATATGTTCCCGGGTGGGTTAGGATATTGGGTGTTTCCTTTGCTGTCCTGTTATGACCTTGCATTCATGGTTCTGCAAGTGGTCAGAAATAGTGGGGCCATCTGCACGTATTCACAATTGCTACTGTCCCCTAAGTCTGGGTCAATATGATACCTAGCATTAGAATATTAGGGAATTGGTATTAGAACACCTATTGTAAATTGTGGTCTCAGCCTACTGAAAGCAAAATATTGAAGAGAGAGATAGCCACTGCCAGTGCTTCAATAAAATGTGCATGATTTGTTCTTTAAACATTTCTATTTTAGCCTTGATGTCAAGATCTGTGTTCAGTTTAGTACTTTTAATTGGAAAATATGTTCTTTCAAATAGTAGAAATCTATTTGAATGTATCTAAAATTAGCCAAATGTATTAACAACCCCACAGCTGTCATCTAACTTGATGCTACATATGTTTGCTTGGCAATCTACTTTTGAGCAGGTATATAAGGCACTGTGCTGCAGGCTAACAAATTGTGGTTGATTTTATCAAGAAGCAGTCCTCTGTTAAATTAGCATAACAGAACAAAAAAAAATAGCAATTCAGAAAACATAAAAGGCCATTCCTCCTTTTTATAAGTATGATGCATGTATTTATTGCAGTGTAAATCATATTGAAATAACATTATGTAATAGAAAAATTGTTAGTTTTTTTCTAAAATTGGTACCTGTCTCTTTTAAAAATATTTGGAAAGCCAGTAATGCAATTAATGGAGAGTACATGTTTTCATCCTGGAATAGCATACTTTTCAGAAGAGCTTTTTGTGCATGCGTGCATACACACACACACACATGCACGCGCGCACACACACACACAATTTATAATAGGCATTCATAAACAGGCATCATGCATCCAGATGGAAAAAGTACATATTTGGATACATCATCACTTGGATTTCTGGAGAAGACCCCTCCATTTTTCAAATTGATGAGGTGAAGTACTATGTATGACAGCTGATTTTGTGCTATTGGAGATTGTTGGCAGCAGAGAGCAGTGTGGTTCTAAGAACTGTCAGGTTGGCTGAGGTAGAATTTAGTTGAAAGGAAGTTACTTAATTTCCTTGTGGACAGAAACAAGCTTGCTTTCAAGGAAATCAAGCTATCCTCTCATTTATTCCTTCCAAAGTTCTTAAATTTTGAGAGGAGAAAAATGCTACCAGCTTCAACATTTGTAGAATTTGGTGGGGTTCAGCTCCCTCCCCTTTTGTTTACTCTAGTCCTCTTTGGTATTTGTAGGACCTGAAAAGGAGTAAATTCACTTGCATTTGGGAGATGAGTGTAGGTTTCTGTATTCAATTCTTAAATCCACAAGCCCTTTTCTTCTGCTTGGCCTTGGAGCTCAAATCCATGTTGTTACAATGCATTCTTCATTCCATGAAGCCACTGAGGAATGCTGTATACCTAATACTGAAATGTAATCGATTCCAGAGTGAACTCCGTAAAAAGAATCTACACTGAGATTGTCCCAGCCCAAGCTCCATAACAAGCTGGCTTGTTATCACTTACAATATAGCTCAGCACTTTCTAAGCTGAACAAAGTTAATATAAATACACCTAATTGTGCTAAATTCAAATTTCCTCAGTTCCATAGAACCCGTTGAGGATTATTTCATGCATGGTATGAGAACTTGGGTGAGGGTTTCTACCTCCCTAGAACCACAGGGGCAACGTCTCTGTGAATAAGATGCCCCGTCTACAATGCCCCAAGACATGCTTTGATTTCACCAATCATTTCCAAATACAAGGGCCATGCAGATAAATTTTATGTTCATTATCTTTTAAGGGACACTAACCCTACACTTACACATCAGATGGCCATTTTTTTTAACCAAGTCCCACAACTGTGCATTTTTTTAAATTAAACATGCTGTTTTATTGTCCCATTATTTTTTCCCTTTCCTAACTAATTGTTGTATTAAACTGTTCCTTCTTTCGCTGTATTATTATTATTATTATTATTATTATTATTATTATTATTATTATTATTATTATTATTATGTAAAAGGCTGGTCAAAGACCATAATAAAGATATTTGATTTGATATTTCATGCAGAAGAGGCTGGGAAATTGATTGGGATGTTCTTTTCAAACCAGCTGAAAGGAAAGTGTTGTAGTAAGCAACTACGAAATTAACTTTTTCCAGTCAGAAAATGTGAATGAAAGGAGATGTGTGATGGGAAATTAAAGGAAAAACTTCTCTATGGTTTGTCCTTTCTTTTCCTGTTTTGTTGTTGTAAAAGATTTTGAACTTGAGAGTAATTTTGACTGATATGAAAATTATGTATAACAGACCAGCAGCTTATCTTATTTTAAAATCTTCCATTTGTACCATAATTTAAACTGGAGAGACAAACATGCACATATCATCCTAGTTCTTTGTTTTTATTTTCTTAAAAAACTCCAAAGCAAAATCTGTATCATTCTGCTTTTTCAGGTTTCAAGCTAGCTTTTAATTATCTGAAAGCCAAGAGACATATTGATGCTATCACTATTTGTCATAAGGTAAGCTCCACTGATTATCTGATAATGAATGGGGAGTTTTTTGCATATTAGGAATCAGAATCAGAATAAAGCAAATATATAACCTTATGGTGGAGTAAATATAGACAATACATTTACATCTCTTTTAAAGTTAACTTGTAGCTTGAAAAGCAGTCTCAGTGCAAGTTTTTTGTTCATTCAACAGGTTTTAGAAGCACATCCAAATTACCCCAAGATAAGAAAAGAAATACTTGATAAAGCACGTGCATCTTTAAGGACTTGAGCATTGATGAAGGCATTTGTGTTGATTTGGAAGATAAAAGGAGCTTTAAAGTCATCTGTAAAATTGAAGATGCTGCACATCCAACTAGTTCCCAGTGAAAAACAGCAGAGACTACTTGTAGATTTATTTTAAAAACATGCTGCTTTAGTATTTAGGGTTCAGTAAAAACAAAAGATCATTGGTGTCTAACTTTCCTCTTGAAGATACTGGCTGTGATCCAAATAAACTGAGTAAAAGAAACAACAGGCACAGTTGGAAGTTTCTTTTGAAGATTGCTCTGTGGCAGAGAATTCTGTAGAGAGAACTTCCAGCTGTGTCCATTGCGCTTTCTACATTGTAGAGGTGATTTATTTGGAGTGTAATCAATGTTTTGAAACAGGGTCTACTTTGAATCCCCAGGAATACCAAGAAAGGGGAAAAGAAAGTACTATACTACAATGTTATATTTGTATCTCTCTAGTTTTAACTATTTTGTTTTTGTAAGATATTCTTCTTTGCTGGAAACCTTAAGCAATAACCTAATTCTTATTTAAATTTATTTTACTCTAGCAATAAATACCTCATTATTGCATATTGCATAATGTTTGTGTGCAATATTGCATATAAATATGCAACAGTATGAAGAATATGATATAGAATGAAAGATCTCTGCTCCAGGGTTTTCCTGAAAACTTTTTTCCATGTTAACAGCTGTATTCTTTTCTGTTGTCCATCCACAATATTCAATCTCTGTATCTTTTGCAAGTGGATCAAACTAAGACACGGCTGTCAGACTCGCCGCATCACGTGACATGTTGTGACATATTGTGACTTTTTTCACATTGTCTGAGTTGGGATGGGCGCGGCCTCCGGCAGTTTAACACCCCTGAACTAAGAGATGAAGCCTTTTCCTAAGATTACCATGGACTTCTTAAATTTAAGGAGATATTTGAACCTCCGTTGCCTACATTAAAGCTCAAATTTAAATCAAGAATTAAAAATCAAATTGTTACCTGTATCTCTGGGTCCCTGTAATACTATCTTTTTATTATCATTTCTGATAAAGATGCAATTGTCTGTCATACTTGCTCTTAATTGATTCTTTGGGTTATTGTGGCAAAGAACTATTGAGTGATTTATTTAGAATTTCCAGACAAGACTACTTCTGAGAAACTTTGGTTTTAGTGATCCAATGAATGCCTACGCTATCTTGAATTGACTATAATCTAAATGGATGTATGCACCATATAACCACTTTTGTTATTCTGTCTCAAAAAGATGTTCACATAATCTGCTCTCTTCCAACCACTTGCTAAGTCAGTTGGAGCTGGAGAATTTGTTAAAGGGAAGGGATAGTCCCCTTCACCAGGCATTTTTTCTAGTGTTTTTATTACTTTTTTGTGGAAAATTTGGGTGGGGCAAGATTGCTTTTTTTAAAAAAGTAGTATACACTGCAGTGTTTCCTTTTACCACATTTGGATTTTTTTAAAAGACTTACATATTAAAACCAAACAGTTTTTATAGCCAGCACTGTTTAGTTTTCCTGTTGCCCCAACACAGGAAGAGCCAGCTGAGGGCATCTATTAGTTTCCTAGATTCAACATTTTAGAACTTGAGCGTGATAGCTGGAATTTTAAATGTTGTTCCAGGGGAGGTGAGCACTAGGCCTGACATAGTTATTACTTGTCAGTTCTGCCTGTGGTTCTATATAAGGAGGTATGTAGGTGAGGCAACCTGAAGTTGGGAGGGGAAGGGCAAAGCAGAAAATTCCACTGTTACTTCCTTAATGGTTTGATTTAAGCCGATCTTGTATGGTATTAATACAAGAGAAACAGCAGAATTAAAACTGTATGCCATGTAAAGCTCTGTACCTATATCTGCATCGTCCAATTCTCAGGCCCTGTGTAAAATATTTTTTATATAATCACCTCCTTGGTATCTATGAAGCTGGAAAACTATCCGTGTTACAGGTTGTTATATTATTTTGGAAAAGTGAGTGAATGTTTACTGTATATTATATAAAAACAGATTCTCAAATCTATTTTTGCTTATTATAGCAGTGTGGATTCTGCGATTAGGTCCTGCAACTTCCTGGCATCCTTAAATCCAATTTCAATTTTCAAAGACTGATGTTAAGGTTTCGTCCTTGTGGTTGAGTGTTGGTTCTATTTTGTGTGTGTGTGTCATATCCACATCCTGTTGCTGCACCAATTGTTGCTACAGTACACCAACAGTCTTTATTTAGTTTTACTGGTTTTGCTTTTTCAAAAACTCTTTATGCAAACTATACATAATGGATTTTAGCAGGAAAGGAAGTGAATTTTTAGTTGAAGTTTAAACTCTCTCTCAATTTTTTTTAGAATGTTATCTGTAACCACTACAGGATAAGATTTGTAACCATAATCATTTATACACGCTTATTTTAGGCATTTAATTTTGCTTCAGTTGCCAGTGAACTGAAGTCTGGTTATTTACGGCATAGCCAGTTCTGTACAATATTTTGCTCACTACTATTACAATAGGCATTTTTTATTTTTTTGTGGATTGAAATTTGTAATTGCCAGAAACTTCCTATAGAAGAGTTTAAGGGGATATCGCACAATAAAACTACTAAAGAATAAATTGCTAAATAAAAATAGTCTAAGCTTATTCTAGTTATTAGGTGGGATCCTTCTTATTCCTATAGCAAATAATCCAAATACCACTAAAAAGGGGTGGACTGTTTTCAGAAAGAAAAGTAGGGACAATATTCTAGACCTGTACAATAATATTGCTAATAAAATTTTGGTCTTCTGATATTGCACTGGATAAAAGTAACATTGGTTTATAATCATAAAAGTAGATAGAATGGTTAGATTTCCATGAGGATACCAACATTTCCTGTAGGTTTCACAATGATCTAAATTGCAGCATGGCTGGCTTCTCAGTTCCTCTATTATTCAGCTCCTATCCTTTTCTTCGGCCACTCTAAATGTAAACAGGAAGGAAGAACAGTTTAACAGCTAATAAAGCCAAGGATGATAATAATAATAATAATAATAATAATAATAATAATAATAATAATAATAATAATAATAATAATGCAGTGACATTGATAGACTTTATCTACCATGGCAAATAGGTGGGCATGGAATGCTACAAGTACATCAGATGGTTGAAGAAGAAAAAATGGCTCTGGAAGAATATCTGAAGAACAATGATGAAGATGCACTGAAATTAGTATATCAGGAAGGCTTACTAACTACTGGAGAGACCAAACTGGCCTACAAGAAAGACCAAATGAAGAACAGAATAGAGGCATGGGAAGACAAAGCACTACATGGCCAATACATGAAAAAAATAGCTGGGAAAGCAGATAATAATAAAACCTGGCAATGGCTAAGAGCACGAAAATTGAAGAAAGAGACCGAGGGACTAATTCTGGCTGCACAAGACCAAACCTTAAGGACAAATGCATACAAAGTCAAAATTGAGAAGACAGCAACAGACAGTAAGTGCCGCCTATGCAAAGAAGCTGAAGAAACAGTGGACCACTTGGTAAGCTGTTGCAAGAAGATTGCACAAACTGATTACAAGCAGCGGCATGACAAAGTAGCAACAATGGTGCATTGGAAGATCTGCAAAAAATATCATTTGCCTGTAAGCAAAAACTGGTGGGATCATAAAATAGAGAAAGTCATAGAAAATGATAAAATTAAACTGCTCTGGGACTTCAGAATTCAAACAGACAAGCACCTGCAACATAACACCCCAGACTTAACAATTGTCGATAAGAAAGACCAAAAAAGTCTGGATAGTGGATGTGGCAGTGCCTGGAGATAGCAGAATAGAAGAGAAAGAACTGGAGAAGATAACAAAATACAAAGACCTACAAATAGAAATAGAAAGACTGTGGCAAAAGCAAGCAAGGGTAGTACCAATAGTCATAGGCTCCTTGGGTGCAATCCCAAAACAACTGGAGCACCACTTGAACACCATTGGCATTGACAAATTCGCTATTAGTCAATTGCAAAAGGCGGCCTTACTAGGAACTGCTTCCATCCTGCGACGATATCTGTAATACCATCAAACATCCACATCTGCCTATCCCAGGTCCTGGGTAAGGACTCGATAGGTAGACAAAATGCCAAATCCAGTCTGAACATCTGGCTGACTGTGCGATGATCGATAATAATAATAATAAGTTGGAAGAGACCTTGGAGGTCATCGAGTCCAACCCCCTGCTCAGGCAGGAAACCCTACACCATTTCGGACAGATGGCTGTCCAGTCTCTTCTTAAAAACTTCCAGTGTTGGAGCATTCAACGCTTCTGGAGGCAAGTTGTTCCACTGGTTAATTGTTCTAACTGTCAGGAAGTTTCTCCTTAGTTCTAGGTTGCTTCTCTCCTTGATTAGTTTCCATCTGTTGCTTCTTGTCCTGCCCTCAGGTGCCTTGGAGAATAGTTTGACTCCCTCTTCTTTGTGGCAGCCCCTGAGATATTGGAACACTGCTATCAGGGCCCCCCTCGTCCTTCTCTTCGTTAAACTAGACATACCCAATTCCAGCAACTGTTCCTTATATGTTTTAGCCTCCAGTCCCCTAATTATCTTTGTTGCTCTTCTCTGTACTCTTTCCAGAGTCTCAGCATCTTTTTTACATCGTGGTGACCAAAACTGGATACAGTATTCCAAGTGTGGCCTTACCAAGGCATTGTAAAGTGGTATTAATACTTCACGTGATCTTGATTCTATCCCTCTGTTAATGCAGCCCAGCACTGAGTTGGCTTTTTTGGCAGCTGCAGCACACTGCTGGCTCATATTTAAGTGATTGTCCACTAGGACTCTGAGATCCCTCTCACAGTTACTACTATTGAGCAAGATACCCCCTATACTATACCTGTACATTTGGTTTTTCTTGCCTAAATGTAGAACCTTACTTTTTTCATCATTGAATTTCATTTTGTTAGATAGCGCTCAGTATTCAAGTCTGTCCAGGTCCTCCTGTATCTTAAGCCTGTCTTCTGGAGTGTTGACTATTCCTGCCAGCTACTTCTGCAAGTTTGATGATTTCCCCATCTATCCCCTCGTCCAAATCGTTGATGAAGATGTTGAAGAGCACTGGGCCCAGAACAGAACCCTGGGGCACCCCGTTACACACTTTATCCCACTCATCAGTGTGTCAATTTGCATGAAAATTTATGGAAGATACTGTTGTGCCACTAATTTTGATTCCAATCAAGCTTTTAATATCCTGCCTCTCAGCCACATTTCCACCTGGTGGTTGGATTCAGATAAGCCATTTTAAGCCATTCTGCCTCCATGAGGGAACAGTGGATCTCTTTCTTCCTTCCTTGATTTTACTCTCTGCCCAGTGAAGTGGAAAGACTCTATTAGAGCTTTTATCAATATTTTAATAGTATTTCATATCCTAAGCCTTCTTTTTAAAACATGGCCTTTGAATTAACTCCCATGAGAGAGGCAGAGAGGTAAGTGTAGTTATCTTCATGAAAAAGACCAGTGTTCCATATGGGGTTGCCTAGCAACTCACCTTCTACTCTGTTTTTGGAGTAGGGAGCGGAGTCAGTTTTCCATTTCCTATTCCTTCACTCAGTTTTCATAGAATATTTAAGTTCTTCATACCTCTAGTAGCATAAAACAAGGGACACGCCTTTCCATTTTTTTAATACTTTGGATGCTGGCAATATTTTTTTTGGGAAAGCTATGGTGCTCTCACTGCTTTGTATTTTCAAGAAAAAAATCCTTGAAGTGTTCCATTTCATCATCAAAAAAGAAAAATCAGATTGTTAGCAGCTAATTAAGTGCCACAATATGGATGCTTACTGAATATATACTTTATTCAAATAAGAAACTCAATTTAAAAACATTTCACTAATAAGCTGTGATCTGGATGCAAACGAGTAGAAATTAAAAGGAGATAACAAAAAGTAAAGGAAACATAAGGAAAACTAATTCATATCAACACGGTTCACTGTCTCCATATTGTTCTGTTCTTGCAAACATTTAACACATTCATAACTTGCTTTATGATTGGTTATTTTTCTTTAAAACTTGTCTATCGCTTCCCTCATTTTGAGAATTTCATAAATTTTCTTGGGTTTTTTCCTTCACATTTCAACATATTACACAGGTAATCCTCGACTTACAATCTTTCGTTTAGTGATTGTTTGAAGTTACAGTGCACTGAGAAAAAGGGACTTATGACCATTTTTCAGCTTACAAATATTGCCACATCCCCATGGCCACGCGATCAAAATTTGGACACTGGCTCACATTTATGATGGTTGCAGTGTTCTGGGGTCATGTGATCATCTTTTGCAAACTTCTGACAAGGAAAGTCAATGGAGAAGCCAGATCATTTTACAACCATGCCACTTACTTAACAACTGCAGTGATTCACTTAACAACTGTGGCAAGAAAGGTTGTAAAATGGGGCAAAACTCACTTAACTGCCTCACTTAGCAACAGAAATTTTGGGCTGAATTGTGGTCGTAAATAAGGACTACCCATATTACTTTATTGATTGCTCATTTTTGTATTCAATAAATATTCAGTTCTCATTTGTTCTCAGTCTATCTCTTGTATTACCATATGCATATAATTACCCCATTCCATTGCATTCAACCTTCAACATTTCACCTAACATACACATGCTTCGGTATAACAAAAAATTGGGCAGAAACATGCTCTTACACACAGCCATTTGGTTTCTTGCAACAGGATTTCTTGCAACAGACAATATAGTACCTATTAAGTTTCTATCAGGATTTCCACATATTAAAATTTCTTTATCCATTTTCCTATTTGTAACAAACCTTGCATTAAGATACATAAGATCCGCTATAGTACTTACATAGGTTTTTGTCAATTGCATATAAATCTAGTTAATATTACTGCAAAATCATTTGGCTTTTATTCAGTAAAACTTCACTATGTACAAACATGCATACTCACATTTTAAATCAATTCACCTGTAATGTCATTACAAATTTCCCTTACACAAATACATTGTGTAATAATACTCACTCTGTTGGAAGCTTCTTGTTCGACTCTCTTCACCTGCTTCCAAAATAGATTTTTATTTTTATCATTATCACTCTACATTTTCCTTGTTGTGTCCAACCTTAAATCCCTTGCTGCCTTTGACATTCTTTGCAACTATCTTTTTCTCTATATCTCTATAATAAAATAGATTTGTCCCATTGTTTGCAGCAATCATTGTCTCACATGACTTTTTCACCTCTGAGTCTTTCACTTTATCATTCCAAGAACTTTTTTCATAATTAGTGTGACTCCATCCATATCTGTCATTGTTGTTTCATCAAGTAGCTTCCATAGCCTCTGAGAAGTTAACCCAAGCAAGTAGAAACCTAAGAGCTCTGAATAATATTACTAATTTAAAAGAAATTCAAGCTTATACAAATTCCAGCAAGTATTTTACTTTCAAACGATAAAGCAATATATAGGCAATCTAAAGTTGTAAATCCTGTACATTTTGGAACACTTTGAGCATACTGGTTTGTGGGCTTTTATTTTGGTGAAAGCTGGACAATCTGCTTCTGTTTATTGTTTTGATAACAGTATTACTTTTAACAGTATGAGAAATAACGTTCACATTTATAACTAATTATACCCCAATTAAACTGTTGAATTTAATTACTGTCTGGAATTCAAATGAATGGATTTCAGAGTTCTTAAGAAACATAAAGACATTTTAAAATGATAAATCTGTACACATATATTGTATACCAAGGAAAAACTCCTTATAAGGCAAGGAACTGACACTGCAGTAAAATAATTTATTCAAGAAACCAGGGAATAATTTATTCAAGAAACCATGGAAATTTATACTAATAAATTTTTGTAGCTCAGGGTTGAAATGAGGATCCTTGATGCTCTCTGAGCTTGGTAGTCTAGCACTGATGATGTTACCTAGTCTGGGTAATGAAACATCTGCAAGAAGCTTAGAGAGCACCATGGAATCCTTAAATTTATACTGATATTATTGTTATTTTTCAGTGTTTTGATTTTCAGTATTTACAATACACTAAGGAAATCACAGACACTATAGTCACAATTCAGTTAGTAATAGCAAAGGCTTCAAACCTGTTCACATCGTTAAGAGTATGTAATTTGAAACTAGTAAGAATTTATCATGGGGAAATATGTTTTACATTCCTTCGAATGTAAATTAAATTAAATTAATATTCTAATGGCTCATTCAACTGTCAATTTCAGCAGAAAAATGATAACTAAACAAATGATGAGGTTTAGAAAAAGTATCATAGAATGGGGACTAATGAAAAAAACCATGCTATAAGTTTTTACTAAATTTGGTATTTGGTGTATTGGAAATAATCAGGATACAAAATGGAGAACAGGACAATCTTGTCCAATCTACTCAAATGAGGAAAATTAAAGAGAATTCCAGCAAATTAAAATCTTCAATAAGCAAATCCAAGAAATGATTGCAAAAGTAAATTAATTTTAATGTGTCTCTTATATCAATAGAACACCTGAAAGAAAAATGCTAGCCAGTGATGCTTAAGATTATTAGTATATATTAAATTTATATGCCACTCTACTCCTTCAACTCTGGGGGCTAGGTCAGTATAAAGATCTGTAAATCAGGTCAATTAAAGAACTTAGGCAGATGTCTACAACATGTACATCTGGAGTCAAACCCACAAATGTTAAAGAGTACTAGACAACCCTTAACCTGTTGGATCATACTTTCAATAATTCCTTACTTAAACAGAAAAACAGAATGATTACAGGTGGGCAAAGGGTGGGAGCAGGAGTGACTTTCAAGCATTGGAAATTATTCTTTCTCCTCCTTGGCTGTCTCAAAGAACTATCTGCCACTTTTCTGAGGTGAGAGAGAACAAAGAAAATCATGGACAGCAAGGAAAATTGCACCCCTACTCCCCAATACAGCATGTCCACAAGGTAATGCAGCACTATTTTTATCAGATGCAAGATGAAAGTGCAAGAAAATTAAGTCCTAGCCAAGCTGCCTGTGGACAGCTTGTAACCAGTGGGTTTAAAAGATAAGACAGAGTCACCAGCATGTTGGATCACTTTCTATAAGAGAGACTTTTCCCACACACATGATAATGCATGCAGTTATACCTATTTTCTGTCTGGCAATAAGGATCAGTAGGACACATAAGGCCGATTTGTCAATTACAATTTGTGCCAAATGTCAACTTCCGTTTAAAGATGTTTAATTTTTGATTATGTACCGTCAAGTCATTTTCGACTCCACAATTGGAGACCACAATTGGATTTGACTCCACAATTTGGAGACATGTGCCTGAGTTCTTTAATTTACCTGATTTTCACATCTTTATACTGACACAGTCCCTAAAGTCGCTAGGAGTAGGTTGGCATATAAATGTAGCATCTAGCAACCACTTTTTCCTTTTTTTAATTAAAGAACCCGATCTCCCATTAAGCACTGATGACACCCCCGGTATTTTATACCTGACTTTTTCCAAGCCAACAAGCCTTTTTGAAGGCATCTTTAGCAATAGGTTTCACTTTTGAATTGGAGGGATCCTACCTCGATGGGAATTGAGCAAACTAACCGAAACGGCCAATTGGGCTAATTTCCAAAATCAAACCTGCAGGGGAATCTAGAACTCCGTAGGAGCGAAAGATTGCACCAAACAAGGCCTTTTTTTTTTTTTTTTTTGCACGGCTGGAAGGAAAAAAAAAACCCTAAAGGGTGCACTTGCGATTGGAGAGTATTAAAAACACGCTGCTACAGCAAGCCTCATCTAGTTGGCCGGCTTCTGTTGATTCAGAAACGAAGGGCTGCAGAGGCGGCAAAACATCGCCGGTGCGCGCGCGCTCCCACTTTTTCTTAAGCTCCTCGCTCTTTTCTCTCTCTCTCCCCAACCGCCACTCCCGTGGCACGTGGCCTTCTTGCCTTCCGTTAAAAGAACGGAAGGAGGAGCTCTCGCCTCACCTGAGCTTCCAGAGAAACCCAGCCGAGCGCAATCGCGTTCGGCTTGAGCGCTCACCTGGGCGCCGCGGGCGACACATTGTTAGCCAATCACAATTTTCCTTGACCGCCGATCTCGCGCGGGAGGCGGGGAAACGAAAAGGGGAGAGAGAGAAAAAAAAGCCACACAGCTAGGCGCGAGCGGCCAAGGTTGCTTTCCTCTCCCGCTGGCTGGTCGAGGCCACAGGTAGGCGAGGGATCTGAACCGGGGAAAGAAGGTAGGGCTCTGCAGGGTCTGTCTTCGGAAGAACGGCGTATTCCCCCTCCTCTCTCTCGCCCGCTTCCCGCAACGCTCCCGAAGTCAAAAAGCCTTTCGTGGTTTTCGTCGGCGGCGCCTCTATTGAGAAGGAGGACCGGAGGGAGAGCAAGCGGGCGCCCATCCTCGCAAGACTCCCCCCCCCCGCTTTACATCTAGCGATTGGGCAGTATTTAGTCGTTAATATTTGATAGCGGTGCTGCATTATATGCAAGGCTTTGAGGGACGGGAGTTTGGATGGGCGTCGTGCCTTGACGCTTGTCTATCCTGTCAGAACGATCTCTTCATGCCATCCAAACTATTTTTAAAAAGTGCGAAAGTGTATTCGGTTAGTTCGGGCTACTGCTAATGGTAGCCCTGGGTTGTGAGGTAAAATGTGGGTATAGCTGTTTCCTAAGGAACAATTTGGGCACTGTCTGTCAAAACCCCATCATAGAACTGTATAGATTTTAGAATGATAAAAGAAACGGGGGGGCACAGAAGGATGGGGGGGATCTTTAATATGAAAAACCCGTGTGGTCTGGAGCTGCCCTGCAAGTTTGGGTTTTGAGTTAAGGCAAATTAAAAGTTGCCAGGGGCAGATCTAATCTGCATTTTATTTCCAGGAACTGCTTCCGGTAGTGATGTAGAAGGTTGTAATTTTCCAACAGAAGATGCTGACTTAAAAGAGAGGAGTAGCGTGAGATTGTACGTGGGATCACTGTGACTTAGTAGAACCCTTAAGTCTGAGGTGCAATTGTTAGATTTAGTTTGCAAGAACATTTTAAGAATATGTGGGATGTAATCTGAAGCAGGCTTGAGCTATTCTGGGTATGGGATGTGATAAAGAAAACTTTTGATGCTAGCATTAAACTATTATAAATATTTCCTTTTGTTGCCTAACTAAAACTATCTTTCTGACATACATGGTAATGCTTACTCAGAAGAAACTATTTAATTTCATAAATCACAGAAAAGTAAGTCTCCCTTGTATATAATCAATAAATATATTGAGGTTTTGATAATTGTTAGGAGTTATTAGATGCAGAGAACAGTATGTATATGTGTTATGCTATCTATACTTCTGTCAGAAATCAGGAAGTATATAAGTAACACAATTTTTTGTACCATACATAGTCTGTAAAGGCAGTTTTGCTATTAAAGAAAAATTCTGACAGGAACTGCTACATATCTAGTAGCATTGGAAAACCATTTCTAGTGTACTTGTCAGTCCATAATTAACCTGAATGGATCCAGATCCCAAACCATATAATTTGAAATATTTTGCCATGTGTATGGATCCTAATCTGACCATTTTAAATCCTAAATAATATATCATTAATTATTAAAATCATTCTAATTAGGTTATTGTTGCTTTCATTAAATTGAATGTCAGAGAACTCGGCCACTTCCGTCCCTGTTTGGTCCATGGTGGGGGTGGCGGTGGCGGTGGGGGCAGCAACTCTCCACCGTCCCTCATATGGCCCTTTGGAAGATTGTTTACCCTGTGTTAGAGCAACACTCAGAATTCATAAATCTGTTTGGTCACTAAGAGTTACATGATGGCATATAACTATCAGTATTCTATAACCTATATTACCATGTAGATAGGTTTGATGCTCTATTTTTCTTTTTTTTTTTTTCTTTTCTTTCTTTTTGTGCTAACTGGAGAATGCTCTACCAGGCTTAACAAGATTCTCTGGCCATCTGTTGAACTCAAACAATAAATGATGTTTTTGTTTTCTAATGTAAATGAAGGCTTTTCTTGGAAAAGCAGTTTTAAGCTATACTTCATGTAATTCTTATACTGAAAACGCTCACTTCTCTTTCCCAAATTTAACCAGAAGTGTGATTGGAGAAAGTTTTTCCTAAATTTTTAGAATAGTGCTACTTATTGCATGATACAAATTATATCAGTATGAGGTAATACAACAGCTTTGAATTGAGAGAACTATGAATGTTTCATAGCCAACATATAGGATCTCTGCATGTAAACTTTTATTGTGTTTACCAACGCTCCTTGCTCAACCATTTATATGGGCTTGCCACCTGCCTTGACAACTATATTTACTGTTTATACAAATGAGATTGACATTAGAATTCATAGTAATTTGTCCCCCATTTTTGGCTTATTTACAAACAATAGGATATCTATATCCTACATTGAAATAAATATATAAATGCTTTCTTCCAAAACATCCAGAGTTTGAGGTAATTTGGTATTTCTGCTCATTGCATTAAGAATTTTTGTTAATTTGTATCCTGAGGATTGGTATTGTAATACTACACCAGCAGGCTATGGCATGTGTTGTGCCAGTAGATGGCATCCATTTACATCAAATTAATTTTAAAAAATTAAACATAGCTACTCTTGAAAGATTTCTGTTCTCTCATAAGATCCCGGACATTTTTAATGTAAAGTTTTTAACAAATTGTTCTTCTAATTGTAAATATAATGGTATTAACAGGAGATATCATAAGAAATCAAGATGTATAGTTATCACTATATAACAGTGTTTCCCAAACTTGACAATTTTAAGGCATGAGGACTTCAACTCCCAGAATTCCACAGCCAGTGTTGCTGGCTGTGGAATTCTGGGAGTTGAAGTCCTCATGCCTTAAAACTGTCAAGTTTGGGAAACACTGCTATACAACAAGCTCCTTAAAATATGCAAATAATGAACATCTTCATTCATACAGAACAGATCCTCTTTTCTAAAAAGTTAAATGAGGCTTTCAACAAATTATTGAAGTTTTCTGTCCATAGCTCCAGCCAGTCAGTCACACTTCATTCCACAGTGCTATTACATTCTTCCTCCCATCTGACTTTCTATCTAGAAGTCTTTCAGCTTTGTGTTTTTATTGTTTTGTTTTGAAGAAATTTTATAATTTGGGATTTCTTTAAGTCTCTTGTGTCCTCTTTTGTGTGCATAGTAAAGTGCTGTTTGACTAAAAGAGAACAAGCAATTTAAGAATTGTGGTTATTAATATGGTAATATAAAAATAGAACCTGCAACATAACATTTGCAAAATTGAATACTGTGCTCAGAATTATGGCTAATCTATGCTTTGTCCACACATTTCCCTGCTTTTTAATATCCAGTATTCTGGGATCACTGAGCAGTTAAGTTCTTATTAAAAACAAATCAGTTTACTACTGCATTTATCCCATTTTCCTGGTTCACACAATACATTGAATCACATACTGACCAATTGCACTAATGTTTGCATGAAATCGTAGGCTATTAAAAAGCTATAATTGAAATTAACCAAGCTTAGTGTAATGTAATGTAATCACAAGGATTTGTTTAACTGAATTGGTTAGCTTTATAAAATTCATGTCTTAAGGTCTTTGAGAGGTGTTGCTCTCTCTATTCAGCCACTGTGAAACATACTATTGGCAGAATTATGAGAATGGCCTTCTTGGTATCTGCTCTAAGTTTTAGAAGTCCCTGTTAGGAAGATCACGCTAGTTTCATATATGTTATCTTTTTGCTAGAAGCTAATGTATTTAATTAGACAAGCCTTGAAATTTAGACTGACTTTTGATGAAGCAGATTTTAATGGTGTTATGTAATTTATTTCAGTCTTAAGCACATTTTAAGCAGAAAAACAAAAAGCAAGATACCACTGCATGCCGCATAATGCATGTGAGAATAACACCTCTATTAAGTAAAATAGCAACCATATATTTTTTCCAACTTTAAATGTAAGTAAGAGCAACTATTTGAAAATCATTGGTGGCTGGCTCCCTAGCAGTTTATGTACTGGGAAATGTCATCTTCCATGAATGGGAGACGGGAAGTTGTCAGGAATTTGTGACATCCATGGCAATCAAGGACTTGTCTCAAGCTACCATGACACAAACTACTGTGGTGGGGCCATGATACTAGTATTCACCTTGGAGGAATTCATGATCTGAGGATAAAGGACATCAATATCAGTCTATTGTCATGGTTCATTTGCTGGAATTCACAATCAGCACCACTCTCCATAGGGGGATTGGTCTGCTTTAAGCACTTTCCACTTTATTTCCAATGGGTACTTAGGGAATTTCCCAGCAACCATGCAGATAACTCTTGGATAGATTGGCTGAACTTTGGAGGATCAAGATAGGCAAGGCTTTTAATGGGGTTGCTCTGAAGTGGCCTGACTCTGTTGCTGATCCAAGAGGGTCTTTTCCAAATACCGGGGGTCTTTATGTGGGAGAGCACTGGAAGAGAAGATGACTAAAATAGGATCAGACGTAGGCATGAGCCCACATTTGCGCCTATTCTGTGACACTAAGAGCAGTGAAATATTAGTACTTTTCCATGGTTACTACATTCTCAGAGGACCATCTAGCAGCATTAATTACATGACTGAGACCTTTGGAGGCTTTAGGAACTTCTGCCTGAGCAATTTGCTAAGCATTTTGAAGATATTATCTCTTGAAGTAAACTAAGCTGGGACCACCCAGTAAATATTAGAATTCTCTTGATATTAAATTGTGAAAGCTTGATAGCTTTTCTCTCTCCCTTTTATACTCTGGATCAGTCTGAATTTCTTCCTTGCCCTTTCCTATCTTACTGGGCTAAGCTGATGTTTTTATAATATAGTATATTTTCTTCAAGATCATCTGCATCCTTCTCTATACTCTTATACTGGATCTGAGTTGGATGGTAGATGGGTAGATACTGATGAGATGATAGAAATAATGTCTTGCCAAGTAATTTGAGACTTTTCAAGCCTATGACACCTGAGGAAGTTGACAGTATCCTCTGTAGCTCAGCTACCTGCAAGTTAGAGCCTTGCTCTTCTTGGATAATACAAGCAGCCATAGAGGACACAAAAGGGCAAAGATCAAAGAGGTAATAAATATGTCTTTGGAGGAAAGACATGGCCTTGAAGGAGGTAGTTAAATGTCCCTTAAAAATTTATCTTTGACCTATCCATCTTGGGGAACTGTTAGCCAGTCTCCAACCTGCTACTTTTGAATAAGTTGTTGCAATGATAGTTGTGTTCCGGCTATAGAGTATCCTAGCTGAGATGGATTATCTCAGTCTCTCTTAGTCCGAATTTATACACTGATATTTTTTTAAAAAAATATTAAAAATTACATTATAGGGATAAAACTAATACAAACTATAAAAAGGAAAAAAGAAAAGATAAACATGCAAAGAAAAAATGAAGTAAAAAGAGAAAGAATCAAAATAATGTCCCCTTATAAAGTATAAACAACTTTAACAACTTATTACCATCTCTTAAAGTATAATAATCTCTTCATCCTGCATCTCATCACATTCTCTGTAAATCTTTAAAATATCAGCCATCCTAATTAGCAAAAGTCCAGTAATGGTTACCAGAAATAACAATATATTCTTTTTTTAACTTGATTAAAGTGATTAAATCCCTTCCTTTTATGTTTATATCTCTTTTTCTATCTTTAATCAAATTCCCAAACTTCATCATTCCAATCTAATCAATGTTCAGTTTATTGCAGTCATAGACCAGTATAAATAATAAATAAAATTTAAGACGTTCAACATTTAATATGCTAACCGAGACCTGTAGAGTCTGAGATGTATCCTTTGGATTTTTTATAGTTTCTCTGAGCATTGCATGGTCTGACCGTGGGGTGAATTTGCTGAGACATATAGTGCAGGGAGGATTGGCAATTGTCTTGAATGTTTTCCACTTGTGAATAATCTTCCTCACTGTAGAATGAAGGACTTTAAATTATTTGGAAATGGCCTTATAGCCCTTCCCAGAATGATGGGCAGCAACAGTTGCTTCTCTAAGATCATTGCTGGTGTCTTTGACATTGCCTAAATCAGAATAGTATATGCTGTGTTAACATATACCTCAATGCTGGAGACCAGTGAAGTCCTAAAACTTCAGCTTTTATAGAGGTAATCACACTTGCTGTTGATCAATTGAGAAACTTTCTGGTGGCTGGGTAACTGTGTAAGCTTTCTGATGGTTTCTAACTATGTAAGATAGCTGGCAGTGGTGACAGTATATCTGTTGCGTACTGGTGACAGGAAGGTTGGAGCCTTCCCTAGATCTGCTTGCCTCTCTGCATCCTTTAATCTTTGCTTCAGGGTTTGTTTCGTCTGATCATTAGCCATGTTAAGAATTGTAAGGGGAGAGTAGCCTGGATTTCAAAGATTAGATTCAACAGCCTTGATCCAGGGGGACTGAAAACTGTCTTCAAGAATTAATGGTGCTAAGCCTTGAGGATAGAAGTTGAGTTTTAAGGAAAGGGTTATAGAAGCCTAGACACACTGTTGACTCAAGTTTTATCATACGTATCTCCACTCGTAGATGTGCATTTGAGATACAGCATGGTATCTGGAGAGCTGCTCTTATGAATTTGGATTGTACCCTTTCTAGAGAGGTGAAACACGAGCCTACGGAATTAGATGCAAAAGAGTCCCATAAAGAAGCTGAGCCTGAAAGAGCTTCAGTGAGGCTGGAACAATGTTCTCTCTTGGATCAGAAAAAAATAAGGGTGGCATTAGCGGTTCTTTGTCCAGGAGCAGTAGCATATTCACAGTGGGCTTTCATTGAGCCAATGGTTAGTGGTTAGGGGGTCTAGAAAGTCTGGAACTTTGTTTGTCTTACTGAGTCTTAATTTATCTAAATCTAAATCTGAATAATGAATATAAAATATTTTACTTTGCTGATATGGCTCTACCACTCTGAACCAGAATTTTCCTACATGTTCATAATTTTTAAAGAGATTTAATAGGGATTGTAATACTGAAGGGTGATACAGATTTTCTTTTATTTGTGCATATACCTATTGGGAAACTCTTCAAATAATTTGATTATAGTAAATGGTATGTGCAGTTTGGAGGGATTTTTTTTGCTGTACAAAAACTAATATGCAAAACAGTTTTAAGACACAGGATTGCCAGTCTTGCATAAGGCAATATGGCTGAAAGGCTAGCATACATCTGGTTATAGCAGGGGTAGGCAATCTTGGCTCTTTTATGACTCGTGGACGTCAACTCCCAGAATTCCTGAGCCAGCCATGCTGAGGGGAAAGGGAGAGGTTTCTAAGCTGAGCCATGCTGACTCAGGAATTCTGGGAATTGAAGTCCACGAGTCATAAAAGAGCCAAGGTTGCCTACCCCTGGGTTAGAGCAACGTTCTTTCCAGTACTACTTGAGAGATTATCTCTAATACCTGACTGGGCAAGATGCTTATCAAATAATAAATAGCATATACTATTCTGATTTAGGCAAAGTGCCTAGCAGGTAGCAACACATTCAAAAGTAATGTGAGAGACATACTGGTAAGTATCCATCCATCTGTAAAATTAGAATGGCTACCATGTCAAATAAATGCATAACATTATAATGCAGCTTAACCTCTCTGTCCTCTCAAATGACATAGAACTGGATAAAAATAATCTGTTGCTTAATACTGCAACTACAAGTTTTTCTTTTACTGTCTGGCAATCAAAAAATACAACCAGAAGTTTCATTTGAAAAAAGAAAAATGCAGTGGTTCTAATTAAAATATAACTTTTATCATTTGGATAGTGCTGTTTTAATACATTTTACTGCTATTTTAATACGGATGTTTCTTCAAGTAGAAATGATTCTCTGCCAATAGGGAGATTGTAAAAATGGGTTTTGCTAATCTTAGTTGTAAAAGTCTTCAACCATTCAAAGGTGTAAAAATGGTTTGGAAACATATCTGAAAATGCATATAGGATACTGAAAGGGAAAGTGGAGATTTATCTTGGGATGCGCAAAACATTTTGTCTTTTCAGTCCCAAAATGGGCCATCTGAATGTTCCAGAAGTGATCAACTGAAAAATGGGCATTAACAGAAAAGGACCATTTTAAGGTTGGATCATATCCAAAGCACACAAAATAGAAGTACCTTTTCAAAGTTGGAACACTTCCAAAACAGAATGACTCATTTCGAAGTTTGAACTGCCTATTTCAGGGGCACAATTCAGGGACACATAACAGAATATTGTGAACTTCCTTGAGATTCATTAGTCTACAATTAAAATTTTTAGAGGATCTGATCTAAAATATATCGACGAATATACCTAAGAATAATCTATGTACAATAAAATAAACTGGCAGATATATCTAATGAGGGTTCTTATAGGATTCAAATACTCTAATAAGTTTAGAAAATGAACATTATTTCAGCAACCCTGAAAGGTAGTGACTTTGTGAATTTATTATTAATTTAAATTGTTGCAATTATTTTTATGAATAAACATACATTGGTATGATTAATGTTTTTAAAAATCTTGCAGGTTTTCCCATTTTGTGAACTTCTTTGTATAAAAGAACATTTTTTGAAGCAGTTCTATATGTCTACTCTCCATGATGACTTATATGAGAATGCTACGGCGCTTCATAATGAAACAGTTTTCCCAGAAGAAACTTTGGAAGTTTACGTTCGTTATTTTTGTCTTCTTAATAATTTTGGTTTTGTTACAACGAGAAGTAGGTGTCCAAGAATTTAATGAGGAACCTGGAGTGCCATCTCATGATGAAAAGAAAACTGTATTAGATCTAGTGTTAAACGCTGTGAACAACATTAAAGCTGCAAAACCAAAAATGCAAATTAAAGCACCTCTTAGGCAGACTCATAATGCTGAACAGAAGCACTGTTTGCCAGGATATTACACAGCTGCTGAATTGACTCCTTACCTTGAGCGTCCCCCTCAGGACCCTAATACTCCAGGGGCTTCTGGTAAAGCATTCAAAATCATCAATTTAAGCCCAGATGAACGGAAAGAGAAAGAGCACGGTGAAGAAAAGCATTGTTTTAATGCATTTGCCAGTGATAGGATTTCTTTACATCGAGATCTAGGACCAGACACACGACCTCCTGAGTACGTTGAAATGTATTTGGATCTAAGAACAAATATTCTAGTTTTTGATTAAAAATATGTAAAATATTGAAAAGGGGTATCTTGAGCTTCTATTTCTGTATTAAGATGTGAACTGTGACTGCTGTTATTATAGCTTCCCCCAAGCCACATCATCCTTGTGGAAATAAGATTGGCCCCCATCTTAACACTCCTTCCGTCTTTCTGAAGACATGATTTTGCCAGTGGGCCTGGGGACCCCCATGGTGGTACGGGGTCATCAAGTGATTGGTTTGATTGTTGTCGCCAGGAGGGTGTGGGTTTATTAGATTTTGTATTGGGATTTTATTTTTGTAAGTCGCCTGATGTTACTGTGAATGAGTAAGATGGCTATACAAATTTCTTAATAATAAATAAATAACATAATTGCTAATTCTTACATCTGTAGATATAGCATACAGATACATACCTACATTTGAAATAGTTGATGATAGCAAATCATGCATCTAAAAAAATATTAAGAAATCTTGAAAAATTTATATGGGGCTGGAGCACTTCCAATACATGGATTAAACTCTTAATGCAATTTTCCAGCAGTAGAATTTTTTTTTTTTATTTTAAACTTGTTTATTTAAAATTTGAATAGTTTGCTAATTATGATGCAGGTTTGTGGGCAATTATTCTAAATCTTTATATTCCCTCATAATGTCAATCTTATAAAGTGGATTAGATAGGAAATTTGACCAGATGAGCTTATTCTACTTTATTATAGCCTATATTAGTAGAATCTTGCAAGTCTGAAAGAATAGATCTCATCCCAAGAAATTAGTAAAGGCTTCTTCTGTATCTCTTATCCCACCCAATTTTCAGCTGTAGACTAAGCTGTCTCTTATCTGAGTATTCCATAGACAGCATCTCTGGGCCCAGTCTCTCAAGGTCATTTCCACATACCATTACACACAATGTGATACAGAGATTATCATTTTATTGTTTTAAATGAAATTCTTAGAAAACACCTGTGCCATGTTACTTTTGTTACATGTTTTTTTTAAAGTAATGATTAAATAGTTTTACCATACGTGCAAAGCTCATTGATCGTGTTTTATCGATGCCATGAGTTTCAAGATCTGACATTTCTGATTCAATTTTTTCCTATAAACTATGGTTTTATCCTCCAGATGTATTGAACAGAAATTTAAGCGCTGTCCTCCACTGCCTACTACAAGTGTTATCATAGTGTTTCACAATGAAGCATGGTCAACTCTTCTGAGAACAGTTTATAGTGTGATGTATACTTCCCCTGCAATATTACTGAAGGAAATAATTTTGGTAGATGATGCCAGTGTGGACGGTAAGATGCTGTCTCTAAACTATAGATTACTTTCAGATTTGGTTTTTACTAATGAATATATACAGCCGTTTCAAGGGATGAAATATCCACCTCCCATATACTATACCAACAATCAAGTAGAGATAGTCCTTGACTTAGGACCATTTGTTTAGCAACTAATTGAAATTACAACAGTGATGAAAAAAAGAGAGTTAGACTAGTCTTAGCACAACTGTTGCAGCATTCCCACAGTCATGTGATCAAAATTGGAGCACTTGGCAGCCTGTGGTTTGCAGGATCCTGAGGTCACATGATCACCATTTGTAACCTTCCCAGGCAACTTTTTATAAGCAAAGTCAATGGGGGAAATGGGATTTGCTTATCAACATTAGTGATTTGCTTAATGAATGTAGTTTTTGACTTAACAACCTTGGCAAAAGAGGTGGTAAAATTGGGCAGAACTCACTTAATGATCACTTTGCTTAGTGCAGCAGTTCTCAACCTATGGGTCGCGATCCCATTTGGGATTGATCGACCATTTCACGGGGGTCATCAAGCAAGGCTGTCCGCCATTTTTTTCCCCTTTTCTGGCGGGTGCCTTACCTCCCTTGGGCTGGGCCAGCTGGTGGCCCAGCCGGTGGTCGGCCTGTTCCATCTCTGCCGCTTGCCAGCTACGCCTCGGCCGGCGCAGGGGGCGGCACTACGCATGTGCGGCACTCCCGGACAGGGAAAGTCCTCGACTTACGACCAGTTGGGTAGTCCTCGACTTATGACCGGTTTAGTCCTCGACCTACGGCCGGTTTAGTCCTCGACTTACGACCGGTTGGGGGTCGCGGCATTAAAAAGATTGAGAACCACTGGCTTAGTGATTGAAGTTCCAGTCCAAACTGTGGTTGTAAGTTGAAGTCTACCTGTACAATGTAAATACATCCATATATGTTTTTAAGCTGAATTAGTTTGCATGCACTTTCTTTTTGGCTCAATTCAATCTAAGTCAAATTATGGTTAAGATTATTTTACATCTAGATCTCAATTGCTCAAGCTAGAATTGGAAATGTGCCAAATTATTTTAGCAGTATAGTTGGACTAGTTGGTTTTATGCAATGCTTGATGTGATGCTAAACCTGATAAATGCCAAACTATTGCTGTCTTAAAGGGTTGTTACACTATAAAGCAGGAACACTTTTTCTAATGAAGTTCCTTGGTGATGGAAAATAAAGGAGATGGAATTCTAAATCATATGTAGATAGCGTTACATTGAGAAGTCTAAAGATGGATCAATCTGAATTAAGTCACGGACTTTCTTTGCTTGCTACACTTACTAAGATTCATTGTAAAAGAACACGGTGCATCAATTTATCCTGGTAGTTCTTCCCCTACAGTGGCCATTACTGGCTGTTTTAGGACTTAACAAATTGTTGAAATACAGGATACACATTCTTTCTACCCTCACCTAACCAGTAACTGAAGCCATTCAAGCAATTGTGGGGAGGCTCAGTACTACAAACAAGAGAAGGATGGGCATATGTGTGCAACAAGTTATTTATCTTGGTTCTGAGCTAACCAGCAATATCTTTTTTGTTGTCAAAGGGGAAAACTAGCTGATATTACATGCTTAATCATATACGTAGTAGAATATGGCATAGAATGTGCCCCTTTGTCTTGTTAATCAGTAAGTATTTTCCTAGTATATCAGTTGTCCATTTTCAACTTTTCCTTCTGTCTTCTAAAAACCTCATTCTGATTAGAACAGCTCATCTTGTTGCTGATTGTTCCTATTGCATGACACTGCCACAACCATTCATGCAATTGAGTAATATTCTAAAAGTGCCCGTGGGTAGTCCATTGTGATCTAAAATTATCATTTTCGATTGTGTATATATAGGACTTCTGGGAATGTTATTGCCTTGGATGAATGATAAATGTGACACACATTTTTTACGTAGATTGTAAGGCTGATTCCTGCTACCTATCAGAGGTACTGGATCATTATAAGAAATTCATATGAGTAATTCATATTGAGAACAGATTTTTTTAAACAATATTCTCCATCAACAACTTATTCTCTTTAAAGCATTGGTCACGGTCTCTTAAATCAGGATGAGCTAACCTTTAATTTTTCTTTTAAAATGTAACACTTGTCTATAACAATATTCAGTTATAAAGTGCTTGATTGTAAAGCCAAATTGGTTTAAATGATACAAAATAACATTCATTTGATTCCAACTAAATATATGGATCACTTTTTCCAAAAGCACAAAAATTTGCCAAAGCTTAACTTTATTAGTAGATATTAGCAATTACAGTTTTGCTGAATTAAGGTGGTACTTGTTTGGTCACTTGTTCGTCTTTTAATAATGAGATGGTAAGGAAGCTTTTAGAACTGTAACCATGATCATTGAAAAATTACATTATTTTTGGTTTTCTTCACTGAAGAACTGATCCTAACAAATAAAATTTAACATTATGTTTGTTGAAGGTGTAGAAAATAACTTGTTTTCTTTTCAGACTACTTGCAGGATAAACTAGATGAGTATGTGAAACAATTCCAAATAGTTAAAGTTGTCCGACAAAAGGAAAGAAAGGGGCTTATCACTGCTCGGTTGTTAGGTGCTTCAGTAGCGACCGGAGAAACCCTGACTTTTTTGGATGCACACTGTAAGTATGTCTAGATAGTTCACTGAGCACCAGAGGAGCACTAAGTAACTTGAGACATATTATCCTATTTTGTCACTGAATTTCTATCAAATCTAAAATTAGGATGCACTGATTTAGGGAAGCTACTGTAGCTCATTTCAGGATCCGGTTACTTCTGGTGAGTTCTTTCCCAGATTGGAATCAATATTCTGAGGTCAAGGTGTTTGAACCGCAAAACATGTTGCATGTCTCTAAAAGAATAATAATGTGAAAAATATACTAAAATACAATAAAATAAATGTATACTATGTGTGTGATTTTCTTTTGAATTATTATTTTTAATTTAATAGGAGCATTGCAGATGACATGTTTCATCTTGTTAGAGTAGGAAATAGGTTTTTTTTCTTAAAAGATAGATTCTCAAGTAGCTATTTAAATATATGGGGTTACATCACAAAATCTGGCATGCAAATGCATAAAATGGTTGGGATTTTTATAGTGTTACAGAGGAACTGAAAGAATAGAGAAGCTTTAGAATTCTATTCCCCCACTGCATCATTTAATATGCTATTTTTCAAACTTGAGAATATTGAGATATTGCCATCATAACTTATTATTTAGAAGTCCAGAACTTAAACAGTACATTTCTTAAAATTAGTAAAGAGAGTTGAAGGCATATCTCAGCAGGATACGTCTGGTGTTCAAAAGAATATTATTGTATAACAGTATAATTCATAATTAGTTGCAGCACAAACGAAATTGGGAACTAAATGTAAAGGCAAGCAATTATTTCTAAGTAACTCCAAAATCCAGAACAATTCACATACATTGATCCTATCTTACAGTTCAAGACTTGAAATAATTGAGTAGTTCCAAATAAGTGAATTCTTGCCAGATAGAATAGATAGAAATAGTGATTTGATAAAAATACTTATGAGCATGTGTATATTTTTTCTTTCACCCTGTCTTTATCCATTAGAATAAAACTAAATTCAGTGCCCAGTAAATGGTACTGTGGATCTCCATGATTAGAAAACGCAAAGTGTTCTCTGCCCTTTTTCAGAACCACCCTTTGCCCTTTATCTAACAAGACCTAAATATGTCAAGTGCTGCTGACTGCTCACTTGTTAGAAGTGATTGTTCTATCAGGTCTTCTAAAACTTTTATGAACTCTGACCAGGAGTACATTTCCAGTCTCAGGATCTAGAAATATGGAAAGAAAAACATCTCTGAACTTGCATGGAATACTTTTATTTCCTTGAATAACAACAGGCTCCCAATTCCTTGCACATTTAAAATTCAAGAACAGTTTGCTTCCAAGCACCTGCAGAGCTTAGACTTTTCAAAAGAAAGGTTAAACTAATAAAATGTTATAGTATCAAAAATAAGTAAATATTGCCAGAATTTAAACAAAAACAACTAGTGATATTGCCAGAATTTGTTAAAGAACAAATTGAAGGCACGCTTAGAAGTATACTGAATATACTGAGATTTAAGTTGATTTTTTTAAAAAAAGTGGGAAAGAATAGGATATCTTAACTAGGCCGAATACTGATTCCTAATTGGCTTAAGTACCAAAAAAGGAATAAAGTTCTGTTTTTCTTTATTATTTCTTCTTTCCTAGGTGTGATCACTAAATTTTAAACATTATATTTGAAAAGGCACTTTTAATTTAATGTTCCTCTCAGCTAATTCAAAATTCCTTCCAGTAAACAGGAGAAATAAAAAACAAACCTAACCTGTTTGGAAGTTTTCTTTTGAGTAGTTAGACTTTTGACAAGAGAGTTGAGTGTGAGGAAACAGAATTAATAACTGAATATTATTACTTTGCTTTCCTTTATGTAAGCAGAGGTTTTGTATTTCCATTTCTCAGGACTTAGACTTAGCTACTTATAAAATGTATAAGGCAAGAAAGATTAAAAAAATGCAGCTGCTTCTTTAGAATTATTTTGTGAAATAACTTTTTAAATTCTGAAAAATTTTCTGCAATTGATGAATGTATATGCTGTTGAAAGAACTGCAGTTGAATAAGAAATTAGATTTCGCTGATTTCAGAGAAGCATCCAAGTTTATTCACAGATTTAGTTGAGCATTTTCTTACATAAATTAAAGCAATATAAAAGAATCTAGAATTTGTCTACATCTGTTTAAATCTTTGTTCTTGCCCTTCTTTGTGCCTTTGTTTATATGTTGGCTGTTATTTACCAAAATAACTATTGAATTAAGTTTGAAAACTGAAAAATACATTTAATATAAAATATAATAAAACAATATTTGTCTTATTCACAGGATTAATTACAATTTTCAAGATTTTTTACAATATTCTTCTATATGGCTTCAGACACACTTAATTTTTTTTTCTTTTGAATAACTATTACACTAAGAAAACTATTTAAAATTAATTATATTTTACCTTGACAATACATATTTAGTGTTATTTAATGATAATTGTTTGTAAACTGTAGAAGTTTTTATGAAATTGATAAAAAAGTGTCCTGTGGAACAGTTCTTAAAAATAATTTCCAGGGACTAAAATTATATTTATAGTTGAAGTGTATTTGAAATGTTCTTGTGCAGGTGGAAAAACGGCTCGTTTCTTTATTTTAGGTGAGTGTTTTTATGGATGGCTAGAACCTTTACTAGCCAGAATAGCTGAAAATGATACTTGTGTTGTAAGCCCTGATATTTCTTCTATTGACCTCAATACTTTTGAGTTTAATAAACCTTCTCCTTATGGTCAAAACCACAACAGAGGAAATTTTGACTGGAGTTTATCTTTTGGCTGGGAATCTCTTCCTGAACATGAAAACAGAAGAAGGAAAGATGAAACCTATCCTATTAAGTAAGTAATGAAACGTGAGTTATTCACTTTTTGTCATGCTTTTTTTGTGAATGAAATACAAAAGAACAAAAAGTTCTATGTTTTTATGTATCTGGCTATCCAGCTTTGATCTCTTAAATATATTTATTGCATCCAAAGAAAGCCTGGTCCACTTAATGTGTGCAAAAATTTATATAAAATAAGTTCTATCCACTCAGTGTAAAAGTTGCATCAAAATGAGATGGGTGGCAAATAAATTTAATAAATAAATTAAAAGTGGTACATAACTGAATAGCTGCAATGCAAACTTTGAAAGAATTCCATGCTAATATTCCTAAGCGTGGAGCAATTTTCCTCAGGTTTTGTGAAGGAGATGGCAGAGATGTAATGTTTATTCAGCCCTGAGAAAGTAAGAAGTATGAGAAAGTAATTCAGAACAGCCCCACCATGACCTTTTTGTCTTTAAAGGGGAGTGGTGAAGGTTTTGGACAAGGCTTTCTATTGATAAATCCTACAACAATAAAATAGAATGCTGGAATCTCTGGAAAGCTCTTTCCTGACACTGCTTGAAAGATCGGCCTATCTCAAAAGGCTGACACTTAGGATCAATAGTTTGATTAAGTGTAAATGGGTTGTACATGGGGAAATAGTTGATTTTAGAATTTTTAGAATATTATGGAATGCAGGCTAGATATAATTCATGAATGAAGATAAGTACATGTGTCCCAGGATACGGTTGCAGGATCCAATCTGTGTCAGTCACCGGAGCCAGAGGTTTAAACTTCCAAGCTTTCGGACTTGTGCTGGAGCCCATCCTCATGGAACTTTTCTCTCTCTCTTTCTTGAGAGAGAAGTTCCCTGAGGATGTGCTCCAGCACAAGTCCAAAATCTTGGAAGACTAAACCTCTGGTCCCAGTGACCGACCCAGATTGGATCCTAGATATAATTCACTTGAAATCTACATTAGGTTTTACTTTATTTCTTCGTAATGACTGACTTCTGAAAAGTTATTGAACTTGTCGACTTTTCAGTGATTTAATTTTACTGTAGCAATATTACTATATTAGGCTGGAAGAATGTCAAATCAAATAAGATTATTTATCCTCAGATATCAAAAGCCCCCACTTTTAACCCCAGGAAAACTCTTTTCTGTTTCTGATTTTGAAATGGATTACAGTATTCTACACACATCCACCTCATATGGTAGAAGGAACCTGGTATCTGATGACATTTCCAACATTTCATAGACCTGTCCTTAAACATTTTAGCTAATCTTTCTGGAGACATGTACCATCTGTAAAACATTTTGTACATATTTTCTTTATACGCCGTCGCCATTGTCAATTTATAGTTTCTTTCCATAGTTGCTGCCATTTATCTAATTCAATTGTGTATCCAAAATTCCTTGTCCATTTTATCATTGTCTCTTTCACTTGTTCCTTCTCTAACTCCATATGTAGTAGATAACTGTACATTTTTTAAATCCATTTTTCTTCCGTTCCTGTGAGTATTTCATCTAACTCTGTTGTCCCCAAATTAACACCATCTATTTTAACATCTTTTTCATATCTAGATTGTATTTGCGTTCTCATGTACCAATCCATCTTTATTCCTTGTTCCTTTAATTGTTATTTGGTTTTCAACTCCCCCATATCTGTTAGTAAGTCTTTATATCTTATAATGTTTCCCATGTTAAACATATTGGGGTGTATTAGTGCCTCCATAGAAATATAATTGGAATATAATTAGAACATGGATAGAAAAGATGATATAACAACTTATAGAACTAAGACCAGAAATATTCCTGTTGGGTATTCTAGCAGGGAAATACAATAAAGAGAAAACATATTTAATTATTCATATAATTACGGCAGCCAGGATTGTGTTAGCACAAAATTGGAAAGCACTGAAAGCCCCCACAGAGGGAGAGGTGATTGGGAAAATACTGGAATGTGCAGAAATGAATAGACTAACAATGACAATTAAAAATAAGACAGAGTCAGACTACTATGAAATCTAGGGAACTTTTTATGATTGGCTGAAAAGAGAATACGGTTAAAAGATAGTTAACATCAATTTAGATGGAAGAAGAAGGAGCAGATAAGGAGGGAAACCCAGGCGATACAGTATTGAATAACTGGAGGTTGTATAAATATTTATAGAAGTATATACAGAGAAGTTTAGATAAATAGAAGTATTAATGTAAGAGAAAATTAATCTTATTGTATATAATACAGATAGGGAAATTTGGAGAGAGGAGTTGCTCAGACATTACCCCTGAATTATATCTGAAGAGGGATGAGAGGGAAGAAAGGAGAGGAGAGAAAAGAGTAAAGGAGGGGAGAAGGAAGAAGGAAGGCTGGAGGAGAAGGGGAGAAAGGGGAGGAGAGTGGTGAAGGAAAGAGAAGAGGAGAGGAAGAAGAGGGAAGTAGGGAAGAGAAGAAAGGGAGAAAGAAGGTAGAGAAGAAGGAGTGTGGATACAGTGAAAGGGGAAATGGGCGAGCAACACCAAAAGTCATGTGTGTGTATTTATTTCATTTTATTAAAAGTATTTTATATATGAATGTAAAAAGAATGTATGTTAACATCTGATAAATATCACGGTATATGTATGGAGGAGAGTTTGGAAAAATAAAAAATTATTAAAAAAAAAAGAAATGGATTACAGTATAAGTTCAGACAGCAGTCAAGTCATTTTCATAAATGTATGTTCTACTGCTGTTGATGTGTTGCTTCCGCTGTCCTTGATATAGAATTATATTTAGTGATGTCATTTCACTGACATACTGTTCTGTTAGAATAGAATAAATCCAACTGCTCTTTCACACACACTCCAAATGTTCTTCAAGAAGCTGGGATATGATTGCAAAAGAACAGAATTAGTAAGAAATTTCATTGTATGATGGGTTTTACACTTTTATAACATTGGATATATTTGCTTGGTGGTGTTAGTTCAGTTGATCAGATTCATTTGAAGAAAGATAAGATTAAGGTCATATATATATATATATATAAACACAATAATAGGTTTCAGTCAGACAGAGAAGTTCCTGGCTTCATAAAGCTTTCTCTCTCTTACTTTCTCTCCCTCCCCCCAACTTCCTCCCTCCCTCTCGCAGAACACCAACTTTTGCAGGAGGTCTTTTTTCAATATCAAAGGACTATTTTTATAGAATTGGAAGCTATGATGAAGAAATGGAAATATGGGGAGGAGAAAATCTAGAAATGTCTTTCCGCGTAAGTTAATAGAGTATTCACATATCTTTTACTGGCAAAATGACTATTTACATGGGGACAAAACTTCTTAAACCTTTAGCTCCACTCTGCAGACAGAGCAGATAAATTAACCATATGATAACAAAATAAAATGATGTGTAAATTCTAGGAGTGGTATCCTTGGCTTGGTCAACACATTATTTATTAATTCATGCTTAATTCATAATAAAAAAAACTTCTTTGTTTTAGTATTATCTGTGTGGCAATGAAATACTTTAAATCTTTTCAGTACATGCATGTTCCTGTAGCACTCTGATCTGATAGCAGCTACTGAAGGTTTTACTGAGTACAGTTCTGTATTTTTCAGGTGTGGCAGTGTGGGGGGCAGTTGGAAATTATACCTTGCTCAGTTGTGGGTCATGTGTTTCGCAGCAAGAGCCCCCATACTTTTCCAAAAGGCACTCAAGTGATTACCCGGAATCAAGTTCGCCTTGCAGAAGTGTGGATGGATGAATATAAATATATATTTTATCGGAGAAACACAGAAGCAACAAAAATTGTTAAACAAGTAGGTGGCGATGGTGGTGGTATTAGAAATCAGTTGCTTCATTGAAATTCTTGGTGAGCAAAAATTATTATTTATTTAGGCACTATGTATGATTTGCTTTGCTTGGCAAAATATTGAATAGAATAACAGCCAGTTATAGTTTATTTAATATTTTACAATATCGGAACTTGAGTAATTGAGTCAGGTCCATCTGTCTATTCATCAGATTAGAATTGGAAGAATTTTATTAAAATGAAAGAGTTGAGAAAACTTGAATGTGCTTTAAATAAATTAGAGTTAATCAATTGAATGAATATTAGAAAGCTAGTTCTAGGACTATGCTTTTTTTTCTTCCTAGCATTCTTCTCACAGTGCAAGGTATGCTTTTTTTTTTGGATCAACTGAGTGTTGATCCATTGGTTGTGTCAGGAATTGATCAACTTATCGCCCAAGCTTGATGCCATGGGCAAGTGAGTGGCTGGCGCAAATCCACTCAGCTGACTTTCATGCCTAAGATGGGACTAGAACTCATAGTCTTCTGGTTTCTAGCTCGGTGCCTTTAAGTTTATATCATGTGCACATCTGTGTCTCTGTGTGTGTGTTTATGTATATGTGTATATAAACATTTTGGGTAAGTACAATAAAGAATGTTGGCTTACTTGATAAGAAGGATAAATATGCTTGAATTTGTCAGAGAACTCTATAGAAGGGGAAGCATTATCGCTAATTTGAGTTACTGGAAACTTATGTGACAACAGTGAGTCAAGTGGAAAGGGATAGATCCAGTTTTAAGGCAAACAATAGGAGAATATACTGTCTGCTGTCCCTCTCCCAGTGAAATCAAGCTTCTGAGTTGTGTATAAGAACTTTGTAGAAACTTAAAATGTATCATTAACACATTGGTGCACTGACAATTTATCACATCTTTCAAACAAATAAAATTGGGTTGGCAATCATTTATTACTTCCCTGGAAGGAATTTATTATGGGCCCTTTCTAGCATACAGGTAGGTCCTCGACCTATCTTGTTTAGCGACTGTTCAAAATTACAAAGGCACTGAAAGAATGACTTAAACCAATTCTCACATTTACAGCCATCACAGCATCCACACGGTCACGTGATCAAAATTTTGACACTTGGCAACCAGCTTACAGTATATTTACGATAGTTGCAGCATCCGGGATCATGTGGTCGCCATTAGCGACCTTCCCAGCCGACTTCAGATCAGCAAAGTCAATGGAGGAAGCCAGATTCACTTAAAGACAGCATGAGTCACTTAACAACTGTAGTGATTGGTCTAGCAACCGTGACAAAAAAAGGTAGTAAAATCAGGGGTGATTCATTTAACAACTGCCTTGCTTTAGCAATGTTAATTCTGGTCCCAATTGTGGTTGTAAGTCAAGGACTACCTATAAACTTATTTAGGTTTTCTTTTTAAAAAAAAATCTTATTGTTTCGAGTACTTACTTATGAAAGCTGTGGCTTAAGCAACTTAGGAAATTTTTAGAAGAAATGTAAACATCACAAAGTGAATTATTTAAACTTAAAGGCTTTATGTATTCCGAGCTCCTATCATAAGGTGACCAACCGTCCTCCTTTAGGGCGGACAGTCCTCCTTTTGTAAGTTCTGTCCTCCCTTGAAAAGTGTCCTCCTTCATGTCCTCCTTTTCAATATTTGAAGACTAATCTGCAGGGCTTTTTTGTCCCCCACAGAACGCTCAGAACGGCGTTCCGGCACCTTTTTTTGATGGATTTTTTTTTTCAACTTTTGCATGAGCTGTGCTACTCGCACTATTGGCTTTCAAAAGCCAATAGGAATTGCTGCTGAGCGTGCCAAAACACCCGGCTGGCAAACTTTGCACATGCAAGTTGTCTGTATTATTGTTGCAATGAATAAAATGTTTCTTTTATTTACGATATTTTTTTTCTTCAATTTATTTGTGTCCTCCTTTTCATTGTAAAAAAGTTGGTCACCTTACCTATCAGCCAGGAAAAAAAATTATATTTCTATTTTCCGAGGACCCAGCGTGAAACCCAGAGTGGAGACCACTCACATCCTAGAGTTACTCTCTGCTGTGTGAGAATATGGTGTTGCAAGCAACATGGCCCCAAGATGTGGCCTAAATCAATGCTGCTTAGCTGTAAGAGGAACAGATACTTTACATTTACTTTACATTTTAAAACTAAGCTCTTTAAAAACCTCTGCTATCTAATTTTCTGCTGCAAACAAATGTCATAGCAGAAACTGATTTCATAGAAGAAGGCAGAGAAAGATTGCAATGGGAAGCAGTGGTGTGAGAAAGGCAAAAAGCAGCTCAGCACTGATATTGGAGGTTGATAGGCAAATAAATGGTATACAGGGAAATCTTCGCTTATATAGCAGATGGTGTTCTGCCTCAAGCTGAAGATTTGCTGAAGCTGCACCGTGCTTTCAGGAACCACTAAAAATGCATTCACTACTTCATGATTCTCATGGAGGCACTGTGTTTGGCGGCTCTTCGATTTGCAAGGCAGAAGCATCATCCACCATTTGAGTTAGATCTCATTGCTGGTCAGCAGCCTGTTTGTAATTAGGAATTGTTCATAAGCCAGAGGTTCATAAACTGGAGACTTCCTGTTATGCATATCAAATGTACAGAGATCACCCATTGTCCTTTCCTCCACTGAACTTTATATATCAAAAACCTGCTCAAGGGTGAAATGAGGGAAGCTACAAAGATGGCTTAGCCAGAGCTGATTACTGCAACTCAATCTGAAAATTCAGCACTCTTTTGTAGTGTTGTTGTATCTCACTCACTCCAAAAATTGCCCCTGTGCAAAAGGGTCAAAGAAGCCATTTATGGACATGGACATACACACACACAATAATCTGTATGGAAATAGTTTTGCTGGTAAGGCAATTAAAGCCTGGTAAAACCACCAAGTAAAATCACACAACAACAAAAGTAATCAAGAGCAACATGAACAATGCTGGGTCTCAATTCTAGCTTCTTTTTTCTCTTTTATTGACGGCACTGCATGTGTCCTGAAAGATTGGGAAGTGGCAGTAACAATCCCTACATTTTATAAGGTTGAGGAAAATTTATCTCTAAATTGTAGGCCTATCAGCCTGCTGAGTATAGTTAGCAAGTTGTATGCCAGACATCTGTACGGTTGATTAGTGGTTTGGATGGAGTCTGAAAATATCCTGGCAAAGCAACAATTTGGCTTTCATCCTGGCTTTCTGTTTTACACCCAGCCTTTATATCAAACCATCTGGCGGGAAAATAAACTAAATTTATCTCTATATGCAACATTAGTTGATTTTAAATTGCATTTGACCTGATCTCAAGCTACAAATTGTTTTCAATGACAATTGATCACTGCCTATTTCTCCTGATGTTGATACTATGTAAAAGTTCATATTTAAGGATCTGTTGAAATACCCATTGCTAAAGAAATTTCAATTTCAAATTTCATTATGTGCTTTTGTTTCTGTTGTAACAAACGATGTTTAGAGATCAGCAGTGATAAAACTAAAATAAATAAAAATCCTAGATAGTAGAAATGTGGTTGAAAAGTCACAGTTGAATGTCAGCCCAAAATTGGAGTGCTTTTTTGGTATATAAGAGAGTAAGGAAAAGAGTACGCTTTTCACTGTAGTCTTTTTTCTTTTTTTCAATGTTACATGACTCAGCTACTTTTCGTTGCATAGTTATTTTTAGATGCTATAGTTTCCTCAGATCTTATTTCACTACCATCCCTCCATATTTCTGTTCTGCCCCAGGTTAGAAGTAAGGATTGTCTAAAGACAATGAGTAAATTTGAGATTTTAATCAAAATGTGATTAGGCAACAGTTTGCTTCAACCAAAAGATAGTTGTAAAAGTTGGAATAGCTATTTTTAGTATTCATTATGAATCCATAACTTCCCTTCTCCAAATAATGATATAAATTATCGTAAAGAAATCTATTAATTAGTTACAATAGTTAATAGCAATACCACAAACAAAAGATATCAGCAAAATTGGGAACTAGTGATGGAAATCAAATATGTGTGTGGATGCTACTTCTGGAAGTCCATTCTGGGGCTGGGCAACAAAAAATTAGCTACCAGTTCTGTCAAAGTGGTGTGAACCGTCTAAATCCCACTACTGGAACTGTGGGCTTAGTGCTGATTCAGTGTAAATCAAAAATATCTTTCTGATATAAGGAAATTCCTCTGAAATCTTAACTCTAAGCCGTTAATATTTTGTAGTTCCTAGAACTTTTAAATATAATGTCAATAAGACAACTTTTATCTTAGTTGATAAACTTTATGGCATAGGTCCAGGATATCTGAGAATGGAATGATATAATTGGGCACAGCTGCCTCACCCCTGCCCCATCCGACCCACCGTGACCATCCCCAGTCGCTCCTCACTGGCTGCTCCCCCCAGCAATTTGCCAAGGGCAGTTTGCTTGGGCAGAACTCATCCAAATAGATTCAGCACACAGGACAACTAGTTGCTCAGGATAACTCACTAAATGCCAGAAGTGAAGAGAATCTTTTTCTCCTCCCCTCCTTCTCTCTCCTTGTCTCTCCCTCCCTCCCCCACTCCTTGATCCAACTTACCCTGCCCACCAATACCCCTTGCTGTGCACCCTCCCTCTTGTTGCACAAGTAGCACAACCCAGGGATTTGAATTAAAGGCCCATTGGGGACACTCAAGGCATCAAAGAGTTGATTTTAAAGTGAATGAGGCTACATTGCCCTGTTCCAAAAGTTTATCTCGCCTTTTCTCAATTAGCAATGAGCAAAGAGGTGGTGTGTGTGTGTGTGTGTCTATGTTGTTTTCCGTCATTTCTTGCCCAGATGTATATAGAAACAGGGGAGGGGGGGTCTTTACCCTTTCCCCTCTCCTCCCTGTATCTGCTGGATGTCTTTCCCAGTTTTAAACTTGACCAGCTCCTCCCAAAATTTTATCTCTGGCTCTTTTTTGTTTTCAATCTTTATATATTTGTGACAATTTTTCTTCCAATTGTCTTGCTGGCCCTTGTTGCTCAGCCAAAGTCCTGAGTCCTGTAGCCCATTTGTCACCAGATGTCTGGGATCTCCAACTCATAGTGGAGTCCTTGTTGACCCAGGTATAGATTTCTGTAAGTCACATCTCATCACATTGTTTATGGGAGAGACACTCTTCATCTAGCTCCTCTGATGTGGCCTATCTAATATGGTTGTATTATTATTATTGTGAACATGTTTATATCAGCTAAACTATGTGATTTTTAATCTCGTATGTTCTTTAGTGAAGGCACCAGGCTAGAAATCAGGAGACCGTGAGTTCTAGTTTTATCAACGGGGTGACTTTGTGCCAGTCACTTCCTTTCAATCCAACTCACCTCAAAGGGTTGCTATTGTCAGGAAAATAGAAAGAGGAAGCAGCATTAGGTATGTTCACCGACATGAGTTATTTATAAAAAATAATAAAGGCAGGAAACAAACAAATAAATGTATTCTTTTAAAAAAACAAACTGCAAGAGCAAGGCCCTGGTTTATTGATATGAAGTCTATTTTAGAAATGACTGTTTCCCAGTCTTGCAACATGTGGACCTCAGTTCCCAGAATTCCCTAGTTGGCATGGCCAATTGTAAGAATTCAGGGAGTTCACATGACTGGCTGTTGTCGGGGTTGTTAAATATGATATACATAGAAAGCAGGTTTACCTCGGGCAGTAGAGACCACCACTTCTTCCTTAAAATATGGTAATAGACTGTTGTGTTCTTCATTTATATCATTTCCTCCCATTTTGGTCTTAGAAAGTATTTTTACATTTGTTTAACCAAATTAATTTACAAATCTCTTTTTTAAAAAAAAAAGGGGGGGGGAGTATTTCTAATGAAATTAATTATATATTTTTTTCTGTATACTAATTATTTAGCATTGTTTCAACAGAAATCATTTGGCAATCTCTCAAAAAGACATGAGTTAAAACAGCAATTACAGTGTAAAAATTTTACCTGGTACCTAAGCAATGTTTTCCCTGAAGCATATGTACCAGATTTGAATCCTACGTTACATGGATTTGTGAGTATTTATTTATGCATATATTTTGTTGTTTTGTATATAGAAAGTACAGAATGATGCGTGTGTGCGTGTGTGTGTGAGTGTGTGAGAGAGAGACGACAGACAGAGAGAGACGATAGAGGGAGTGAGGGAAAATATCTGTAGCTCAGGAACTGTGGAGTTCTTGATGCTCTCTGAGCTTGTTGTTTTCTTGCAGATATTTCATTCCTCAACTAAGTAACATCAGTGTGAATGTAACATCATCACTCCCTTGCACTGATGATAGTTAATGACATGTCTACAAGCAAACAACTCACAGAGCACCAAGAATTTGACAGTTCAACCCTGAGCTAAAGATACTCTGTTGGGGAGGAAGGGAGGGAGGAAGGGAGGGAGGGAGGGAGAGGGAGAGAGAGGGAGGGAGGGAGGGAGAGAGAGAGAGAGTTTTTTCTCATAGAACACCCAGAACGGAGTTCCGGCACCTTTTTGGGATGGAACCTTGTAAGGTAGACAAGGCGGGTTGTATGACGTTCCGGCACTTTTTTTTTTTTAAAGAAAAAAAGCACTGCATATATACACATATATACACCTACACATGTATGTGTACACACACATACACACACACACATACACACACACACACACACACATCCATCCATACATATTTTAATAAATTTGCAGGAAGTACCTATATTTGCCTCTCCTTGGCTTGTCATCACAAATCTCACTGGATAAACTTAGTCATGTAGCTTCCTCACAGCAGCTGGCCACCTTCAAATGATTCATTCTGGATATAGAAGAATTCGCCCACAGAGCTCATGCTGGATTCTTCACTTCTCACAACCCTTTCATAATCTTCACAGAAGTGCCTCTTGATTGTGCCACTGGATACTAGAATTGTGCACAAACTGATCGTGTAACTGGGAATCACAGGTAGTTTGCAGATAATATTAACATCTAGCCCAGGGGTCTTCAAACTTGGCCCTTTTATGACCTGTGGACTTTAACTCCCAGAATTCCTCAGCCAGGCACGCTGGCTGAGGAATTCTGGGAGTTGAAGTCCACAGGTCATAAAAGGGCCAAGTTTGAAGACCTCTGATCTAGCAGCATTATCAAGAAGCTTCTCCACCAAGATTGTGGAACAGCTGTATGGCTCAAACTCACTCCAAATGGCTGCATGTCGCAGAGCTATGCGTGGGCTATAGGCAGCACCAGCCATGTAGAATATAAAAAACTAACATGAACCATGTGAGAAGACTCTCTTAGTCATCGGTTGAGCAAATTGTTCCATAAGTCAGGGCTTTTCAACCAGTAGTACGGGTACCATCTGTGGTACATTGGCACCTGGCAGGTGGTACGCGACCATCCTAGAAAAGTAGTGGGAGAGGGGAATGAGCCGAACCGATATTAGCACTGCACAAGCCTGAGCGAGAGATGGCTGGAGCTGCAGGGCTCTCAGGGCTCAGCGGAAGCACCAAGATCAGTGCCAGGCTCCAGCTGGAGTTCAGTGCTGATCCTGGCACTTCTGCTGAGCCCAGAAGAAGCGCCAATCAGCTGGAATGTTGCAGCATCTCCAGGGTCTTGTGATTAACAATCAGATGCTTGGCAACTGATACATATTTATGACAGTCACAGTGTCCCAGGGTCATGTTAAGTGACCAAAACCTGCTGCAACCAACCAGCAGACGGGGGAATAAAAACCAAACACCCCCCACCCCACCCCCACTGCCAATCCTCAACAGAAATGCTCACAGCAATGAAAACCTCGGACAGGAGGAAGAGCGCCGCCATGTGGACAGGCAGGTGTCTTGCTCGGCTGTGGCTTGGAGAGCACTTTTTTCAGTGCCATTGTAACTTCGGACAGTCACTAAGCGAACTGTTGTAAGTCGAGGACTACCTGTACTTCATCACTTTTTTCCTTTTTTGGGGGGGGGGTCATCAAGTTGTTGATACCTTGCTAGGCGACTGATGGTACTCGGATGTTGCCATATCCTAAAAGTGATACAATGGGTGAAAAGGTTGAAAAGCCCTGCCATAAGTGACAATCATTTGTTGTGCAGAAACCATACAGAGCCTTGTGACTGAGCCGAGACGCAAGAAGAAGAAAAAGCAAACATGGGTACATTATGCAAATATTTTCTATGGTAGGAAGAGGAAGAAAGTTTTCATGGGAAGAAAAGGATGATTATAGGTTCTGAAATCCAATTTCCATACATTCGGGATTTTGTTATTTGTACTTTTACTCTGAAACGTACCACCCACAGATAAAGATGGTATTGTGTTGTAGTTAGGCATAGACATATGATTCTATTTTGACTTTGTTTAGCTAAAGAATGTCGGAAGAAGAGATTGTTTGGATGTTGGAGAAAATAATTTAGGCGGAAAGCCGCTGATTATGTACAGTTGTCATGGACTTGGAGGAAACCAGGTAAAATTACTTTATATATATGTATATGTGCACACGGATATGGTCCCGATAAGCATACGATTTAATGCTCTTCCTGTACTTTTCTGAATTTGTCACTGTCTGGTTACGACAAGATCTATAAAACAAGTATTTTCCAGTACTATTAATTTTCTTTTGAAACAGAACTACATGCTAGTATTGGTCTTCAGTGCTTTTTCAGGTCGGATGACTATTTGGTCCAGAAGATCTTTCAAGCTATCTGTTACCTAATGCCCTTAGACTCTTTTGGAACACAGTATAAAAGTTGATACAGAAAAAGGATTCCCTAAGGATAGGGAATTATTGTCAAATTAGTTTGCATGCTTAATTGGTATACAGTTAAGTTTTTACCTACATAATAGCATATTTGCATCCCTTACCAAGTCGCCATCTACATCTTAGTCTAATCTAATGTATTGCATTAACTCCAGGCCACATAGTTAGTTTCTGATTCCGTGTGAAGCAGAACATTGGGTTAGCTGTGTTGCAGTACTTAACCATGGGTAAACCATTGTTTAGATGTGGTAATTAAATAACGCAATAATGCTTTAAAAATGTTTAAAATAAGAACACGTATCAAGGAATTTTGCTTTAATGGCTATAGATGAAAACTTAATACTGAAATATATGGGAAGCACCCCTTTCTTTCTTGATTAGCAAAGAAGTTAAGGGAGTTTATTGCCTGGGGAGTTCTGAACACCCTTAGAAATTAAATACACCAGAACAAATTAATATGATAGGTGCAGTCTTTTATTGACCAGGAGATTGTGTGTTCCTCCTGTCCAAACAATGGTAGCAAGAGATACACATATACGCGCCTACATACATATAAAGTGTTTGTTTGTTTGTTCGTTCATTCATTCACTTTCTGTAGCTGCTCATTTCAAACCAATTGACTCTCGGCGGTAAACTATATCAACAATAATTAAAATTGTAAAAACACACCAAAAGTTACAAATTATACATATAGGCAGCTTAAAGTTAGCTTCATAATTATGAAACAATTAACACTGCAACTGTAACAGGGCCACTAACACTTTCAGGACCTCAATCTCAGGCACATAGCTGGAAAAGACTAAAAGGGGGTGGGTGGGTGGGTGTCATCCTGAGCTCAAAGGAAAAATGTTCCAAAGGGCAGGAGCTACTGATGACAAGGCTTGCCTCCTGGTCCTCCCAGCTAACATTCCCTGGTTGATGGGACCCACAGCATCTAAACCAAATTAGACAGGTAGAAAATATTGAAAGAAGGCAGTCTCTAAGAGAGCTTGGTCTAATATAATATACTACTCCCCTCAGCTGCCAAAATCAGGGCAGTTCCAGAGCAAATGCATATCCTCTAATAACTGTAGCCTAATAGCTTTGATTCTGATTTCTTTAAATTTCTTTTTGACCATGTTACACTAGTTCCTTTTGTGCTTCTGTCTCTGCTTCAGCTCTCTGGCCTTCATTTATTCTATCTTTCCTGTCCTGTAAACCTGATAACCTTGACTCTTCCTTCCCTGCTTTTTTCCTTTCCTCTAGAAGTTTTTTGCTGTCAAGGAGAGAGCCACTGTGTGATTGAGCAACCAGGCCCGAATCATCTGTCCTGTCATACTTAAAACCTCATGCTGGGAGGTCAGAGAGCTCTTCCTTGTAGTAAAAACCACCTACTATTTTGAGTATTTTGCATTTCTAGATGGGTAAATGTCTAATGAGCATTCCTGGACACACAGCCAGCTTTGTTAAAAGCTGAAAAGCAGTGTAATATGTTAAAATGCATGTATCAATACGCTGCACTAATGAAAGAAATGTTCCACTACTGGACCTCTGATGAGAATATTCCTTATTACACTATTAAAGCATTTGCTAAATATCAAAGGGAAAAAAACACTCTTCTAGCTTTGCTGTTGATAGATACTTTCAGCATGGTTTGGGCAAAACTAAGTCCTTTTTTCAGAATTCAGTAGCAGTAAGTAAATCTTATATTTCCTTCTGAAATTGCTGGAGTTTATCATTTTAAAGGTTGTTAATTATAGAATCATTAGATATTCCACTGGCTTTCGGGCTAACTCTGTTCTCTACAAATTAGTTTCTTGGGAATATGTCATAGATACATACATACTTCTCCATAGTTCTCTGCTTTGCATATCTTGAAGGAAATTATATTAACAGAATCTTTTTAATAGATGATGTCAGCTTTTCTCGACTGGGATTCCACAAGATTGAAAAATATTACCCCTTATATTTTTAAACACTACTGTATGCTCAGTTCTAGTGCTTACAGTGGTGCAAATTTTTACATGCAGCAACTGAGCTGCCAGTCTGCCACCCTTTTGTTATAAAAGTTGTGAAACATGGATTATAGACGTTAGAAGTGAATTGTATTTCGAAGGAAATTGTATTTTGGCAATCTTTATGCAAGGCTTCCCGGAGACCTGAAAATTATTTCAAGGGCTCCACCAGGGTAAAAAGATTGAGAAAGGCTGGATTATGTTTTATAGGCAGTTACCCTTTCTACTTACCATTACTGTTTGGTGACATAAATGCATTTTTGGATTTTGATTAACATTTCTTTAGTAATTAGAGCAATGAATAGGTATCACTATTCTGATGATTGACATTTGTTTATACAGTATTTTGAGTATACTGCACACCATGAAATTAGACACAATATTCAGAAGGAGCTATGCCTACATAGTTCTCAAGGAGTAGTACAACTTCATGAGTGCGGTTTCAAAGGAAAGAACAGCAGGACTCCTGAAGAAGAGAAATGGGAGCTTCGAAAGGTATTTTTTTTCCACAAAATAATATGTTTATTTAATGTAAAACTTTCCTCATAAAAATATTCTCGAGGTGGCTGCCCAAAATGTAGAGATGATTTAAATGAGGATTAAATAGTACAGGCTTGCTTTAGTCCAGTGGTTCTCAACCTGTGGGTCGGGACCCCATTTGGGGTCAAACGACCATTTCACGGGGGTTGCCAAACAACGCAGTCCGCCATTTTTCCTCCCTTTTCCTCAGCTGTGCTACTCCCTTTTATTCTATTGGCTTTTGAAAGCCAATAGAATAGACTCTCTTGAATAGAGTCTAATTCTATTGGCTTTCAAAAGCCAATAGGAATTGTCCATGCTGTCTCTGCCCTGCTGAGCCCACCAAGAGTCCCATTCTGCAAACGGTGCTGTACCAGTTGAGTAGTCCTCGACTTACGACCGGTTGAGTAGTCCTCGACTTACAACCGGTTGGGGGTCGCAGCATTAAAAAGGTTGAGAACCACTGCTTTAGTATGTCCCCTGCAATCAGACGCAACAGACTACAGAGATGGGCATCCTTTTTTACCTCAGGGTTCACATCCTTAACTTTCTCATTCTTGTAAGCAAAAACTCACAATATATATATGGATCTCTTCTTCTTGCTTGCGTACTCCTTCCCCCTCCAACCTTGTCCAAGCCGAGAATTCTACAGTTGGTCTACTCTTCAGCTGTTTCCCAAAAAGCTAGGCAGCAGTGATGCCATGAAAGGTTGCTCACAGATTGCATGGAAGCTTCTGGGACTGTATGCGACAGTAGTTTGCCCAAATATGTCTTGAGTATTTCATAATGACAGCTGTTTTCATTGTCTTAAACCAGGGGTAGGTAGGCAACCTTGGCTGTTTTATGACTCGTGGACTTCAACTCCCAGAATTCCTGAGCCACCGTGGCTCAGGAATTCTGGGAGTTGAAGTCCATGAGTCATAAAAGAGCCAAGGTTGCCTACCTCTGTCTTAAACAAAACAGACACAATAAATACTATTTTCATTCTGAAATACGTGAAGTCTTCTTATTCTTATTTTTGGCAAGTTGTGACATACAGTATTTTAAATTCAAATTTTTAGATATCTTAGGTATAAATGTTTAAGTATTTGTAGGTATTCAGTAGCTTTCTTAAATTATAAGGCCACATTTTATTTCAAGTACATAGGCTGTTACCTACACTGAATTTCTAGGGCTCTAAATCACACGAATAAGCGTTAAGTTGCTTTCAGTATTAGAGTCTGTGTGTGGGGAGTGCCTTTTAGTGAGTATTGACTCTTGACAACTGCGTGGACTACTATCTGCAGTTTTCTTGGTCGCATTTTCAGAAGTGGTTGTGATTTTTTTTTGCTAGAGCAGAGAGAGATTGACTGCCCAAGATCACCCAAATGCCTTTGTGCCTAAGACAGAACTAGAATTCACAGTCTCCCGGTTTCTAGCCTGTAACCTTAACCACTACACTAGACTGGCTCTCAGAGTCTGAGAGGCGTTATCTTTGTCAATCTTGGTGGTCCTTTGGCACTCAAACAAGCACAAAGGCTACAAAACCTTGAGCAGAGAGAATCGGGGAAGCACATTACAGGTAGTCCTCAACTTACGGTCCCTGTTGGAAATGAATTTCCATCGCTAAGCAATGAAATAGTAAGCCTGACATCATGTGACTGCAATGCACTACATAGTGACAATGGTCCCGGTTGCTGTCATAACTCCAGATGCCCAGGTCATTAAGCGGGAAGCGGAGGGATTCCCAGATGTGGAAGGGAGGTTGGAGGTGCCCTGGGGAATTTGGCGCAGGCTGCACATGAGTTGGGTGTCGGTGCAGTGTGGTACTTGTTCAAGGAAGCCAGGGAGAGAGAGTGCATGTCTGCTAATCCGTGGAGACTGTGGAAAGAATAGGGTGCAGCTCTGGGGCTTCTCGGTTTGCTGTGGCTCTGGGGCTGCAAGAAGCCCCTTAGCCACAGCACAAGGCCGGCCCAGTCTGGATCAGCAACACAAAAGGGCTTCTTGTCATCCTTCGAAGCTGTACCTGCCACAGTCGCCCTGATCGCCCTGTGCTCTGAGGCCCCCGTTACCCCATGCACTACTACCCCAACTGATACTCACTGTCTTCTTGCTCCTCCTTCCAACGAGGCATGACACTTTGTGAGGCCATCTTCCCCAGGTCACATGAAGAAATTGCCATCCACAATCTGGGGAAGAAAGCCTTAGGTGGCCAGCAGCAGGAGCATGCTTGGTCAGCAGCCAGAGCAAGAAGTCCACAAATGTCAGCTGGGGGAGGGCAGGGGCTGCAGACTGTAGAGGGACCAAAAGAGCATAGATGGGGGTGTTGAAGGCCCCCCCCCGCAGTTGTAAGTGCAGGCGAGCTACCAAGAGCCTGAATTTTGATCACATGACTGCAGGGCAGTGCAACCTATGTAACTTCGGGGACCCGCTATAAGTCTCTTAGTTCAGTACCATTGTAACTTCCAAGAGTTGCTGAACTAATGGTCATAAGCCCAGGACTACCAGTATAGGAATGGCAATAAAGTTCAAATTTCTATTTAACTATTTAATTTCCCAAGACATTTACTTGATATAAGAGTGAATTGTGGTAAAAACCATCGGTGCTTCTTTAATCTCTTTCGAGAAAACAGATTAAAATTGATATGTTTTTATATTCTAGGACCAGTTGTTGTACAATGCAGCATTCAATATGTGCCTTACGGGAAACAGAGAACATCCAAGTATGGTATCATGCAATCCCTCAGACTTATTTCAGAAATGGATTTTTGCCCATAACAACTAGGTGCTCCTAGTGCCAATGAAACGAACAAATTAGAATTACAGTAGTTCTTCCAAGACTTAACCAATTTACCTTATGTTGAATCAACTGAATTATAAAATATTTCCAAGGGTTTTTTCCCCACTGGCATAAATTTGAAGAACGTGTTAGTTTCTTAACTGTTAAATATGTTTACAGAATACTGGAGATTGCATTTTCAGTATACATTTTAATGAAATGTCTGTCTTCAAAATGTAATTTCTTATGTTTTGATGATCAATGTGTCTATCATATATTTTACATGGCAAAAGCCACACAGATTCTTTTTGTTAGTAACTAAACATAATTATCAATGAAGGTTAAAATATTTTTTTATGTAGTAGTTAGTAAAGAGTGCCTGATAGAAGTTGTTTATAATTTTAAACTGTGATTATTTCCTTTTACTTTTCCTGTTCACTGCTTTAACTATTTAGCATGTCTATAATCTGCAATCTATGATATATCTGTTTAAAACATCACTTCCTCTGAAAGGATTAAGTTATTTTTGGAGTGTGAGAATGAAACAAGTTCTGAACTTCTCTGTTGCCATTTCACTGTGTCTTTGTTCACTATGTTTGTAAGGGTTAATTTTGTCTCTTTAAGATTCTCAAACTGATTATAAAAGGCTTGCATTGCTGAAAAAAGTGTCTGACATATCTTTTGAAATTATACACTACCAGTTTGATAATTATATTGAAATATATTCTTTTTGTATTATGTACAAATTAGGTTTCTGTATTTGTAGTTTCTATTCCTACCTCTTTAATTCTCTTGTGGTATACTGAATCAAATATTAACTTTATATGATAAAGGGCTAATATAAGAGCATTGCAAGTCAAATAGTTTCTTTCATCAGAAGAATGGAGCACTTTTTATCTTATTTGAGCCGCACAATATACAGTTATTTCAACATGCAGGAAATTATAGCTAAATTATAGCTAACATATACAGCTGCTCAATTGTTCTGCTATATTGTTAGAGGCAAATTGCTGAGAAAAGGTATCATTCAAATGAGTTATACCAAAATTAAAAAAAACACTTGTTTGTGAATATCAAAAGTGTATTGAAAAAAGGATAAATTTTAAGTTTGCCCCTATCCCAATTATAAAAGTGGGAATTTTCCTTAAGAAATGTTTTTCCCAAGAAATGCAGCTTTGTCTGCCATTCTCATTGTCCTAATAGTTGTTTAGGATGAGTCACAGATGCTCACTATGGACATAAAATTACCTGTAATCAGATTCATAGTTGGTCATTGCCAACCTTGTGTTTGTGTGCAAGCAAATAATGTGTTTATATCTCAGCCAAAACACTGTTATATTTGCAGTTTAAATTTTTTTAAAAAAATTATATTTTTAAATAGATACGTGTATATTTCAACAAAAAGTGGCTATTACAACTCTGCAAGTACAGTAAAGAAATTTACTGTTGAGATGTAGTTTGCAGAAATAAATTTTACAGTTTGACAGATGTGTAAATGAGAGGACTATTTTTATTTAAAAGTGTGTTTTATGGTTTTCTATTTATATAACTTTCCTTCTTTTTTTCAGTGTTTAAGTCAGAAAGTTAACTACTACTTTCTCTTCTTCCATATTTGAAATTCTAGATTTTTTCAACCAAAACCATAAACTGAGGCTATCCTTAGCCTTCATAGTATTTCATTGTGGCGTTTTTAATCACTAGAACCAGCACAGGCATATTCTTTCGCTCCTGCCTTCTGAGTGGTCTTGTATCTGTCTGAAAGTGAATTTAGTTCCAGGTTAGGGTGTTAATTCTTTTTTTTTGTTTGTTTGTATTCCTAACAATTTTCACTTCTATGTAATATATTGTGCTTCTGTAATTCTGTTTTATAACAATAATAAAAACAATTTGAATGTCAACTAAATTTGGAATCATGGTTTCTTGTATTTGTGTCTTTAATCAGAACATCCCCAAATATAGCATTCAAGGAACGTGAAAAGACAAAATCAAATGGCAAAACATTTAACTACTTGTCCTAGATAAGGAGCAAGGAGGCTCCTGTGAATAGAATAGGACAGTGATGGTGAACCTTTTAGAGACCAAGTGCCCAAAAATTGGCCCTGCCCCCGCTCCACCCCCCCCTCCCCACATCCACTCCGCCCCCCATACCCCGCCCCACCTGCCTGCAGGGCCACTCACCACCTCCAGGGCCCACCACAGATCGCCCAGGTAGCCCAGCAGTGCTATGGCAGTCACGCCCTCTGCCCTTGCCCTGCAGCATCAACTGTGTATGATGGGGTGTGAGGGCAGAGTCTTGTCTATGCTGCCTGGCCATGTCCTTGGCTGCGCTGCTCCATGTGGGCCATGCTCAGGGGCGACTCTCCTTCAGGGGGGCTGCTGGAGAGGAGGGGATCCTGGGGGGAGGTGAGGCTGGGGCAACAGCAGGTGTGCCCACAAAGAGGGCTCCGAGTGCCGCCTCTGGCACCCGTGCCATAGGTTCACCACCACTGGAATAGGAATTAAAACACAGTGCTAAATATATTAATACTGTACAATGAATCCAAATCAGATTTTTCCAATTCTGTACCAAAGGTAATGCTAACTTTTATTGAGCACAGCATCTCTCGTTATAATTACCTCTCAAAGGTTGAGATGTTTAAAAAATATTACCTGCTTCCAGAAGGCCAATTAGAGTGGAGACCCATCCTTGCCTGTCCAGCAGCAGGCTCTTTCAGAGGAGGAGAATATGCTTCCTGTCAGACACCCTTTTGTATCTCCTGGGGAGCCTTAACAGGAGCAGTTTAGTTATTTGGGTAGGATAGGGAGGCGTTATTGGGCAGTCATTAAAGCAGCCAAGCCCTGAACTATATAGGGCTTCATAAGTACCGTAAACCATTTTGAATTATACTTGGAACCCTACTGATTAGTGGTGCTGCTTCTGCAATAGAGACGTAATTAGGCCAGGGGTAGGCAACCTTGGCTGTTTTATGACTTGTGGACTTCAACTCCCAGAATTCCTGAGCCAGGTCAAAAAAGAGCCAGGGTTGCCTACCCCTGAACTAGGCAATATCGCAATAGATCATTAAGAATGCTGCATTCTGTGCCACCTGAATGTCCCAGGTGGTCTTCAAGTCAAGTGCCATGTAGACTAAACTACCGTGGTCTAACCTAGTGATGACAAGGTGATGGGTACCGTTATCAGTACACCCAGTTCCAGCCCTCCTGGCTGCTGTCTCCACCCACTGTTCAAGCAGGAACTATAAGTCCAAGTGGACTTCAAAGTTGCAAGCCTGTTCTTTCTGTTCTAGGAAGACAAGTATGGTTCCCCCAATCAAATCCTATCACAGGTCCTTTATTAGAGCAATTTCTGATCCATACGCAGTGGTTAAAGCATTAGGTTAGAAACCAACGGGTTGTGAGTTCTAGCCTTGCCTTAAGTACAAAGCCAGCTGGCTGGGTAATCTTGGACCAATCACTTTTATCTCGGGCTTCAGAAGGAGGCAATGGGAAACCACTTCTGGAAAACCTTGCCAAGTAAAACTGCAGGGACATGTCAAGGCAGTCTCAGAGAGTCAGACATGACTGAAAAGAGGAAAATAAATGTAAGTGGATTGTGTAGGAAAGAAGTGAATTGTATTGTGAGATTTTATTTATGTGGGGGGGGGATCCTTGAGACCTGAAATTATTTCAAGGATTAGGTTTACCTGCAGGATGAAAAATTGAGAAAGGCTGGTCTAGATAATCTGCATCCTCCAGAATCTTCTCTACTGGCAGCCCCACCACTTCCTCAATAACCTTCCCCTGGAAGGGATGGTTAGAGATAGGATGATACTTATGGATCAAGACTAGGCCTTGGATGAACCAATGTTTCTGATTACCTAAATTTGCCATGCAGCAATTTATTGTTGCATGCAGAGTTCTAGGAGAGTTTTCCCCTCCCTGTTGAAAAGTAGATGGGTTGGGACTAAAGTTCCTTGATTTTCCCGGTACAGTGGTTCAGTGGTGATTGGGGAGACCCTCTTTAAGCAGAAACCCCCAATCTTTCTGGCTCCATGGACCGACAGCAGTGGCAGCGGGGGGGGGATGGTTTCATGCACACAACCTTGATCCCACGCTTGTGCAAATGAAGCTTCATTCACTCACCCGCTGCTTGTGTGGCCTGGTTCCCGATCTGCAACCCAGAAATTGGGGACCCCCGTTCTTAAAATTATCCTGAACATGACACAGATATTTTTTAGCATCCAGAAACCAAAATGGACTGACTTTCTACATGGTCTGAACAAATGGGAAGTAAGTTATTCTGTGTTCAATAAAGATTATTTCCTTTAATTCAAATAGAACAGTATATCTAATTCACTAAAGGAAACCTAGAACTCTTTTAGCAGTTGTATGTTCCTTTCATTTGCATAATTTTGAGAAAAGTCTATCAGACATGAGCTGATTAAATATTAAATATACCATTTTGTTCATTATAGTTTCTCATCCACAAACTTTTATTTTGGTTAGTACTATTTCAAATTCAATCAACTTGCAAGAAAAACACGGATTACAGTTTATAATTTATAAACTAGTTCTTGGAAGACAGCATCAAAGTTTTCAAATTATTCAGTATTAAGCAGCTGCTTAGCAAGATTACTGTTTACTTTTCTAAAAAGGAGTTATTCTAAATGTTTATTCAATTAATTAGCCAGCAGAGGATGCTGTTGCAGAATTATTTCCAGCAGTGCCTGTCCACTGCTTCTAATGTATGCATGTTGCCTAATAACATTCTGATTAGGATCTGATGTTTATACTGATGCAAAAACAGTTTTCCCCTTTTGTAAAATGGGCCCTAGTTATCTTTCTTGATGGAAATGTGGAACCACAGTTTGAACAAGACAAAGTGGAAAATAACTGGAATTTATTTTTGGAATACCCTAAGTACTACAGTTTCTAACCTCAATTTCCAAGGCATGTTCCTGGGATGCCTGAATGAACGCACTCAGGCTTCCTGTTTCTAACATGGCTTCATAATAAAGCTCTCTGAGTCCTAAAACTGCAGAGGTAAAAAGAATCAATAAAACAAATATAACTAGTTTCTATCTACCTCTATGCCAAAAAGTTCTGCAGAGATAAAGCGTCAGTCCTTTATCCCATTTCAATTATCTCCTTCCTTCTCCCCAAAGACGTTTGTGAAAGAAAAGAGGCAAGGAACCTTTTTTAGTTTCTCTCAGGCAGTGCTGGAATATCTATTAGTTTAAGGCCAGTGTTTCTCAACCTTGACCATTTTAAGGCATGTGGACTTCAACTCCCAGAATTCCACAGCCAGCATTGCTGGCTGTGGAATTCTGGGAGTTGAAGTCCACATGCCTTAAAATGGTCAAGGTTGAGAAACACTGGAAGAAATGCCAAGTACCATTTTTTTGTATCATCTTCAACAACTGAGGTAATGGGGAGTCTTTTGAAGCATGATGGTAGAAAATGAAGAAGTGAGTAATTTGGAGCGGGAAGGAAAGAGGGAGACGAGATGAGGGAAGAAGCAACTGCCGATGTGTGAAACTTTAAAGGGATGATTTGACTGAACAGAGTTTTGATTGCATCACGTCCATCAAAGATTCAAAAATCAAAGCAGGAAGCTGCTTCAGAACCATGAAGTTGGAGGTTCCGCGGCACTATGGCAATTTCCAAAGCACTTCAGAGGCATAGATAGGTGTAGCTAGGCATTTTCTGGCCAAGGAAGAAAATGTAGCGCAATAGTTGGTGCCTGCAGACTCAGGAGCTTTAGAAGGAGTTTCCTTATTTTGATTTGTCTCCTGTTGCAACCCATTTAGTAGTTTGATTCTTCTTGAGGCAAAAATAATCATGGACTGCTGAACTTATCTATAGTCCTTCGATTTCATCTTATTTCCGCCATCCACCTTGGATATTTTTTCTCACTTTGAGAAATGGATTTTAGAAAGAGTACCTTTTAGGTCAGTGATGGCGAACCTTTTAGAGACTGAGTGCCCAAACTGCAACCCCAAACCCACTTACGCATCGGCGAGTACCGGATGGGTGTGGCCCATTGGCTGGGTGTGGCCAATTGGGTG